TTACAATCTATTATATCTCCATCTTCACTCTACAAATAAATTACATTCGCTTTTGGAAACTCAAAATTAAACCAAAAATGTATAAACAAAGAAGTCTTTGCGTTCAGATTCAAACCATAATAGTTTTCAACGCTGGTTTATTAAGAGTCTTCAGTTTCATATCAATATCAAACGAAACATTTCCATAGGACTCATTGTAAAAGCCACACAAAATCACAAACGTTAAGAACAATCTCATCGTTGTTTTTTTTGTCATGTTTTTCAATGATACAAATAATAATTTATGATTTAGGCCTTTGCATATTAAAACCTAGCTCCTACTTATACAGCTTACAGATTCAAATAATTTTTTTCTTCCTTTTCTGTTATCAGTGTGATTCAAACACAAAAAATGAAATAAAGAAAATATCATAGATAGAAACTAATAAACCATATGTAGATTTGGCAAACGTCTGGTCAAATCTGTTTATTGTTTTGAATTGAATTCAGTAATTACTTTATATTCTTGACTGTATTCTTATTTTTTGCTTTAAATCAAGATTGATTGTTGACAAGAAGAAAAAGAAAGATTGACTTACCAAATTTTAATGACAGAGTCAATGGGATGTTTTTTTTTGGAGTTGAATACAGTAATTACTGCCTATGGACTTTCCCAGTTCAATAAAGTTTGTATACTGGGGGATTCCTTCCTTTATGAATCATGACAAAATATTTGTCTATGTTGACTAAAATTCAGAATTATTGGTCTTGAAATAAAGAGAAATGTCATCAAATAAATTAATAAAACTTTTAAATGACCAAAATGAACCCATAAGTTTATTATGACCAAAATAGACTAAATAGTTTTGTGACAACATTTGTTTACCCTAAATAAATGATAGATAAAATTAAAATATTATGTTTCATTGTTTTTTCCCAAAAATTAGAGTTTAGATTTTTGGGTCTAGAGTTTAGTTTTTTGGGTTTATGGTTTAGAATTTTTTAGAATTCTAGTCCACTTTGGTCATATAAAACTTATTTGTCCATTTGGTGATACCAATTCTTTTTTGTCCATTTTGGTCATTTTAGTGGGAGTAGGATTCACAATGAACCAACTCAATCAAAATCCAACTCTGTTTAATGAATAAGCCATTTTTAGGGAGGGTTTGCCAGTTTCTATAGTTTACTTACAAAAAGGAAGAACACGGAGTTTTACCAAAAGAAAAGGGAAGAACACGGAGACAATAGTAGACAAGAGCAGTTGGTATACGAGCAAGAAAGAGTGAGATAAGAAGTTGGGCTCATTTCAACTGTATTATACATCAATTAAGTTCAGATAAGTACAGTTAATCTAGATAAGAAGTTGGTCTCATCTCAACTGTATTAAAGAGATTAAAGCATTAATATATATATATATGATTTGGGCCCTATAAAGGTTGGAGTCAAGGACAACGACGATTCTGGCCAGGTCCTCCAAAGTAAAAAGCGGGCTCTAATTTATACGTTTCCCGGTAAAGCTTTGTAGAATAGCAATAGACCTCATCAGAGTACTCTGCCAAATTATCGGGATACTTGATCTGCAAGGAATTGTCTTTGATCCTAATGTTGGTTTGGAAACAAGCCTCGCCAAAGAGGTCATATGCCCATTGTCCACTTCCCATTGAAGTTCTTGTGTGTGGCTTCTTCATCACGTTAGGGCTATACACTTCTCCACCCCACTGCACTGCGGTGGCGCTGCGTTTGAGGTAGAAGAAGAGTTTCCCCGGCCAGTATCCCACCACGGTGTTTTCGATAGTCAACCACCAGTGCCCGGTGTGTGGATCCTGCAAACACCGTCGAGGATATAACATGAAAGCTAGATATGGTAAATGATTTTTCTGAATGTGAAGGATGTCGATAGATCATATATAAACGAGATAATGTTACCAGGAACACGCCAACAGAGATGTGATATTGGTCATGCGAGGTAGTCGAAACAGGTTCTACGGCTGCACCGAGGGAGAATTTAGTAGTTGTTTGCACAAAACCGGAGCATAAGAGGTTGAAGCAGCCTGTTTTAGTGTATGAATCTTTCTGCAACCCAGATAGGAAAAAAAAAGTAGTTTTTAAAAGCATCAGTGATTTGAGATGTATATACTTATAAACTCGGTAGCCATGTAATGATGCTACTCTTACAGTCCAGTAGGTGAAGAGACGTGTGCGCGAGTCTCCGAAAACGCCTGGATTCACCTGAAATAGTTTAATGGCCATTGGTTTACGGTTTACTTGGAAGGCAAGCTATAGTAATTCTAGGGCTGAAATAAATAAAAAACGTACCACCCAACCAGCTTCTATGCTCTCGAATTCACCCGAGAGGCCACCAAGCAGCCAGATTTGGGCAGAGCTGTAGTCGTGAGGCTGAACTCTTGGAGGGTTCCAAACATTTATATCGGATTGAGCGCCAAGATAATTGTACCCTAGAGTGAGAAGGATCGCCTCCTATATCATGACATCAACAAAGAAGTGTTTCTAATTAGCCGTGTGAAAAAAGTTTAAATTTTTTATGGTTAGCTAAGATTTTATCTTTTGAATGGTAATGCAGTTTTTAAGATACGAGAGCTCATAGATTTAGTGTGATATCTATTCAATTTTTTTTTTTTTTCTACCTAACTCAAAGCCTGAAAAAATCTCGTAGTGAAACCAAAAACCTAACGAAAAAATGAAAAACTAAAACTTCAAAACCAAATACGGAATACGGAATAACAACAACATTCAACACCTTAGACTCTACATACCGATCGGTCCTTTTGGCGGGGTAGGGATATGAGTTCAGCTGTTAAATTGGAATTGGCCTTGCGTTGAAGTGCGCTGTCGAGAAAGTTGTACGTGCGAGGAGTTTTTCTTCCAAAGTGAGACGGTGAAGAGGCTCTTCTTATGTCTTCTCTACTGACTCTACGAACCGGTATTGTCCCATCCGGACATGTACCAGATTTGGACCAAATCTGAGATGTTATTGGTTTAGAAGTACCGTTGTTTGGAACAGTGGTCTTCTTTGTACCAAACTCCACACTCGGTTTCATCTGCAATGCATTAATGTAGAATGGGTAAAGTCTAGAGACGAGACTAAGGAGAAATATAAATTTTAAACATTTTTTTTTACATTTAAAGATGATGAATAACAATAAAAGAGATATTTAACCGCTACGATAGCTTTACAAAATCTGGATAAATAAATAAATAAATTCTAAATATCAACTTCAGCAATACAATTACTAAATAAATGGCATACATGTGTCGAATTTTTTACCTGAATCTTGTGGTTTCTTAAGGCGGGATGATCAAAAGCATGTTGTTTGTAGATATCTACACAATCTATAATATCTCCATCTTCACTCTACAAATTAATTATAGTCGATTTTGGAAACTCAGAAATAAACCAAAAATGTATAAACAAAGAAGTCTTTGCATTCAGATTGAAACCATACCTTGATGGTTTTCAACGCTGGCTTATTAAGAGTATTCAGTTTCATATCAATATCATCAAACGAAACTTTCCCATTGGCTTTACTGTAAAAGCTACCTAAAATCGCAAGTGTTAATAAGAACAATCTCATCGCAGTTTTTGTCTTATTTCTCCTATATTGAAAGAATGGATCTAGGATATAGGATTTCATTCTTAAACCTTCTAGATCGAGTTTACAAAAGCAAATGTTAATTTCTTTAATAAAAATTGTTTGAAAATATAGTAACATCATAAAGACTGCAAAATTGAAAAAAAAAAGGAAATCTCATAAATACATGCCTTTAAAAAAAAAAAAAAAATCTCATAAAAACATTCCTTTTAACAAAAAAAAGAAATCTCATAAATACAAACTAAAAAACCATTTGGTCAACCTTTTTTTGTGCTATGAAACTCAGATGTAAGTTGGTGCTAAGCGTAAACATATATGGATTCCCCTTTGACTATCTTTGATAACGGTTATGATTTCATTTGGTAATTTTTTTTCCTTCTCAGTCAAAAAAAAAATTAAGTAACGCATTCATTGCGATTTATATTATCTTGATATATATAAATAACTGATTTTCTCAATTTAACATGTCCATTGCGGGTTTTTACTTCATCACAACAGAATTGTCAAAGTTGGATTCATGAACCATGGTTGTTGAATATAAATTAATAAATTACCATGATCATATTTGCTTATTATTTTTGTTTTTATGCTAAGAATTAATAAATTGGAGAAAAGGAATATCTTACTCAGTGCTCGTGCGTGGAGGAGAAGAAATCGAATTTCACTTTGAAGTTTGCGCAAAATTTAGTTGCATATGTAACAAAAATTAAACCAAAATACAACTTCCAGAAATACAAACTAAATCATGACATTAATAACTATGAATCAATACGATTAGCTCTAACTAAATGCCTTTATACTCTAGTGGTCCGGTTCGTCCGAACATCGTAGAGATGAAAGACTCTAGATTCCCTCTAGGACGGCTTTGGAACCTAACCTTGTGCAACTTACTGAGTTTTCGATTTCGAAATGTCAAAGTTTTAATTTACTGAAAATGGTCACCAGTCTACGCCCAAAGCCTTCACCTTTTTAAACACATTTTCTCCATTCATGTCTCTCACTCTCATCTTAAGCTCTTATCGACCACTGCGATCTCATCTTCCGACGATTAAAAGTGTTTACTTTCTGTAAGTCTTTTTGTTCCTAGAATAGTCTTTAAATGATATTCCTTTGGTAAGCGTAATCGAATTTTGGTGTTTTCTTTTCTATAGGTGGCGTGATATAACCAGACGCCAATTTATTAAATTTTCAAGTGTAGGTAGGGATGCAGAGTAGAGCTATTCAGTTGGAAGAAGGTAAAGAAATTATAGTTCCCGGCGGTGGCCGGACTGGGCTGAACAAGGCGTTTCCCTACAAACTGCTTCTTCTGCTAGCATTTTTTCTAGCTTTCTCTGGTGCTTTCATCATCATTAGTGTAACCACAATCAAGTATTACGGAATCAACAGTGTAGTGACCTCAGTCACTTCTAGCCTTGTGGCTTGCCGCGAGAAACCAAATGTTCTTGATAAATGGATAAAACCTCCTCTTGTTCTCATGCATAATATGAGCGATGAAGAGCTTCTTTGGCGTGCGTCTTTCATGCCTCAGAGGAAAGACTATCCATTTGATAGGGTCCCGAAAATCGCGTTTATGTTCTTGACAATAGGTTCCTTGCCGCTGTCACCGCTGTGGGAGAGTCTTCTCAAGGGTCATGAGAAACATTACTCGGTTTACATCCATTCACAAGAATCATCTTCCTCCGAGTTTCCACCTTCCTCTGTTTTCTACCGTAGGCAGATACCAAGTCAGGTATATCTCTTACTCTACTTTGCAAGATTTTGTTTATTTTCTCCAAGAGTGTGCCTTAGAGAGTCCATTCATCATTGACCAGGTTGCGGAATGGGGATTGATGACCATGTGCGATGCAGAGAGGCGGCTTCTTGCAAACGCGCTGCTCGATATCTCAAACGAATGGTTTGTTCTCCTCTCAGAGTCATGCATTCCACTCTACAACTTCACAAGCATCTACTGTTACATAACCAAATCAAAGCACAGCTTTATGGGTTCGTTTGATGATCCTAGTCCCTATGGCCGAGGCCGCTACGATGGCAACATGTACCCTGAAGTTTCCATAGACCAATGGAGGAAAGGAGCTCAATGGTTTGAGGTTAACAGAGAGCTTGCAGTTTCCATTGTCAAAGATACATTGTATTACCCTAAATTTAAAGAGTTTTGTACACCAGCCTGTTACGTGGACGAGCATTATTTCCCAACGATGTTGACGATTGAGAAACCAGCGGCTTTGGCTAACCGGAGTTTGACTTGGGTCGACTGGTCTAGAGGTGGTGCCCACCCGGCTACATTTGAACAACCAGACATCAACGAGGAGTTCTTTGCACGAATCTTGAAAGGTGACAACTGCAGTTACAATGGAGAATACACATCCATGTGTTATCTCTTTGCTAGAAAGTTTTCTCCGAGTGCCTTGGAGCCTTTGATTCAGATTGCTCCCAAGATTCTGAGTTCTTAAGTAGGTAATGTCACTAGAGCTAACAAAAGTCATGAAATGACATAAACATCATGAAATGTATGTGGAACTGGAATTTGATATTAATTATGCTGAGCTTAGAAATATATCTCTCTTTTACTTTTAACAAAAAGAAAAGTATATTTCTTGTAAGTTCGTTAAGTGGGAAGAGTCAAGGGAGGCCCTTAAATTTCCACTTATTATATTTCGGCAAAGTTATACTTATAAAAATGTACTTTTATTTTTTTTTATTGGTCCGTAAATCTCGCAAAGAGCTACTTTTAGGATTTTGTTCTAGAAATGATATTTGGTTTAATATTTCTAAATTTCTAACTGCTTGAATTATCTTTGGCCACATTGAAATTGCCTCTCAAAACTCCGAAAAAGCTATTAGGAATTTTGTTCCCTCTTATTTAAACCAAGAGAATAATCTTTGGTTTTATGATACTAAATTCTTGAATTAAAATACTTATCAGGATTTTTTTTAATAATCATTGAGCTGCTGCATCTCTATTTATGAATATAAAAGAGACTGGAGCAAGTTGCAGAGCATCAACTGATCAAGACGCTGGATACATCAGGCAAAGAGATTCTCTTGGGTATTTAATTTAAACTATATAGTTGACAAAAAAAAAATTGAAATGCCAGAAAGATATTGGCCAAAAGGCAAATATTTTTATATATAGAAACAAATACATTTGAAATAAGACAGAGAAGCAAATTTTATTCTTTTACTGTTGACAGAAAGTTTGATTCTTCCAATATATAACAGCTAAGTTATATATCGAACTAAACTTTTCTGGTAAACAAAGCAAATAAAAGATCAATAATCATTGATCATTTTACCATGTTCAAGCAAACCAGTATCCTTGAATTTCTCTTCCATCAATCCATCGATCCGAGCTGCCATCTCCGGAGTCAAATAGTTCTGCCAATCTCCCACCTTAGCCTTCCTGAAATATGCACTGTTTGGAAAAATAGTATAACGGTCCTTTCTCTCTTTCTCCCCTTTGTTACTTTCAAGATTCTTTAACGTTTCAAAGCTGCAAAGATTCACCAATTTCTCAGCAACTCCTTTCTTCTCTTCTTCTATAGTGAATCCATAACCCATGAACTCAGCCAGCATCTTCACATAGGGCAAAGGATTGGCTCTCATAGTCTCGTACTTGAGGAACAACATCCGTTTTGGATTCTCTTGGTAAGCTTTCCAATACGACATAACATGATCTAGATAAGGACCGTAATAAGACAAACCTCGACAGAACATATCAAAAGACTCCTCAAGATTGTTGAGAGGGCCACGTTTTGACTTTTCCTTGCTGAGGAAAAACCACAAGGAGATGAAAGTGTCCTTTGGGTCTCTCCATATGTAAACCATCTTACAACCGGACTTCACAACCGAATCGGGTAATAACCCGTGTGGCAAGTGACTCGCGAACAGAGTGTTTCCTTTGTCATTGAGAACATCAACTTCAGGGTAGAAAGGGAAGTCGATCTCAATGTAAGGCACAAACTCTTGAGGGTGGCGTTTTAGGAAAGGGTTTGAGGACTCGTCGAAGCGGGACCGATTGACAATGGAGAAAGTTAGAGCTTTGAGCCAAGTCGTACCTGTCTTTGGGTGGCTACACAGCATTAAGTCACTAGCTCGCATTTGGAAGAAGTCTTGCGCGTGAAGGCAACCTTCCAGGCGACGCTGTATGAACCAGTGACCACCATGCTCGATTAGCGATTCTTCGGGTCTCCAGCCTTTGGAGTGAGAAAACGTGGAGATTAGGTCTTGGTACCGTTTCTGATTCTTCTCGAATTCTGTTGACTCTGTCTCGTCTTGGCACAGGAAGGTCGTGATGGTTACGGCTTCTGTTCCCATTGGAAATGGAGAAAGAGGATTTGACTAGTGTTTGTGTTTATGTTTGTGTTCTGTGGGAGATGAGTGATGGTTTGTGGATGGGCAACGATCGCTTTGGATTTATAATGAAGCGAAGCTAGCCTAGTCCTACTCCTACTACTCACGTGTAAAATTCATTAATAAAGTATATTTTTGTCGCGTTGGTTGGATGTATAGTCTCATCGTGGTAGGGTAACGTGACAGAAGAACAACTATTTACATTTTTGTCAAAAAAGGCTAAAGAGTGACAGAAGAATATCGAACCAAGAAAACGTGACCGATATAATATTGGAGAGTGGCAGAGTGAGCCCTTGTTTAGGTATGGTAGATACTTTTCATTATGGTGCTGATACGCGAGTTCAGAAAAAAAAAAAAGACAACTTAAATGTTGATTCTCTAAAAATATAGATATTCATCATATTGTAAGAAACTAAAGCCTTGTCAATCTTTGTTGTATCAATATTAATATAAACGATGCAATGTTCTAGGACGTAATAGGGTAGCTTCCTAGCTCTAGCTGAGCTATCTAATATGTGATCTCTTATATTATTGTACAATGGAATCTTGTAACGTGTTTAGTGTAATATAACTAATTAATTAATTACTACCATTATTTTATTTCGACAACAAATGACTAATTAATTAACTACGACCAGTATTTATTGATGTATAGATGCATGATATACTAATATATTGTCATTGTTCTTATTGTAGATGAACATGTGATATTTGTCCTTGTTAACATTTAGTGCACGATAAAAAATATCAATAACGATGTATATTTATTCGACCCCATCTTAGTAGCTGTCTAATGACATAATAATCGAATAAGCTATTTCGTTAATTTAAAATTTAATAAGTCTCGTTGATCCTAATGATTTTGTTTAAGCAATTTCGAATTTCAGCACGCTCCTTCTTTCTTATAATCTACTGATCTGAATTACCGATTTTTATTTTTTAGTCAAAGAAAGCTACTAAAAAAATATTATGTGATGATTTCTGGTTCTATTATAATGCTTAGAAACATGTGTAAAACAACTCATCAATTTATATTATTTCCTCTAGAGATTCTTCAAAATTCATGTTCGGTCTTAGAAATAGGACAGGTTTGTGGACAGCGCTGTAAACGTGATACCAGAGACTTGGCAGTTGTTTAATTGTTTTAAGAGATTAAATAAGGTGAGAGAAGTCATAATCATGTGCCCACATGTGCTTAGTGTTTCCTTTTCGCATAATTCTCATCAGATACGAATAAAATTAGGTGACCTGACCTGAAATACACATATCCATTCTAATGCATTGGAGAGTTTATAAAAAACGATTCGTCGTTCAATCTACTGTAAATCGCTGATCAATCTATCAACGATCTTGTGCCGAATGTATTTGGGTAAGTCTATTAATTAGGCCTTCTAATGAATTTGTTGTTAAGAAACTGAAATACAAGAGGTTACAGAAGATTTTACTCCAAAATATTGTTGGGTTGGGATTGGAGATGTCAATAAGTTTAATTAGTACATGTCAATAATGTACTAATTGAATCTACGGGCTGGAAATACTGAAAATAATAGAAAATCAATAAAAGCAATGATGTGGTTTCGGTTTAGTTATCTTGGTTTTATTGATTTTTTAAAACAATTAAACCATTTTTTTTGGTTTTGGTTTGATACAATTTTGGTCTAGTTTAAAATTGCATTCGGTTCGATTATAGCTAGAAAAATAACTGAAAATAATGTTTTAATTTTGTTGATATTATATTATGGAATATTGTTTTATTTCCAGTTAATGAATATATAATCAAAAGTTAAAAACTACTAAAATTTGGTGAGTTCAAGGGTGATGGTTTCGGATTTTTTTTTGTTTTGTTTTTTGTGATAATAAACCGATTCTAGTTTTGGTGTGATTGGGTTCTTTTCCCATCCCTTGACACAACGCAGTAAATAAATTGATTATTGATACTGATCATCTTCTTTTATTCGGATTTTTATGTAATACAGTACGTACATATATGAAGAAGCTCCTTCTCTGTAGAGTGTAGAGCAACTAAAAAGAGGAGCCATGAAGATGATCTGGATGAGGATTATAAAGTGGTTTGGTTCTTTCATGCATCTTTGAGCTTCTTATTGTTTTCGAAGGAGAGGCTTGAGCGGAGGAAATCTTGTTTGGCAGGCTTTATGGGACCGCGTATGAACTTTTGGTACCATTTGCCAGAAACTTTGAGGTCTCTATCAGTGACATTATTCCAATCAATGAAACTGAGTCCATATCTGATGGTAAAGCCTGCTCCGAATTCATAATTATCCCCAAGAGCCCACGCAAAATATCCTTTCACGTTGACGTTAAACTCCCTGAAAACAAGAACAATCATTAAAAGGTGGCGTACAACTTGATGATCATACATGCAAATATGATTATATGTAAAAGAACAATGGAAGAAGAATAGCACCCACTTACTTGATGGCCTTACTGATAAAACAGAGATGACTACAGAGATAATCAATCCTCTCTGGATCGACCATACCCACCTCAGCGGTTACATCACCGGGAGTAGCTAATCCTAATTAAACCGTCATAACATGAACAATTTCCACATGCAGTATTTGAGTCAGTTTCTTGAACCATTTTTAAACTACATATAACATGTAAAAAATGAATGAAAAGATTACTAGTAGAACTCACCGTTCTCGGTGACATATATTAAAGGGTCACCATATCTTTCTTTGAAATGCTTCATTATATCTAATATGCCTCTTGGGTAGTAATGGACGTCGCCCATGAACTAAGAATGGAAGCAAATATAAATCAGAAGAATATAGATGGTTGTTATAAATTTGCTAAAGTTATGAATGAAAAGAATAGAGGTGGATCATGCATATATGTATACCAGTGGACCAATGGTATGGTTACTTGCATTAACAACTGTAAAGACAAAGATAAATTAAATAAATTGATTGTCACTCACAAAATATTGGTTTAGTAAAAAGAAGAGAAAGATATTTATATTTATATAGAAAGGATGTTACTAATTAGTACATGAAAATTGTACGCGTGGGTCCGACATGGCAGAGACCCTAGGAGCTGGGGCTGCCTCTTGGGCGTACTGAGTGAAGTAATAGTTGAGACCAAGAAAATCATAGGAACCCTTTACAAGTGCGGATTCTTCTTCCGTGAACTCTGGTAGCCGACAACCCACATATTCCCTCATGACGTCTGGATATTTACCTTTTGTTAGCGGCTCCATGAACCTGATGTACGTACGTGCATGTTTCTTTATCAGTTTTGTTATTAATATGAATATATATAATTATATATATTCATATTAATGTTTAAAAATCATTTCATGTTTAGATTATATATACCATCCCATGAAGAATTCTTTCATCCTCTCAGTTGCTTCTATGCTGGTTTTATCAGTGATATTATATGGAAGAAACCATCTAGTTATCATCACAGGTCCAATCTGTCCTCCTTGTGTTGGCTGTGTTCACGCAAATAAATAGTTATACACAATGATGATGATTTAATTAAAATGTTAGACTACACCCTTTAAAAAAAAAAGAAGAACTCACCTTATATTTCCTCCTGTAAAGATCCACGACCGTGGCATGAGCAAGAAGCTGGTTATGTGCAACGATGTAGGGTTCTGTTGCTGAATTTCCGGCGTAACATGAGCTATCTTGCCAATGGGAACATCGACCGGGTGCATCTGATCCCACTCCGTAGCCTCTTATAGGCACTGAGTAGAGCTGGTTTATTGTGATCCAGTTCTTTACTATGTCACCAAATTCCTCGAAACATAGATCCGCATAATCTCTGAAATCATCTCTGTGAATATTGTAAAATCATTTCATTAATGCAAGATCAAATCTTTATATGTTGTCATCTTTCTTAAAAAAGAAACATGCATGGCATAATGAACATACATGATCTGGGGACTCAAGAAACCTTCATAATCATCTTGCAGAACTTGAGGAAGATCCCAGTGAAAGAGGCTAACGAAAGGGGTTATATTCCTGTCTTGGAGACCTTTTATAAGATCTCTGTAGTACTTAATACCATCTTTGTTCACTCCCCTATTCCTCCTTCCTCCTGCTCATATGTATGTACTGTATATTAGCTCTTTTTATATTATCACAATCGAAAGCTGCCATATATATAGAGTCCCGGGTCATTAACATATTGAAACATGTGCTTTAATAATTTTTAGGCTTATAAATAAATGTTTTAAAGGAAAAGGCCTGAGTCTTTATGAAAATGCTCTAGAATATAGCAAAAAAAATGATCCTAGTGACTCTTGTATGGAAAGAACTAGGTCTGTATATACATATATACATGCATGAGCCAATAATGTGTACATACTTGGAATGATTCTTGACCACGCGAAGGAGAATCTATAGCCAGTAGCATTGAGTTCGTCGAGCACGTCTATATCTTTCTGCAGTTTATATGTAGAATTGCATGTCAAGTTGATAGATAATTTGGTGAGTAATATAAGTTGGCATATATATTTGTTGAAGAATTAACCTCCCAATAGGAATATGAGTCACACGTAGTGTCTCCATTCCCATGATCGGGTCCTGCTTTACCTGATGGTAAACAAATACATTATTATGAATGTGTAAAGAGTTATAACCGACATATATATGTAATGTAACCATGCCAATGACAAACTTGGCCATCGGTGAGTGAAGCCATCCCAAACGTTGAGACCACGACCCATGGTGCCTTCGATCTGAAATGAAAAGAAACAACCATGAAATGTTGGAGTTTGATGTTTTCATTGTTTTGTTTTTTATACGGCAGATAAATGGGGGGTGGCAATACAACGTGTGATTCGTTACATGCCTGGTAAGCAGAAGATGCAACACCAAAGATGAAGTCTTTTTCAAAACTGCCACTGTTGAAACGAGCAGTTTGGTTGCATGTGAATGGCTCGTTCTCTTCGCAAGTAAAATCTTCGCCTTTGCTAGTCGCCACAGCTAACAGAAGAACTAACGTGAACCCAAGTTGCTTCATTGTTAATTTGTAGACGTATGTGTGGTGTGTTGTATGAAACCTTGTGCCAATCTAGGGTTTATATAGCCTTTTTAAAAGAAGAGTGACGTATGCATTTTCGGCTCTTAGTGTCTTGATATTTTGGGAGAGGTTTAGTTGACATGCATCCCGTGGCATTTTAGAGTGGCTTGCTCTTCAATTGATCATATACTGACAAAAACGTGGCATTGTTATATCATTCTCAACTGTGAAAGGTTGATTACTATAATTTTGTAAGAGTTAATCTCGTAAAATACAATTTATATATTTTACTCCTTTTGTTCCTTGAGGAATGATTGTTTTTTCGAGTTCTTGCACAAGTTTAATTACAGTTCAGGTTTAGTGCAAATGGATTATTCTCTCTTATTACCAAAACACTATTCCAAAACTATGAATCAATACTCGCTCTATTCTCCACTAAATGACATTTTAGGTGTTTGCACACATATTAATAATTTATTCAATTTTCTATTTTTTCAAAACATTTTTTATCACCAATCTCAAAACAATTCAGCCAGTAAAATTTCAATATGCGGAATTCAAATTGACAAAAAAAAAAAAATACAATTATTTTTTGCTTTGAATTCTGAAAACACATGAATACATTTTTTTCCTCTTTTTAAAATGCCACTTATTGGACAACAGAGTGAGTAGTGTAATTTAATAAATTTAAATGGTTTTCTTTTTAAGTTTACTACTTAGTAACATGAATTGATTAGAAAGTACATCAAATTCTCGAGGGTTTTTTTTTTTTTTTTTTTAACTCACGGTAAATTCTAGGTCTATGGTGGAGCTAATCTCTGGAGGAGATGTAGCCCACAAATAAAACTTCTCTCCGGATGGGTGTTCAAATGGACCGAAAACAAAAACTCATATCTATGTGGTCAAATGGGATAAATCTAATAATTCCACACTTGAATTAATCTCTGGTTTTAACATGAATTAATCGGTTGTTTCCTGTATTGTTTAATCATGACTTCTAATAATCTAAATGCAAAACGAAGGACTAAGCAGACATGAACAAAAATGAAGAAAAGTGACCTCGAAATGCAAGCGAAGACAAACAAGCAATAAACAAGAAAATGAGAAACGTAATATGGACAATGAGCAAGACAATAGAAAAGACTCTCATGTTGGTTATTGATGATAATACTACCTACCAAGCTCATTCTAAGACAAGGGTCTCAAATAAAAGACTAATTCGTTTCCAAGAAACTAATCAATTGGTTAAGCTACACTTTCATTTGTAAACAAAAGACTAATAAGCATTATAAGCACGTCTAAGAAGCCTACAAATCACCTCGATCAACGAATCGATTCTGTCGGGTAAGAATATATAATATACTACAATGAAATTCTCCTACACATTTTCATAAACACCTTTCGGTAATGAACATACCATGTTCAAAGTTTTAGATAATCAAGCCTCAACCAAACATTAAACAAGTTCGAAATAATAGAAAGCATATAAATCAAAACCTAACTTTTGCTCTTTTTTCATCTGAAATGACTCCAAAACTAAACAAATGCGAAAAAAAATCACCTAGACTCTAAGATTATTTTTAGATGTCTAATGGGACTCAAATATGCATGAAACCACTCCTACATGGTCTTAAGATGGAAGGAAATACTATGGAAATAAACACTATGAACAGTAAAATCCAGTGAAACTAGCTTCATTGACATAAAATAAGCATCTATTGTAATTTTCTTATTATCATTATTTCGATCGTTTTCTTGTGTAGTGTAAATCCTTTTTTTTTATATGGCACTACCACAAGTTCTCCTTATCCAACATGAACTGGAGCACAATCTGTCAATGGTGATACAGCGCAGAAATTTAACGTAGGTAGGCAAAAGTAGACCGACATCCATAAAAATTGGAGGTTTAAACAATATAGCTTGTTTAAGAAAAAAAGAAAAAAACAATTATCAAGTGATCCGCAAGGCCCACATTCTTTCACGAGCCTCACGGCTCACAGTCACCGCATATCTTATTGATTTGATCCGCTTCATGCTTTATCACATGAAACCAGCTGAGAATCTCTCTCCAAAAGACACAGGAAAACAAAAAGACAAAAACTAATTGGTGGGAGTCTAATGGTTTCCATTTTATGGAGGAGTTGTCATGTTGGTCGAGGTCAGGGATTAATTCATTTTAAAAGAATTACTGGATTTATCTCATTTTCCACATGAATATAAACCTTTATTTTTTGCATTAGTCTGGACCCCTCCATAGAATCAGAATTTACCCTAAATTATTTGAGAAAAAAATTTCAACCAGTATTCTTTGTTTGTTTTCTGTAAAAAAAAAAAAAAAAAAAAAAAAAAAAAACATTGGAGGTGATAAATCACCTGAAGAACAGTAATCCTTCGTTGCTATTTTTTTCTTTTTTTCTTTTCATATTATTCAAGAACTAAAAAGATAAACTTACCGAAAAGTTTGGAATCTCCATAGATAAGTCATAGAGAGAGACCCGACGATTAGTTTCTTTCTTATCGTCCAGGGGTGGAGCCAGTCAAGGAGCAAGGGGGTCATCTAACCCCCACTAATTCCTAAAATTTTGATTTTATATAGGCATATCATTGAAACATTGGCTAATTTTTAATGGTTTGACCATGTTCATTGTGAATCTTTCAAATTTTGACCTTGGTAGATGTTTTTTCTACCTCCGCCACTGTTATCGTCGGTGTTCAAACTCGAGACTTTGAAAACTCTATTCTTTGTACATATAGCTAAGTAATATTCTGGTTGAGCAACCGACGTCAGGTTAAAATACAAGTATTTTTCAACAAAATTACTACAATATCTAGATATACATCATTTTGTAGTGTTTTGTCTTTCTGTATATTTTCAGATCCACTGGATTTCCAGAACTGTTTTGGCCGTTGGGTTACTTCGGTTCCAGTGATCCAGAGTGTGTACATTGCTCTCAAATTTGATCTGTGATACTACTTTAACAAAAGCAGGATAATACCACACCTATTTATTAAATTTCTAGTATGGGCATGCAGAGTAGGGCTAAATATGGCGTTTCACACAAAATTGCTTCTTCTGCTAGGATTTTGTTTTCTCTAGGTTTCTCTGTTGCTTTCAACATCATTACGTCACTAGTGTATCCATAATCAAATATTATAGGATCCTTTAGTGATCTCATGCATAATATGAGCGATGAAGATCTTCTTTGGCAGGCGTATTCAGCCAAATTTCCACCTTCCTCTGACTTCTACCGGTCGTAGGCAGATACAAAGTCAAGTGTAGCTCTTAATAGATTTTGTAACATGAATTACCGATTCCATTTTTTAGGAATATTTGTGATTAAATGACTAGTTGGGATGACAATATTGCCAAAGTGTGAGCAGGTCTTAACTTGTTTCGGCCTTAATTAATATGTTTGTGACATGGAATCTGATGTGATAAAATAAGTGTGCAAACTTGAGGGAGAGGTTCACGAGGATCACCTTTTAAAGTAATTGTTTGTTTATCTGATGGTCACTCGACTATCTTCGCCATTGGAAAGTTTGCAGAATGGGGAAGAATGACAATGTGCGATGTAAAGGAGAGCTTCTTGCAAACGCGATACAAATGGTTTCTTTTTCCTCATCTATTCATGCATTTCCCCCTATCTACCGCTACATAACCAAATCAAAACATATATTTAGGGTTCATTTGGTTGATATTATATTTTTATATAATATTGTATAGAGAATAAGACTTGATTGATATTGATACAATGGGATTCGTACATCATATATAGTACTTACATAAGAGACACTACTAGGTATTTACTATTGTGATATATATCCTTTCCATACTTGGCTCTATACGCCCCCTCAAGATGGAGATACTTTGTAACTCCAATCTTGCTAAATAACTCAACAAATCTGGGACGTGGTAAAGGCTTCGTAAGTGCATCAGCCAGCTGGTCTTTGGTGTTCACATGAGCCACTCGTAAAGCACCGGCTTGGACATTGTCACGTATAGTGGTAATCCAGAGCAAGATGTTTCATCCGAGAATGGAACACCGGATTAGCACACAAGTACGTAGCTCCCATGTTATCACAATACACAACAGGAGCATTAGTCAGATTAACATGAAGCTCCGTAAGAAGAGAATATACCCACCGAAGCTCTGCCGCTGTGTTCGCCACGGACCGATATTCAGCTTCCGTTGATGATCGAGCAACACCTTTTTGTTTCTTAGAGGACCAAGCAATCGGTGTAGCACCTATGTAGAGAATGTATGCATTAGTGGAGACAAAATCATCAACATCCCCGGCCCAATCAGCGTCAGAGTAGGCATGGAGTGTGAGCGGGTTGTTAGCTCGAAGGAAGAATCCATGTGAGGCTGTCCCTGCGAGATAACGAAGAACTCGCTTTGCCGCATTCCAATGCTCGTCTGTGGGACGGTGCATAAACTGAGATAGCCGATTGACGGCATAAGCGATGTCCGGTCTTGTGTAGCCCAAATATTGTAGGCTGCCAATGACGGTGCGATATTGACTTGGATCGTCTAGTGGTGAACCAAAATTGAGAGAAAGCTTTGGCGTGGGTGACATCGGTGTGGCAACGGGTTTGGAGTTGAGCATGTTTGTCCGAGTAAGCAAATCAATGATATACTTCCTCTGCATCAAGTGTAAACCTTTCTGTGATCTTGTTGCTTCTATCCCCAGAAAGTACGACAAATCAGTAGGGTCTTTAAGAGAGAACCGGCTTGAGATAGCAGCAATGAAGCGATCAACGAGAGCGGTACTACTGCCGGTGACAATTATATCATCAACATATACCAAAGTGTAGAGAAGATCCGCACCTTTCGAATAGACAAACACCGATGTATCCGCTAGTGAATTTTGAAAACCAAGTGCAAGGAGATAGTTTCGCAATTCCTGGTACCACGCACGCGGTGCTTGCTTGAGGCCGTATAAGGCTTTATGCAATCGACATGCATGGTCTGGTCGGTCTTTGTCAATGAATCCGGGAGGCTGAGTGACATACACTTCATCGGTGAGAGTGCCTTGGAGGAAGGCGTTATTCACGTCCAGTTGCTTAATATCCCAATTGCAACTGACCGCAAGCTGGAGCGCAACACGAAGAGTTATGGATTTCACCACCGGACTAAACGTTTCCGCATAGTCGATACCGTACTGTTGATTGAATCCACGAGCTACCCACCAAGCCTTATACATGTCAAGGAGACCACTAGGCAAATACTTTAGTGTATAAATCCACTTAGTTGGAATGACATTTTGATCAGGTCATGGAGGGACCAAATCAAACGTACGATTCCGAATTTGAGCATTGAACTCGGATCCCATGGCATTTCGCCAATACGGATCTCGCATCGCCTGGGTTACCGTTGTGGGAATAAGTGGTTTTGTGTGACTGGCTAAGAGATTAAACTTAGTTTTGGGTTTGACAATATTATTTTTGCGGCGAGTTTGCATGAACGTTTTCCGGTGGAGGTGGAGGTTGTGTCGTGGTGGAAGAAGATGAGGCATTGATATTTGTGGGCTGAGTGTTTGTGGGCTGAAGAGTTGGTGGGTTTGTATTTGGGCCTGGAGGTGATGGATCTAAAGTATGTGAAACTCTAGAAGGGCCTGTAGAATTACCTGGCTGGCCCAATCGATGAGACAGATCTCCATGGTCATCGTTTACACGATTTCCAGGTTCTGTAGCAGACGATGGGTGTGAATGGTGAAGGTCTGAGATCAGGGGCGCGAGTTGTGGTGGAGCTGATACGAGTGGCGCAGGAGTGAGAGGAACAAGAGTGGAGGTGGAATCGTTGGGATTTTCTTCCGATGCGGGAGAGAGATCCGACGGAGTCACGGCAAAAGGGAAGCTTGATTCCACAAACTGAACATGTCGAGACGTGTACACACGACCGGTAGCAACGTGAAGACAGAGATAAGCGCTTTGGGAAAGAGAATAGCCAACAAACACACACGCCGCAGATCGATCATCGAGTTTGTGATTTGTGTACGGCCTAAGCCATGGAAAACAGAGGCTTCCAAATACACGGAGTTTGAGGTAATTCGGCGGCTGGTCAAAGAGTTTCGCATATAGAGAGTCATTGTTGAGCACCTCTGTAGGCATCCGGTTGATTAAATACACCGCAGTAGCAAACGCATACGGCCAATAGGTCTTTGGCATAGAAGCTTGATGTAACAAGGTGAGCCCTGTTTCAACTATGTGTCGATGCTTCCTTTCTAAATCCCATTGTGTTCTGGTGTGTGAGGCGGTGACGTTAGGTGTGAGATCCCATGGGTTGAGAGAAACTGTCGTAGTGCTAGAAACTCTCCACCATTATCCGAGAAAAGCGTTCCGATCTTGGTGTGAAACCGATTCTCAACTAGAGCCTTGAAAGCAATGAAAATGTCACGGACTTGTGACTTTTGCTTCATTGGATACATCCAGGTATAACGAGTGTGATGATCCACAAGAACAAGATAATATTTGAAGTTTTCTGTTGAGATTATAGGTGACATCCAGACATCGGAGTAGATGTATTGAAGTGGTTGAGAAGAGACGATAGTGTTTGTGAAAAATGGTAATTTGTGGCTTTTATTGATAAGACAATGAGAACAAGGAGATAGTGTTTTTGAAGAAGTTGAACAAGGTAAAGAAAACTGAGAAACAAGTTTGTTTAAAACAGGAGGTGATGGGTGACCAAGTCTGGAGTGCCAAGATGGAAGAGAAGCTTTTGGTGATGGTGATGCAAAGAAGGAGGCTTTATTTGTGGGGTTGACTGGCCACTCGTATAGCTCATCTTTAGTTCTCCTTTGGAGCAATCGGACCCCCGTTCTGAGATCCTTCACCTGAAAATGCGCAGGAAAGAATTCAACAGACACTTGGTTAGAGTTGTACAAACGATAGACGGAGATAAGATTTTTATGAACATTAGGCACACAGAGAACATCATTTAATGCAAGGGAACGAGAGGGTGTAGGAAGAGAGGTAAAACCAGTGTGCGAGATCTGTATGGTAGAGCCATCGGCCATGGTCACTTCATCACCACCATTGTACAACTGATGGAGAGACAAGTTGTTTAGATCGGAAGTGAGATGATGTGTAGCTCCGGTGTCAAGAAGCCAGTTGTTGGAATTCATTGGCGCTGCTGCGGCCATATTTGCTCTCGGTTGCCATGGGGAAACATTTGGTGGAGCACGATAGTTCGACGTGAACGGACCCGTTGGTAGTTGAGAGCAACGGCGAGCATTGTGACCCTGAATGCCACAGAGTTGGCAACGCCCTTGATATCCACGTGTAGTAGAGGCATCGGGACGTGGCTGGAACTGCTGTTGCTGCCATGTTTGCTGGTTGCGGTTGTTGTGAAATGAGCGCTGGTTACGGTTGTTGTTACCACGATAGTTGGCGGTGTTGTTGTTGCCACGATAGGTAGCAACATTAGCCGAGACAGGGAGAGATGGAGTTGTAGCAGTGGTGGATTGGAGCTTAGCTTCATGGTTAAGAAGCTTCTCGTGAACTTCGGATAACGAGGGAGACGTATCACGGCCCTCAAGTTGATCAACGACAACTTTGTAATCATTGGAAGACCTTCGAGAACATGTTCTACTTGATCTTCATGATCAATTGGTTTGCCGAGAAGAGCCAATTGATCGAAACGTGTCGTATGTCCCTGAAAATACTCATCGATGGACTTACCACCCTTAGTCCATGTCTTGATCTGATGTTTCAACTGCTTGATGTGTCCACGACTCGGTTTCGCGTACGTGGAGGATAAGATATCCCAGATCTCAGTGGTGGTGTTGGCAGTGGAGAGAAGCGGTTGAATCGAGACAGAGATTGCACCTAGCAAAGCGCTGTAGAGGAGTTTATCCTGACGCTTCCATAGTGTGTAAGCGTGATTGACGGAGACGACGTCGCCGACGGTGGTGGTCGGAGGTGGAACGACGACAGATCCATCTACGTAGCCGGCTAGATCATAACCATCTAGTAGAGCATGGACTTGACGGCTCCACATCAAAAAATTGGTTGAAGTGAGCTTGGTAACATTTGTCATGTTAACATTGACAAGTTGTTGATTCTCCGAGACAGCAATGGTTTCACCGGAGGATGCAGGAGAGGTGGCTGCCATTGTTTAAGAATACAAGTGTTTGAAGAAGAAGAAGAAGAAAGAAGAGATTTGAAGAAGAAGAGGTGTGGCGACTAAAAAAAAAAAAAACTTTAGGTTTTAGGTATCGAAAGCTCTGATACGATATAGAGAATAAGACTTGATTGATATTGATACAATGGGATTCGTACATCATATATAGTACTTACACAAGAGATACTACTAGGTATTTACTATTATCATATATATCCTTTCCATACTTTGGCTCTATATATAGTTTTATAAATTACCATTTAATGAATATATAATAACAAATTTAGGGTAATATTGATTCGTTTTTTGATTTTTTTTTGTTACAGTAAACCGGTTTTAGTTAGTTTGACTGGGTTCTTTTCCCCATCCCTTGACATAGTATAAATTATTTATTTATATAGTGATCATCTTCTTTATTCAGATTTTTATGTCATACAGTACGTAAATAGAAAAGCTCCTTATCTATGGAGCAAGTAAAAAGAGAAGACATGAAGATGATGTTGATGAGGATTATAAAGTGCGTTTGGTTTTTTCATGCATCTGCGAGCTTCTTAGTGTTTTCGAAGGAGAGGCTTGAGCGGAGGAAATCTTTGGCAGGCTTTACGGGACCGTTTATGAACTTTTGGAACCATTTGCCAGAATCTTTGAGGTCTCTATCAGTGACATTGTTCCAATCAATGAAACTGAGTCCGAATCTCACGGTAAAGCCTGCTCCGAATTCATAATTATCCCCAAGAGCCCACGCAAAATATCCTTTGACATTGACGTTAAACTCCCTGAAAACAAGAACAATCATTAAAAGGTGGCGTACAACTTGGCGATCATACATGCATATATGTAAATGAACGTTGGAAGAAGAATAGCATCAACTCACTTGATGCCCTTACTGAGGAAACAGAGATGACTACAGAGATAATCAATCCTCTCTGGATCGACCATACCCACCTCAGGGGATACATCACCGGCAGTAGGGAGTCCTAATTAAACCGGCATTGCATGAACAATATTTGAGTCAGTTTCTCGAACCAATTTTAATTTACATATAACATGTAAAGAATGAATTGGAAGATTAGTAGTAGAACTCACCGTTCTCCGTGACATAGATTAAAGGGTCACCGTATCTTTCTTTGAAGTGTTTCATTACATATAATATGCCTTTTGGGTAGTAATGGATATTGTCCCTGAACTAAGAATGGAAGCAAAGATAAAATCAGAAGAATATAGATGGTTGTTATAGTTTTGCTAAAGTTATGAATAAAAGGAAAGGGGTGGATCATGTATATATATATAATTATATACCAATGGGCCAATTGTGTGGTTACTTGCATTAACATCTGTAAACACAAAGGTAAAATAGTTATTAAAAATATAATAAAAGGATAAAATAGTATGTTCATGTAAAAAGGATATAATGTATATATAAATTAAAGGATGTTACTAATAAGCGGAAACAGAGTGGTACATGTAAATTGAACGAGTGGGTCCGCCATGGCAGAGACCCTAGGAGCTGGGGCTGCCTCTTGGGCGTATTGAGTGAAGTAATAGTTGAGACCAAGAAAATCATAGGAACCTTTCACAAGTTCGGATTCTTCTTCCGTGAACTCTGGAAGACGACAACCCACAATTTCCCTCATGACATCCGGATATTTACCTTTTGTTAGCGGCTCCATGTACCTGATGTACGTACAGTACATGTTTTTAATCAGTTGTTGTGTATATTTTACATACATATTAACGTCAGAAATCATTTCATTTTTTGGATTATATATACCATCCCAAGAAGAACTCTTTCATCCTCTCAGTTGCTTCTATGCTGGTTTGATCAGTGACATTATATGGAAGAAACCATCTAGTTATCATCACAGGTCCAATCTGTCCTCCTTGTGTTGGCTGTGTTTACACATACACAATGATGATGATTTAACATGTTAGATTACAACCTTTTTCGAAAACAATGAAGAACTCACCTTATATTTCCTCCGGTAAAGATCCACGACCGTGGCATGAGCAAGAAGCTGGTGATGTGCGGCGATATATGGTTCTGTTGCTGAATTTCCGGCGTAACATGAGCTATCGTACCAATGGGAACATCGACCGGGTGCATCTGTACCCATTCCGTAGCCTCTTATAGGCACTGAGTAGAGCTGGTTTATTGTGATCCAGTTCTTCACTAGGTCACCAAATTCCTCGAAACATAGATCCGCGTAATCTCTGAAATCATCTCTGTGAATATTGTAAAATCATTTCATTAATGCAAGAACAAATCTTTATATGTTGTCATCTTTCTTAAAAGAAACATGCATGTCATGATGAACATACATGATCTGGCGACTCAAGAAACCTTCATAATCATCTTGCAGAACTTGAGGAAGGTCCCAGTGATAGAGGGTAACAAAAGGGGTTATATTCCTTTCGAGGAGACCTTCTATGAGACCTCTGTAGTACTTAATACCTTCTTTGTTGACTCCCCTATTCCTTCTTCCTCCTACATGCATGTATATTTACTCTTTCCATATAATCAAAAACGAAAACTACCATATATATATATATATATATATATATTCAGGCCCTGCTCATTAACATATTGGACCATGTGCTTTAATGATTTTTAGGCTTATAAATAAATGTTTTAATGGAAAATGCCCTAAATCTTTTTTGAAAATGCTCTAAAATATAGCAAAAACATGATCCTAGTGCCTCTTGTATGGCAAGAACTAGGTCTGTATATACTTGGAATGATTCTTGACCACGCGAAGGAGAATCTGTAGCCAGTAGCATTGAGTTCGTCGAGCACGTCTATATCTTTCTGCAGTTTATATATACATCGCATGTTAGCTGATAGACAATTCGGTGAGTAATGTTAGTTATCATATATATATATATATATATATATATATATATATGAGGAATTAACCTGCCACAACGAATATGAGTCGCAAGTAGTGTCTCCATTCCCATGATCGGGTCCTGCTTTACCTGATGGTAGACAAATACATTATTATGAATGTGCAAAGAGTTATAACCGACATATATATGTAATGTAACCATGCCAGTGACAAACTTGGCCATCGGTGAGTGAAGCCATCCCAAACGTTGAGACCACGATTCATGGTGCCTTCGATCTGAAATGAAAAGAAACAACCATGAAATGTTGGAGTTTAATGTTTTCATGGTTTTGTTTTTTATATGCCAGATGGATGGGGTGTGGCAACACAACGTGTGATTCGTTACATGCCTGGTAAGCAGAAGATGCAAGACCGAAGATGAAGTCTTTTTCAAAACTGCCACTGTTGAAACGAGCAGTTTGGTTGCATGTGAATGGCTCGTTCTCTTCGCAAGTAAAATCTTCGCCTTTGCTAGTCGCCACAGCTAACAGAAAAACTAACGTGAACCCAAGATGCTTCATTGTTAATCTAATAATCTGTAGATGTATGTGTGTTGTGTTGTATGAAACCTTGTGCCAATCTAGGGTTTATATAGCCTTTTTAAAAGAAGAGTGACGTATGCATTTTCGGCTCTTAGTGTCCTGATGTTTTGGGAGAGGTTTAGTTGACATGAATCTCGTGTCTTTTTAGAGTTTCTTGCTCTTCAATTGATCATATACGTGGCATTGTTATATCTCAACTGTGAAAGGTTGAATACTATAATTTTTACGATTTAATCTTGTAAATAACAATGTATATATTTTACTCCGTTTGTTCCTTGGAGGAAATAAAAGACTAATTCGTTTCCAATAAACTAATCAATTGGTTAAGCTACACTCTCATTTGTAATCAAAAGACTAATAAGCATTATAAAGCACGCCCAACAAACCTACAAATCTCCTCAATTAGGTAAGAATAATTAATATGCTAAAATGTCTCCTAAACATTTTCATACACACCTTTCGGTAATGAACATACCGTGTTCAAGGTTTTAGAGGATCAAGCCACAACTAGACATTTAACGAGTTCCACATGATAGTAAGCATATAAATCCATACTCCTATCCAAACTCAACTTTTGCTTCTTTTACATCTGAAATGACTCCAAAGTTACACAAATGCGAACAAACTTCACCTAGACTCTAAGATGATTTTTAGATGTCTAATGGGACTCAAATATGCATGAAACTACTATGAACAGTAAAATCCAGTGAAACTAGTTTCATTGACAAAAAAAAAAAGTATCTATTGTCATTTTCTTATTATCATTATTTTCATAGTTCTCTAGTGTAAATACTTTTCATTCTATATTGCTAGTAGCACAAGTGTTTCTTCTGATTACTAGAGTTCTGTTTTTTACTTATATTGTATTAGGTATTCACGTAGAACTGATTTTTATAGGAGAAGCTTAAGGACATTATGAATCAGAATCTTCCAGTCCATACATCAAGTAAATGGTGAAGTGCATCTCCTTTGTATGATCTTATTAAAGGGATAAAATATAATAATAGCAATACTTTGGTTTATGCGTTTAAAAATCAGGGAACATAAGGCTCTGGGAGCGCAAACAGAGTTGGTTCTTGCACTACAAGACCCAAATCTCCATGGATGCCATTTCCTACATTGTTTGCAGCAATCTAACATAAGATTGCAGAGAAAGACATGTCGTTAGACCTTTTAACAAAAAAAGAAAAGAAAAGAAAGACATGTCGTTCCTCAATGCTGAGTACCAAGATGACCCGAGCAGAGTTTGTGAGGAAACTGCGGTGATTGTATGAGATGATCTGCTTAGGTCCACCATAAGAGCTCTTCCAGACCAGGCAAGTGTAGTTTTAGGCTATTGTTTGTCTTGAGTTTCATATTGGAGTTTACTTTTCTGCAGGTGAATGAAACAAGTGGAACAGATGAAAACATAATCCTTAACATTCTTAAACAAGCACCATCTAAGGTAATTTACAATGCGTTGGAGTTAAAAATGAAGTTGTTATTCACAATGCTTAAGAGTGTGTGCGTGTGTATCTGAGAAGTTTCTTCATAATGAAAGTCTATTTGCTTCTAAAAACAGAGAAAACACCAAAATTTATCCTTCTGTTTTTGTTCTTGTTTTTTATTTACTTTTTTATTTTTTTATCCTTCTGTTGCTAGACCACACACCAAGATCTAATGTATGATTTTTCTTTCCTCGTGATATCATCAAAAATATTGATTTTGTAATTTATATAATTATTGTATATTTGGAAATTGACATCTAATTTCCTGTCAGGTAAAAAGAGCACTTTGAAATATTTGAAAAGGAGTATACAAAGAAAAATAGTACTTTTTCATATAACAGAACACAGTAAAATAAAATTGTATTTTTCATATAATGAGAGCGACATTGGTATTGGAAATTTCTGGTTTGACTAATTCAAAACTTTATATGAATTATTAAATATTTGATTTAGTTTTTATTGATTAATTTTACAAGAATTGATGATCATGATCGATTATTAATGGCCATGCGTTGGTTTTATAAACCGAAGGTTTGGTTTAGGGTCAGTTAAGACTGACGTGAAATTCTATTAAACTGACGTTAATTATTTTAGCGTCATGCAATAGCACGACGGTTCTAGAACCGATACTAATTTGATTACGTCGCTTTATTACTGACACGCCGCGTCTCGTGTAGAACGCAGCAATGTAACGTAGGTTTAGGCAAAAATAGACCGACATCAATCAAAAATAGAAAGAGAAAAAATGCAATTATCAAGTGATCCGAGAGGCCCACATTTATCACGACAGTCACCGCATATCTTATTGATTTGATGCTTTATCACATGAAACCAGCTGAGAGTCTCTCTCCAAGAGACACAAGAAAACAAGAAGACAAAAACAAACCAGTATTTTTTTTTTTCATTCGTTATTCAACGTTGGATGTGATCTATCACCTACAGAACAGTAATCCTTCGTACCTATTTTTTTTTCTTTCTTTCTTTTCATATCTTTCAAGAATAAAATAAAAAAAAGAACTGACCTATGTTCGGAATCTCCATGGATAGAGACCCCAGTACCGTTAGTTTCTTTCTTATCGTCAGTGTTCAAACTCGAGACTTTGAATACTCTACGTACTCTTTGTATATATTGAGTAATATTTTAGTTGAGCAATATCCAGACATACATCAATTTGCTTTGTTTTTGTCTTTTTGTGGATTTTCAGGTCCTTTAAATTTCCAAAACATTTGGGGCGTTGGGCTACTTCGGTACTTCCAGTGATTCAGAGTGTGTACATTGCTCTCATGTTTGATCTGTGATACTACTTCTGTGTTCTAAGTTCGGAATTTAACAAAAGCAGGATTAACACCTAGAATTTATGAGCCAGACGCCTATGTATTAAATTTGTAAGGCATGCAGATTGCAGAGTAGGGCTAAATAAGGCGTTTCCCACAAAATTGCTTCTTGTGCTAGGATTTCTTTTTTCTAGGTTTTTCTGTTGCTTTCAACATCATTACATCATTAGTGTATCCATAATCAAATATTATGGATGAAACAATCTCTAGTGATCTCATGCATAATATGAGCGATGAAGAGCTTCTTTGGCGAGTGTCTTCGGCCAAGTTTCCACCTTCCTCTGCTTTCTATCTTCGCCATTGGGAAGTTTGGAGAATGGGGAAGAATGACAATGTGCGATGCAGAGAGGAGGCTTCTTGCAAACGCGATAAGAATGATTCTTTTTTCCTCTTAGATTCATGCATTCCCTCCTATCTACGGTTACATACTTACATAACCAAATCAAAACACATATTTATGGGTTCATTTGATGATCGCAGTCCCTACGGCCGAGGCCGCTACAACGGCAACATGTCCCTGAAGATTCCATAAATAAATGGAGAAAAGGGTCTCAATGTTTTGGCCTTGCAGTGTCCATTGTCAAAGATACATTGTATTACCCTAAATTCAAATATTTCTGTACACCAGCATGTTATGTGAACGAGCATTATTTCCCAACAATGTTGACAGTTGAGAAACCAGCGGTCTTGGCTAACAGGAGTTGGACTTGGGTCGACTGGTCTAGAGGTGGTGCCCAGTGATAATCTCTGGTTCTATTATAATCCTTAGAAACATGTGTAAAACAACTCATCAAATTGTATTCTTTTTCCTAGAGATTCTTCCAAATTCATGTTCGGTCCTAGAAATAGAACTGGTTTGTAGACATGTGTTGTAAACGTGATACCAGAGACTGAGTACTTTTCCTCACCCCTTAACATAGTGATATAATAAATTTTTTATTTATATACTGATCATCATCTTTTATTCAGATTTTTATGTCACACAGTACGTACATAGAAAAAGCTCCTTATCTATGGAGCAACTAAAAAGAGAAGACATGAAGATGATCTTGATGAGGATTATAAAGTGCGTTTGGTTCTTTCATGCATCTGCGAGCTTCTTATTCTTTTTGAAGGAGAGGCTTGAGCGGAGGAAATCTTGTTTGGCAGGCTTTATGGGACCGTTTATGAACTTTTGGTACCATTTGCCAGAATCTTTGAGGTCTCTATCAGTGACATTGTTCCAATCAATGTAACTGAGTCCGTATCTCACAGTAAAGCCTGCTCCGAATTCATAATTATCCCCAAGAGCCCATGCAAAATATCCTTTGACATTGACGTTAAACTCTCTGAAAACAAGGCCAATCATTAAAAGGTGGCGTACAATTTGATGAATTGAACATACATGCATATATGTAAATGAACATTGGAAGAAGAATAGCACCAACTCACTTGATTGCCTTACTGAGAAAACAAAGATGACTACAGTGATAATCAATCCTGGTTGGATCGACCACACCCACCTCAGCGGTTACATTACCGGCAGTAGGGATTCCTAATTCAACCGTCATAACATGAATAATTTTCCACGATATTTGAGTCAGTTTCTTGAACAAATTTTAAATTACATATAACATGTAAAGAATGAATAAAAAGATTACTAGTAGAACTCACCGTTCTCCGTGACATAGATTAAAGGGTCACCGTATCTTTCTTTGAAGTGCTTCATTACATCTAATATGCCTCTTGGGTAGTAATACATTCCATTGGTGGGGTTGAACTGATAATGGAAACAAATATAAATCAGAATAATAGAGATGGTTGTTATAATTTTGCTAAAATTATGAAATGAAAGGAATAGGGGTGGATCATGTATATACATACCACTGGACCAATGGTATGGTTACTTGCATTAACATCTGTAAACACAAGGATAAAATAGTTGATTGTCACTCACAAAATATTTTTATAGTAAAAAGGATATATAGATATATATATAATATACACGTTACTAATTAGTGGAAACAGAGTGGTACATGTCAATTGTACGCGTGGGTCCGTCATGGCAGAGACCCTAGGAGCTGGGGCTGCGTCTTGGGCGTACTGAGTGAAGTAATAGTTGAGACCAAGAAAATCAAAGGAACCTTTTACAAGTTCGGATTCCTCTTCCGTGAACTCTGGAAGCCGACAACCCACATATTCCCTCATGCCGTCTGGATATTTACCTTTTGTTAGCGGCTCCATGTACCTGATGTACGTACGTTACATGTTTCGTTATCTGTTACATAAATATTAATCTGAAAAATTATTTCATTTTTGGATTATGTATATACCATCCCAAAAAGAATTCTTTCATCCTCTCAGTTGCTTCTATGCTGGTTTTATCAGTGACATTATATGGAAGAAACCATCTAGTTATCATCACAGGTCCAATCTGTCCTCCTTGTGTTGGCTGTGTTCACGCAAACATTTATGTATGCACACAAGGATGTTTAAACTTGTTAGATTTTTCTTTTTTTTACAAATGAGAACTAGCTCACCTTATATTTCTTCCTGTAAAGATCCACGACCGTGGCGTGAGCAATAAGCTGATGATGTGCAACAATGTATGGTTCTGTTGCTGAATTTCCAGCGTAACATGAGCTATCTTGCCAATGGGAACATCGACCGGGTGCATCAGATCCAAGTCCGTAGCCTCTTGTGGGCACTGTGTAGAGCTGGTTTATCGTGATCCAGTTCTTTACCATGTGACCAAATAACTCGAAACATAGATCCGCATAATCTCTGAAATCATCTCTGTGAATATCATAGACTCATTTCATTAATGAAAGATCAAATCTTTAGATGTTGTCATCTTATATAATTAATAAGCAGCATGGAATAATGAACGTACATGATCTGGGGACTCAAGAAACCTTCATAATCATCTTGCAGAACTTGAGGAAGGTCCCAGTGAAAGAGGGTAACAAAAGGGGTTATATTCCTTTCGAGGAGGCCTTTTATGAGATCGTTGTAATACTTAATACCATCTTTGTTCACTCCCCTATTCCTCCTTCCTCCTGCTCATATGTATGTATATTAGCTCTTTTCATATAATCACAAATTCACAATCCATCGAATAATACCATATCTATGTAGACATAAGACATGCATGGGCTAATGATGTGTACATACTTGGAATGATTCTTGACCACGCGAAAGAGAATCTGTAGCCAGTAGCATTGAGTTCGTCGAGCACGTCTATATCTTTCTGCAGTTTATATGTAGAATTGCATGTCAAGTTGATAGATAATTTGGTGAGTAATATATGTTAGCATATATTTGTTGAAGAATTAACCTGCCAATACGAATATGAGTCACACGTAGTATCTCCATTCCCATGATCGGGTCCTGCTTTACCTGATGGTAGACAAATACTTTATTATGAATGTAAGAGTTATAACCGACATATATATATATATATATATATATATATATGTAACCATGCAAATAACAAACTTGGGTATCGGTGAGTGAAGCCATCCCAAATGTTAAGACCACGATTAATGCCACCTTCGATCTGAAATGTAAAGAAACAACCATGCATGCAATGTTAGAGTTTCGTGTTTTTAATGATTTATTGTATACACCAAATGTATGAGTTCTGGCAACACCATAATGTGTTATTTGTTACATGCCTGGTAAGCAGAAGATGCAAGACCGAAGATGAAGTCTTTTTCAAAACTGCCACTGTTGAAATGATCAGTTTGGTTGCATGTGAATGGCTCGTTCTCTTCGCAAGTAATATCATCACCTTTGCAAGTCGCCACAGCTAACAGAAAAGCTAACGTGAGCCCAAGATGCTTCATGGTTAATCTGTAGATGTATGTGTTGTGTTGTACGGAACCTGGTGCCAATATAGGGTTTATATAGCCTTTAAATATAAAGAGACGTATGCATTTTCGGTTCTTAGTATCTTGCTATTTTGGGAGAGGTTTAGGTAACATGAATCCCGTGGCTTTTTAGAGTGGTTTTCTCTTCAATCGATCATTAACGTGGCAATCTTATCTCAACTGTGAATGATTTATATACTGTAATTTTTTCAGAGTTAAATCTTGTTAATAACAATGAATAATTTTACTCATTCCATTCCTAAAAGAATGATATCTTAGAGTTCTTTCACAATTTAAGAAACAATTAATGTTAGTTATATAACTGCATCATTTTCTTATACTAAAACACTTTTCTATAACTATTAATCAATAGTAATATAAAACATTTCAAATATTTTTAATAATTATTTTTGAAGTTTACTATGTAGTAACATGATTTTTTTTTTTTTTTTTGGTTAAACATGAGTAACATGAAATGATTAGAAATACGTAAAAATCCCTAGTTTTAAATTCCTAGGTGGTCCTAATTAAGATGGAAGGAAAGAATATGGAAATAAAGACTAAGAACAGTAAAATCTAGTGTAATCAGCATCCTTGGCAACAGAATGAGTATCTATTGTAATTTTCTTAATATCATCATCTCGATAGTTACCTATGCTTTCATTTTTATACGGTACTAGCACAAGTTTTCCTTATCCGGAACATGAATAGGAGCACAAACTGTCAATGTGTGATATCGAAGGTTTGCGCAGAACCATATATGCATCAAGATTCCTTTTAGTAGATAATGTTCAAAGCCTCTTAAGTTGGACTTGGCGTGAGAATTACCATAGAGTTATTGAAAAAGTATATAAAAATATGATCAATTCAGAGTTACAGTGCCTTGGTTAAGGAAAAAATAATTACATTGATCCAAGGCCTCACTCATCACGAGCATCACCGCTCACAGTCACCACACATCACAGGAAACCAGAGAGTCTTTCTCTCGAAAATACAAAAGGTAACAAAAACAACGTAACCACTACTTTTGTTTATGTAATTTTTTGTTAAATCGTTATTGAATATTGGTAGTGATTATCATCTGCAAAGCAGTAATCTTTCGTAGCTACTGATTAGTATATTTTGGTTTCCATATTTACAAAATTATATAAAAACATAGTCATTGGGTCCTCCTAGAAACATCTACTAAATTTTTCGAGTTGTTCCAAAGGATCAAAACTGTTATCTGGGGCAAGTGGTTAGATCTATTATGACATATCTATAGGGATGCTAACGGACTCTTTTTTTATTCAAAAAATATTTTCGCGCCTTGGGGTACAAAAAGTATTTGTTTTATAAACACTATTTTAATTTAACTAACCAAAAGTTTATTGGCCCTATGCTCATGTATACTATCCTTAGATAGACCCGAGCACGATTACCTTAATATTCTACTTATCTCATTCGTTATACAAATTTACTAACAAATTCTCCGTGGTTTCATTTGTTGGTTTTGTTGCTTTCTTTTACCTTTCAACATAATGAAGTAAATAAGTTTGAGCCTATATTGATCATCATTTATTAGGAATTTTATTTCATACAACAGGTAGAACAAGCTCCTTATCTATGGAGCAAGTAGAAAGAGGAAACATGCAGATGATCTTCAAGGACATAAAGTTAAGTTTGGGTGTTTCATGCATCCGCGAGCTTCTTCTCCTCGAATGAGAGGTTTGAGTGGAGGAGACCTTGGTTCTCGGAGTTCTTGGGGGTAACTTTTAAGAACTTTTGGTACCACTTGCCAGATGCTTTGAGGTCTCTATCAGCAGTGAGATTGGCGAAATCAACGTAACTGAGTCCAAATCTGACAGTATAGCCTGCGCCGAATTCATAATTATCCCCAAGAGCCCAGGAAAAATATCCTTTCACCCTGACTTTATCTTCACTAAACATAGAAAAACAGGAGGAACAGTCATTAATCAAATTAGAAAAAGCATAATTGATGATCATACATAATATAGAAAAAGAAAAAAAAAAGGAACGTTGGAAGAAGAGAAGCATCCACTCACTCGATGGCCTTACGGAGAAAACAAAGATGAGTGCAAAGATAATCAATCCGTGTGTAATCGGCAACAGCTTCTTTAAAATTTTGGTTACCAGGGGTACTAATTCCTAACATATGAAGAAAAGTTGAGTCAGTTTCTTGGAAACAAACTAATAAGCATGTATAGCTAGACGAATGAGATGAGTAGTACGTAGAACTCACCGTTCTCGGTGATATAGATTAAAGGGTCACCGTATCTTTTCTTGAAATGCTTCATTACTTCTAACATGCCTCTTTGCCAGTAATAAATGTCTCGCTGGAACTGAGATAGCGAACCAAAAGAATGAATGATATTATATATGTTACTAAAAAATGAAGGAAAGAAAAATAAGGTGAATGATGCATACCGTTGGACCATGGGGGATACCAGTTGCATTAGTACCTATAAACACACAAAAGGAGGATCAAATTTAATTGATGGTCACAAAATATAATATGTTGTAATTAAAAGGAGATATATATATATATATATATATATATATATATACTAAGTGGAAATAGAGTGGTACCTGTGAAGTTTGCGCGTAAGTCCCTAATGACAGTGAGCTTTCCCGGCGGAGCTGGATCATCAGCTTTGGCGTACTGAGTGACGTAATAGTTGAGACCAAGAAAATCGTACGAACGATATACGAGTCTGGCTTCGGCTTCCGTGAAGTTGGGAAGTCGACTACCAACATATTGCCTCATGATGTCTGGGTATCTACCCTTTGTTAGTGGTTCCATGAACCTATGCATATATATACATACATCTATTACGTTCATGTTAAAAAAAAAAAAAAAAAAAAAAAAAAAAAAATTGGATAATAAACAATATACCATCCGAAGAAGAATTCTTTGCTCCTCTCAGTTGCATCTTTGCTTGCTTGAGTGTCATCATATGGAAGAAACCATCTAGTTATCATAACTGGTCCGATCTTTCCTTTTTGGTACTGCATGTGGTCACGCAGACATATATATACACAATGATGGTTAAATTCGAAATCATATGCTAGTATTAGATTACATCTTTTACCAATAGAGGAGAACTCACCTTATATTTCTTCCTGTAAAGATCCACGGCCGTGGCATGAGCAAGAAGCTGGTTATGTGCAACAATGTAGGGTTCTGTTGCAGAATCTCCACCGTAACATTTCTTGTCAACCCAAGGAGAACATCTACCAGGTGCATCTGCTCCCGTTGCATAGCCTCTCGTAGGCACCGTGTAAAGTTGGTTGATCGTGATCCAGTGCTTTACCCGATCACCAAATTCCTCGAAACATAGATCCGCATAGTCTTTGAAATCCTTTCTGCATGTGCATATTATAGAATCATTTCATTAATGAAAGATCAAAATCTTTTTGTATGTTGACATCTTTCTTTCATAGCATGGCTTAAATGACATACATGATCTCGCGGTCCAAAAACCCTTCATACTCATCTTGCAGTGTTTGAGGAAGGTCCCAGTGGAAGAGGGTCACGAAAGGTGTTATGTTCCTTTCGAGGAGGGCATCTATGAGATCGCTGTAGTACTTAATACCATCTTTGTTGACTCCCCTACTCCTCTTTCCTCCTGCTCATATATTAAGTTATTATCTCTTCCAAACAGTCACAATCGATACTACGATATACATGTAGTTACATGGATCAATAATGTGTGCATACTTGGAATGATTCTTGACCACGCCAAGGAGAATCTGTACGCATTAACTCCGAGTTCTGACAACACGTCGACATCTTTCTGCAGTTAATATATAAATTGCATGTCAGTCCACACGTAGACGTAGTTGATAGATAATTCGGTGAGTTAATATAAATAAATAAGTAAAAATATATGTATATAATTTACCTGCCAATACCGATATGAATCACAAGCAACGTCTCCATTCAGCAAATCGGGTCCTCCTTTCTCTGATCGTTTTCAAATCGTACATTACTATGAATGTCTAGAGACATGTGTATCCAACAATATTCCTCTCATATATATAAATACATAAGCCTTTCTATAAATAGCAAGAAAGCAACCATGCAGACGACAAACCTGGGTATCGGTGAGTGAAGGCATCCCAAACGTTAATACCACGACCTGTGCCACCTTCGATCTGAAATGAAAAGAAACAGCGCCATGCAACGTTGGACATTAGTGTTTCTGATTTTTTTTTCTAAACGTCAAAATTGGTGGTACACAATGTGTGATTTGTTACATGCCTGGTAAGCAGCAGACGCAACGCCGAAGATGAAGGGATCATCTTGCTTATCGAAACTGCCTCTGTTGAAAATATCAGTTTGGTTACATTTGGTGTATGGCGGTGTGCCCTCTTCGCAGGTAATCTCACCTTTGCAAGTCACCACAGCTAATAGAAGAACTAAGGTGAATCCAAGATGATTCATGGTTAATTTGTTGATGTTTTCTGTTGTATGGAACATTATGCTAATGTAGGGTTTATATAGCCTTAGTAAACAAGAGTGGCATATGCATTTTCTTGCCAAGTGTCGTTATATTCTGGGAGAGGTTTAGGTGAGATCAATCCCGTGGCTTCACTTCCTCTAGCTCAATGTTCACCGGCATTTGTTGTTTTATTTCCACTTTTCAGATCTAGACTAGCTCTTCAGTCGTTCATTTCATTGAGAAATATGTTTTATCTCAATTCTGAATTATTGGTTACTATCAATGTTTTGGATTTAATTTGGTAAATAATAATATTGGGTTTTTTTTTCAAATGATAAACTCCTAAGTTGTAATATGTTATTTTATTGAATGAACTTTTGAATTAAAATATGTTTATTGTTGTTCTCGTAGCTATCCCCGACTGTAAAATAATCTTTTGTTCAAACGTCTACAATTTTATATATATTTAAAAAGGCTTTTATTTTTATAATTATAATTTTTATCAATAAGTTCATACTATACAATTTAAATAACTTTTGATATATTTTTTTTATTATAAGTTTCCAACTTTGATGATTTTTTTTCTCTTCTAAGGAACACAAACAAAATTTCAACAAGGTATCATTTATTTTATTTTTAAAACATGATAAGAAAAGAAATATATATGTTATTATGAAATGACATATATATAAACTAAAAAAAACAAGATAAAAATGGAAAAAAGGTTATCTAGCATAATTTAGTTTAAATGTCCAGAAATTCATAGAGGAGCATGGACGAATGAGTTATCAAATAATGAAGAAAAAAAAATTAGGAAAAAATGTACATAAATATTTACCAAGTAATGAATCAATTACGGCTAAAAATTACTTTGGGGGCACACCTTCGTTCTATGATCCCCCCTGAATTCAATGGCTAACAAAGCTGACAGTCTTCCAGATGGCAAATCAATTCTGATAAGTCATAGAAGAATATGAAGCAAAATGTTGGTTGAGCTTTTTTTTTTTTTTTTTTTTGTCTCGTCTTTTGGAGCGAAAGTCCAGGTTTCTTGTGATAAAGCATCGAGCGGACAAAATGGACAAGTTATGCGGTGACAGTGAGCGGTGAGGCTCGTGATGAGTGTTTCCTTGACTCCTTGGATTAAAGTATTTGTTTTTGTTTTTCATTCCCATGGCATTGTTAATCTATAGATTGCATTCTTGATACTATCTTTTTATTGATCTTTCAATAATCTGGTGGTGTCAATTCTAACTCCAAGTCCAACTTAATTAAGAGACTTTGAACATATCATCGACATCGACTACAAGGAATCTTAATGCATGACGTTCTAATTTTGCGTAAACCTTCCATTCAGATGTTGCATTACATCATTGATGAAGACTAGATACAGTTTGTGCTCCAAGTCTACGTGTTCCCCGGATAAACAAACACATGTGCTAAACAACAGAAATATAAAACCAAAAAAAAAAAAAAAAAAAAAAAACGAACAACAACAGAAAATTAGAGCAACACAGTTCGTCTTGCGTATTTATATTAAACTGACCTAAATGATTTGTTTAAGTATTTTTAATTTAAAAACACACCAAAACAAATATTTCAAATAAATATATAGGAATAGCTAAACTTTTGGTGATGTTTAACCGAATTTTCTCTAACATAAAAAAAGAATAGTTTACGTTTTCAGTCAGCATTCACATAACGAACGTATACTGGATTTTCTGAGCATTATGATTGGTTTGGCAATAGTGCGACAACTATGGTTCGAGCCTTTGACCGTCCATCATAGTCAAGTGTCTATAGTAGAACTTAGTAGTTCCTTGTTATGCAAGAAAAGACATATTACTGTAATATCATCAATCTTCTTAGATTTAAGCTTCTTCTTCCAAGTAGTTTCAGCTGCTTCCGCCACCAATTTAGCTGCAGTGGATTGATTTTTCCGGGAACTCCATACTAGCGATACAACTTCATCATTGCTAAGCATATCCCAAACCTGCGATTATATGTTAAATACCAAATATATTTTTCCATCGTACATAGTGAAATAGAAATCCAAAATTTAAATCACATATATGCTTTTACCCCGTCTGTAGCGAGTACAAGGAACTGGTCTTGAGTAGTAATTTGGTGGTGAGAGACCTCTGGAACCGCAATAACGCCATGGTCTTTGAGCCTGAAATCTCCAAAAGCTCTTGACATGGCTAATCCTGGTATGTCATGGTTTGGTAGCCACACCCTTTGGCTACTCGGTTCTGTTTTCATTGCGAGAACACGGCCTTTGCACATCCTGATCCTCTCTGCTTCACCTGCGAGAATTCGCTACAAAAGTATCACTAACACCTCTAATGATATTCAATTGCTCCTCTAGCCAATAAGAGAGTGAAACAAGCATACTAGGGACGTCAGGTGTTAGGTCGGATGTTAACTGTACTGCGCTGATCTCATCATCTTGGTTCATTGTCCCCAACACTGCCCTTGAATCACCGAGGTTTGCTATCAAGAGATTATCTCCCTATAAACAAAGGAATCGATCAGCTCCAACTTGTAAAAAAATTGCTGTATGACATTTAATGGTTGCAAGTGGACAAGTAGCGAAAGAAATGTACATGAGTAATGGCAACAACAGCAGTGGAGCCACTAAATGAGCATTCAAAGACTTGAAGAAGAAGCTCCTTGTCAACGAGTCTGAAGGCAGAGAAACAAGCTTTTTCCCACTTGTGTTCTTCTTCACAAACATGAGATTCTTGGTTTAGCTCATTCTTTAGTGTTGACATAAGCGATGGCAATCTATTCCTCACCATTTTGCTCACCATGTGCCCATTTTTGCCGTGCCCATCAAACACTCCACATAGCTCTGCATCCCCTGTTCCATACCCCTGCGGGATCATAACCAATTTAAGCACATTTCTACTTAACTTTTAACATTGGAAAATCTTAAAATTTCAGCATGTAAAGATGGTCTAATCTAGGCTTCGATTCAGTTTGCGTGTTCAAAATTATTAGCATCTCAAAAAAAATTATTTTTTTAAACACAAATTACAAACACTTTACAAAAGGTTTAAAATTTATAATAAGAAACTAAAATGTGTTAAATTCGTTAAGAAAAACTAACTTAGGATCTAAATACAAATGTAGAAATTGACATTAGAATCAGTCAAGGTGGATTATATATCTTGCTAAAATGATATAAAATGAAATCGCGCGTCTCAACCTGCACACAATATTATTACAATTCATAAGATTTTTGTATATTACTCAAAAATAAATCCAACCAAACAAGTTATCTTTGTGATGCGACTGTCCTAACCAAGTTATGGAAATGAAAATTAGTTCCTCATGAGAAAAAAAAAAGGAAAATATCAAAATGAACTACCAGGTAAAGAACAGCATTATCTTGGTTAAGCGCTTTGCTTCCTTTGATAGAGCAGACCGAACCGAGGCGATGAACGGGAAGGTCTTGATCTAAACCGAACTCTTCGCCATAACACACCACCGCATTTCCATCACCGTGCTCATTCTCCTCGTGTATCTCCGATGAGGAAGACGGCAACGAGAAGCAATGACCCATAACTTCACCAAATTACTTGGAAATAATATTTAACAGAAAACGAAAGAGAAGACCTTTTGATAATCGAATCCCAGATCCTTACAAATATAAAGATTGATTGGACGACCCATTCAGATCTTATATGAAATATGAACAGCCTTTTCTTGAAGTTGGAGCTTAGTTATAATTTTATAACATTATTACTAGTTACGTGGCAACAATATGAGTTCAAAATTTCAACGAAATCAATTATTATATGATAATAAAAATAAAGTTGACTTGTATTTAATATACTGAATTTACAACTATGTTGCCCGAGTTTTGCTTGAAAGGGCAAGTTCTGATCCTGCGCAGGCATTAGTTTGACAGGCATTCTACTTATAGATCATACCCTATTGAGAAAATGCTTGATGTGTGCTACCGAATATTTTAATAACTAATATACACTTATCCATATTATTGGAGGACTTTGAGTTTAATTGAATAATATGGTGAGCTAGCAACATTTAGGATTTAAGTGTGCTCTTGCCGGAAACAAAGTGCTTTGTGAGACTTAAACCCCGCCCAATTTCTTGAGTCCATAGTGAAAAGTCTCTGGCTCAAGGCATTTTCTAACCGAATCTCCACGTTTTCGTTCTTTTTAAAATTGACTCATAATCATTTTCATGCTTACCTTCATTTAATTTAGCAATTTGCATCGGAAACCTTCTTAACATAAATCATGATTTTTGTTTAATCGAAGAGTTAAATACAAAAAGTTATACAATTTCCATAGGCTACAACGTTTATATCTAAACAAGTTGATGCATCCATTTAAGATATGTAAGCAAATGAATTGTTTAGTGAGTAGTGAGTACTACCATCTCGTTTCACTAAACTAAGTACAAATGATCATGTAGTAATCCACTGAATCAATCTATCCTATCACTGATTCATTTCCAATCAACCACTTATATCTAGTTTGATCATTTTTGTCTCGGACCAAATCGATTTACGCATCTAGAAAAAAAGGTACATATGGTGAGATTTTGGTAAGGTTTCATCACTTGGTTAACTCCATCTATTCTTAGTATCTTTCGGTATCAACTTGTTTTGACTAGTCAAGTGGCCGTTGTTCGGCCACGTAGCCCAAATTCCCACATGCAGAAAACTATGTCGTGTTGTGTGGCCGAAGAATAACCACTTTGAAAGTGGTTGGAAAAAAGAACCAAACCAACCAAACCGACGACTAATTTAACTCTGGTTAACCGAATCGAACCGAAAATGCCGAAACAGTTTCACTTTGTTAGCGAAACGCAGCCGTCTTCGGCCCCATAAAGAGAAACGTATAAACTTTGACTTAACAACACGCCTTGGCCTTGCTCTGCTCCAATGGAAAAGTCGTGATTTTTGCATTTACCTACCTTCTTCGCATTTTCCCCTAACTTGATTCTCTCGAAAAAGCTTTTCGCTTTTAAGGGCCTAATCAAAACCCTAAACCCACAATCCAATTCCTCCTTCCGAAATTCGATTTCTCCTCTTCCTCTCTTTCTCTCTCTGTTTATCGCAATTGCGGATCGATTTGAATTTCTAGCTATGGAAGCGACGGCGTTATCAGCTGGATTTCATCCTCTTCTGAAGCCTAACGGATACAAATCCCCGAGGTCAGGGCTTCTCCATCGATTTGGTTTTGATCGCTTTAGGGATTTAGGATCGCGAATTGTTGCTGGAGACTTGATTTTGAATAGCTGCTATGAAAACAGATCATACCTGCTCATTGATTACTCTATGGACGATGATTCTTATGTAATGGCGAATTTTGGATAGCTAATCAATTGGTTTGATCTGTGTACAGGTCATGTTCTCAGAAGAATTCTCTATCTTTCGTTCGATGCGAGTCATCTAGCGGATTCAACAAACCGAAACCCGAAGGATCTATTGCGATCACGCACCGTGGATCGAGCTTCAAGACGAACGTGTTCGAGCAAGCCCATTCCGTGGCTGGAGACGCCTCTTCTTACGATGACACCACAGCTAAAACCCGTTCCCATGTCGCAGAAGATAAGATCGGTGTCCTGCTTTTGAACTTAGGTGGCCCTGAAACTCTCAACGACGTGCAACCATTCTTGTATAACCTCTTTGCAGACCCGGTGAGACTCTGAAATCTCTTCTTCGCTCTCGCAGTTTTTTGTTTGTAAAGTCATTGAGTGAGTTAACTTTCGTTTGTTGCAGGATATTATAAGGCTTCCAAGACCATTTCAGTTTCTCCAAGGGACGATAGCGAAGTTTATATCTGTGGTTCGCGCTCCTAAGTCGAAAGAAGGGTATGCTGCTATTGGCGGTGGCTCTCCATTGCGTAAGATAACCGATGAGCAAGCAGATGCTATTAAGATGGCTTTACAAGCAAAGAACATTGCTGCTAACGTCTATGTTGGCATGCGGTATTGGTTCCCATTCACTGAAGAGGCTGTTCAGCAGGTGATTGTCAGCTTAATCCTTATCTTGGTTGTGTTGATGGAGTTGCTTATCTTAACAAAGCTATTTACAATTCAAACAGATTAAGAAGGACAAAATTACAAGACTTGTTGTACTACCGTTGTACCCTCAGTATTCTATCTCCACGACTGGTTCGAGCATCCGCGTTCTTCAAGACTTATTCAGGTTTGTGTATGCCACAAAGCATATTGTATATCTGTTTTCAGATCTCTTAACAGAAATTATATCATTCAGGAAAGATCCGTACCTAGCTGGAGTGCCAGTTGCTGTTATACAGTCGTGGTACCAAAGACGAGGCTATGTTAATTCCATGGCAGACCTCATTGAGAAGGAGCTTCAGATTTTCTCTGATCCTAAGGAGGTACAGTTATTTCTCCCACACCCTTCATTATACATTTATAGTCTAAAACATTGGCTAAAATTGGTCTCTTGTCTGTATGATTTTTAGGCTGTGATATTCTTCAGTGCTCATGGTGTGCCAGTCAGTTACGTAGAGAATTCCGGAGATCCATACCAGAAACAGATGGAAGAGTGCATTTACTTGATTATGGAAGAGCTAAAAGCCAGAGGTGTTCCTAACGAGCATATATTGGCGTACCAGGTTTGGTCATATCATGTGTCTTCTCATGACCTCTTTATATCAAGTCCTCTAATTGATTCTAGCAATAATTCCTTATCTTCCAGAGTCGTGTTGGGCCTGTACAATGGCTGAAGCCATACACCGATGAGGTTCTCGTCGACCTTGGTAAGAAAGGTGTTAAGAGTCTACTAGCCGTTCCAGTCAGGTGAGAGAACATTTAATAATCTCCCTCTAAGCTCTTTTGATTCTTTAGTTATTGACCGTTTTTCTGCTGTCTTGGATTGGATTTCAGTTTTGTGAGTGAGCACATTGAGACTCTTGAAGAGATAGACATGGAGTATAGGGAACTAGCTCTAGAGTCAGGGATAGAGAACTGGGGCCGAGTCCCGGCGCTAGGTCTAACGCCGTCCTTCATCACCGACTTGGCTGATGCGGTGATAGAATCTCTCCCTTCAGCAGCAGCAATCTGGAACCCAAGTGTCTCAGAAGATAGTGAGTCATCAGACGCTTTCAGTTACCTTGTGAAGATGTTCTTCGGTTCGATCCTGGCTTTCGCACTGCTTCTCTCCCCAAAGATGATCGATGCTTTCCGGAACCATCTTATATAGAAACCTATTGAATCTCCAATGAAAAAGTTGGTTTTGTGTTCTCTAATGACTTGGTCAGGTTTAATATATATAGTCCAATGTATTGAAGTACTAGCATACCAGCTCTCTAATGAGCTGATGTGGGTGAGTAGTTCAATACATTGGACTATATGTATGAAATTTGACTAAGATGTAAACTAGAGAAGAAGGGAATAAGTTCTTGGGGAAGATACAGAGTAGATGTATTTAAATATGGAAGAGGCAATTTAACTTTAAACATAGTGCTACGTTTCTCTTAGAGATGAGGAAGGGGATGTAATCTTCTATGGTATTGTTTTGTTTTTTTTATCGGTATTATTTTTCTTAATCAAAAAGAGTTCTATCAATTCACATTCCATATAAACAAAACAGTAAAAAAGAACACATTACAGAAGAAGATTATATATATGTACACACACGTATGCATATTGGCATTAGGACAGTTCACGTGGAAACTGATTCTGGTCGTGTCTTGATTAACCCTGTACGTGAGAGATTCTCAATGGAGTTCGCAATAACTCTGGCGCTCGACTTCATATACCCGCCTGCACAGAGTTATCACATAAACGTCTTGTAATCCTTTAAAACCATTACTCATAGCATAAGGTTTTGGTTGTGTTAAATTCAATATCGAACCTGAAGTCAGCATCACAACTGGAATGTCTCTCTCCCTTGCAACTCTGAATACTCTCTCATCTCTACTTGTTATACCATCAGGGCTTATCTGCAACAAGAGTTACCACCAAGTTAGAGACATTATAAATGAAGAAAGAAACTAATATTTTGCTGAGACATTTTATAAGGTAAAAACCACAATGATATAAATTTACCTTAAGACACCCGAGAGGGTCTCCGTCTAAGATATCAGTCCCAGCATTGTAAACTACCAATTCTGGTTGGAAGTTACTGAAAGCAACCTGAGAGTTTTAGCACCATCCTAGGTTAAAGACTAATCATGTTTTTTTTCAGAGAAGCAAGTTTCTAGGTTATTCAGCTTCATAGTTAAGATAACATTTCATGATCCTAAACTATCATCGCCAAGAAACAAGAGATTAAGGTACTGTACTAATGCATACCTCAAGGGCTTGATCTAGCTTCCTCAAATACTCATCGGTGGTGGTCCCGCTCTGTAAAAATAAGGACATAATTATAATGTGACACAAAACAATCAAATTAGTTCAATCTGATACTTGGAAGAAGGTAGGCTTGCTTAGTTTCTTACCACCACCTCAACCTTCTGATCGATAAATTTCCTAGCTCTATAATCCTGGAAGAACAAAAACAGAACAGATAAATTGAACTGTTAAATGCAAACACAAAAGCATAAGACCAAACTGCACATAAAGATAAAAGAGGAATGGAAATGACTTCCAAAGAGCAAAGCTCCGAAAATGACAGCTTACAAAAGGGTATATCTCAGGATTGTACATATCCAGAATGTAAACGCGACCTAAGGACAAAAAAAATGTTATCAGCATATTGAACACAGTCAAGGCAAAGGATGATGTAATAAACAAATAAAGTTTATCATACTGTCATCGCCGAGATCAGTTTCGTGGCCATTCCCTTGATGAGCATCAAGATCTATTATCATAACCCTGTTCGAGTTTTAACAAGGTCAAGAACTACATTTGCCAAAGAGCCCCTCTAATAGAAGCAAAACGTTACCCATTAGAGAGAACATTTTTTTACCTTGATATTCTTAGACGAAGAAATGCAAACTGAATACAAAGAGAAATATCAGCAAAAGCACAAAACCCGCCTCCTCTTTCGGCAGTACAATGATGAAAACCTCCTCCAATGTTTATCGCCCATCCACGTTCTACTGCAAGTTTAGCTGCCAGAATCGTCCCACCAACCTATCACACACCCACACTGTGATCACCTTCTCCGAAACAATCAAAGAGGTAAGTAACAAAATGAATCTTTTTACCTGTTTTCGGAATGGATCAAGAACTTTCTGCTGCACAAGAAAATTTGGGAAAAAAGCAACTGGTGGAACCTATATTACACAGCAAAGCGTCAAAATGTATAAGAAACAAATTATTCAGTGACAAAAGAAACATTCCCTTCTCATGTTAAATCCACATCACCTCTGTTATCCTAGCGACAGTGGCACTGCTTTTCAAGCTGTTTAAGTAGTTCAACGAATGTACCTGATTCATTATAACCGTTAAGAAACCAATACATAAATGAAAGGAGCTATATGCCACACAAATCATTTCAAGCAAATAAAACTTGAAAAAAAAAAAAGTACCACTAAAAGATCACTATTCGAAGCTTGTAGAGGCTCAACGATTGATTTCTCCTCCAAAAACCCATCGGATATAAGGAACTTGCAAACTCGACCCCACTTGGTAGAATCAAATGGATGCCTGCACATATCAGATACCAAACATCAGAGTCAAAGATTGAAGTTAAAATTTTTAACATATTCTCATACTAAAGAAGCCACAAACATTCAAGAAATTCCTCAAGATTGGTCAAAAATGATACAAGAAAACTGCAAAGATTGGGCAAATAATACTCACAACTTCTCAATCCCCATGAAGGAGATGTCGTATCCCGATGAATAGATAATCGAAACCTGAAGATCAATCAAATTAGTCACTCAGAATCGTGAAACCTTATGGGAAAGAACACAGAAATATCGAATATAGATTGCCTTTGATTCGGGGACTTGGAAGTAGAGTTTGCTGGAAAGAATCCGATCTCGCCGGAGAGCTTCTGGGTGGGTCTCCATAGAAAACGACGACATTTCAGATGATTGGAAGCAACGGTAGAGAAATTGGGACGCTTTGATGGCGGCAAACGTGAAGAGCAAGTAAACAGCTGAGTCACGAGTTATATCGGTCCAGGTCGAGACGACTCGTGTAGCTTCTTGCATCACTTTTGTTTAAAAACCTGAGCTCTGTCTCTCCGAAGCGGCGAGATTTCTGTTCTTGGAGATATATACTTTCCAGACGCGCGGATGAGGCGCGTTGATCTGACTTTCCCTTGCCTGTTTTTAAAAGTCATCGCGACGACCTTTTGCTTTTTCCTTTTATTATTTGCTTGAATTATTCTTTTATCCCTTATTTTACATTTCAGTAGTCATTTTTTTATAGGAAATAAATTGGAAAATAATTGTGTTTAGCCAACAAGTAAGTAAAATATGACCTACTGAAATATATTATGTGGCATTCTTGTATTAATCATTTCTTAACGCATCAACATATTTAAAAAGGTATAAAAAAAAATAAAAATAAATAAGTGATCAAAGAATATTTTTTTGAAAATTGAAATAATAATGTTACTGTCGTATAATTTCTAACATGAAGGGTTAACGAATTAAGAAAACGAAAAACTATATTGATGGACGTATCATCACCATTTCCAAACCCATTTGCTTTTGAGGACATCAACAAACTTCTTATGACCATGACGATCATCATCCTTTAAGATCTTTCTTAGATAGAAACCATCTCTCTTCGCCACCCAAATGCATTCGTTCCCTCCCACACCGCACTGCTTCCTAAACCCTCCTTCGACAGAAAACACCGTCACCACGTCATCGCTCGTCGTTCCGAATGCGCTTCGAAACATGCACCGGAACTCAGTTTTCTTAAACGGCCACATGTTCATCGTCGTGAACTTCCATATCCGTGATTCATTTGGCTTTACCATGTTCCATTCGAGGTCGTCCTCGTTCGACCAGCACCGCACGGCCAGCTTCGTTTTCCTAACACTAGATACCCCCGAGATCTCGTTCCTTAGCTCTAGACGACCCGCCATGGCTGGTGCCGATAATAAAGCCGCCACCAAAACCGCCGCCACGAAGAAAGAACAACCCATGTTTCTTGTCATTTTGGTTTATATGATCGCTCTGTCTTGGGGCTTACGGAACAAATTGGGACAGGTGAAGAAGATGTAACATATAAGTATGCATTTTATGGCGATTATTTAGACCGTTACGTTACTGTTGTGGCTTACAAATTTAGAAGTACTAGAAGCTATTTTCCTCTATTTTTGGAGATAGAGAAAAGAGAGCAAATCCCATTAGTTGGAAACTCAAATGTTCTGTTTCAGAAACTTTGACCACAATCGTCATCATCCTTTCAGATTGTTTATCACTTAGGTTGAAACGTTTAGAGCGTTATGGCGAATGAACGTTATATACTTATATCATATTTTTCGAAAAATAATTCACTAATGTATTTTTATCAATAGTATGTCAAAAATAATAGATACGCTCTTTCTCATTTTCAACAAATATATATAAAGTTACATATTGTATGGTTTTATTACCACGAATAACAACATACAGAGACCTAAATGAAGACATTGTTGGGATCATCATAATGATCAACAACGCCAAATTGTTAATTAGCTCCAAGATTTCTGGAGGATATCATGTTGAACATACTCATTCCACCTCTCGTTACCGTACTTGTTACTATAAAATAGTGTCTTCCAATGTCTCAAGTAGAGTCCGTCCTTCTTAACGACCCAAGTGCATTTGGACCTGTCCCCACACTGCTCTTTCATCTCCCACGACGCAACTAGCTGTGTGTCCACTCGTCCGTACCCTGTATGGAAGTTGCAATAGAAGAAGGTGTGGAAGAGCGACATGGCGAAGGACCAGTCCTTTTGCTGATCTGGCCAGTTTTCTCGCCACCCGAGATCGTTGTCGCGTGACCAGCATTTGTACACAAGCCTCCTGTACCGACCCGAGAGTTCGTTCCTGATCTCTAGTTGAAATCCATGGGAGTGAGTCACCATCAGTATGGTGATGATAAGTACAAGAACTAATTTCCCATTGAGTGTTTTGGGAACCGTTTTAGTTCCCATATGTGTAGTTCTGTTTTTGTTCTTTCTTCGTTCTTTGCTGCTCACTCATTTTTTCTTCGTCTGATTTTTGGACGTTGATAGTGTTTGTACAGAAACTACTATTTTTAGAAATGTAACGGCTAAGGATTCAGTTATTGTCCGGGTCAAGGGGAGGAACAATTCATCATTCTCCTACAATTACTTTGTTGGTTTTTCTTTTTCTTACTGTAAATTTGCAAAACAGGTTGTTGCAAGTTTCTAATTAAACGAATGAATAGTCATCTTCTTTAGTGATGTTAAAAAATAAGTCACTTCAGCCAATGAAAATTTTTGGGAAAGCAATCAAGAAATTAACAATGGGAAAATAAAATTATTCTCTCTGTCTATTTTTTAGAACGTTTGAACGATCTTTCCCTTCATATAAAGGTCTTTATATTTCTCCAAACAAGAAAAAAAAGGTTGTTAAGGTGCTTTTTATTAACAACATGTCTGAGTAATTAGCGAAATATCTTTTTACTTTAATAATCCAAAAGAAGAGCATTCTTCTTTAATAACTTAATGGTTAATACTTAATACCACTGCTTAAGCATTAAGCAGGAAGACTAATTAGAGGGAGGCCTCAATAAGCAAAGGTAGAGAAATTTAATACGCAAACAAAGAGCAAAGCCGGCTAATATATAGTTGTAAAACTACGATCTTGAATAAATCCTAACGTTAGTGGGAGTCCTCTTCCTGTATAAGAGAACTTCCATGGACTATATAATATACCTACAAACATAACTAAGTCTAAAGATCTTAACACTACTATAACCTGAAAAATGGTGTCCCTAGGTCTTTCCTTCACCCTAGTTTTTCTTTTGGCAATCTTATTCACAGTTTCTGAAGCCAATACCAACAGAAAACTCCTGCAAACTCCCACTTACTACCAACCGCTATATTCTCCTCCTCCTCCACCGCCGATATATCGACCTAGTCCTCCTCGTACTCCGGTTTATCCTCCCCCACCTCCAATATATTCTCCTCCTCCTACTCCGATTTATCCTCCTCCACATCCAATATATTCTCCCCCTCCTACTCCGATTAATCCACCTTTGAAAGCTCTTCCACCCCCTCAATCTCACAGCGCATTCTACTACAGGAAATCTCCTCCACCTCCCCCCGGCAACCCTTGGTGGTGGTTGTTGTGAGGCGGTAAGAAATGGCTCAGGACAAGACATTTGCAATGTCTTAAAACATTAAGAGTGCATTACTGTTGTTTTAACTTGGTTTCGATGTCTCTCAGTTTTCCTAAAGGTAATTATATTTGTACGTGAGCGAAGTTTAAACATCAAATGTGGAGTCTTGTTAATCGATTAGGACTTGTCTTCGTTATATAAATGAAGCTACCAGTCGTGTGATTTGTTTTTGTCTTTATCCACATGAGACAAGAAAAAAGGTACACCTTGTTTTAATTCATTGAGAAGCTGAACCAAAGTTTGCCATTAACCATTGGTCATCACACTACAACACGATCAATTTCGTACAAATCACACACACACAAATCAGCTACTTCTATCTTCTTCACCATTTCTTCTCTCCCTTTTTTTCAACATGATCTGTTCTAGACCTAATCGTCGTCTTTCTTGTCGTCATCATCATTTTCTTTGTCATCGTCTGGTCTGGTGCTGTTGTGTTGCGCTCGTAAAGCTTCTAGCTGCCGTGGAGACCACGCCTTCCATGGCTCGACAAGCTTGTCAACAGGCCTTACAAACTCCAAGAATTTTAACAAAACGTGCGGATAATAGATCTCATAACCAACGAAATATATACCGTCCGGCCTAATGGCGTATTTACATAAATTCCCTCCACACAACATAGTTGTCATCGACAACGTCTTGATCTCGACATCTGCTGTCCCTTGGCTCGACAGGAATTTGCACCGGTGAATCACAACGGCGGTTCCATACAACGGAACCCCGAAATCCCATGAAAATTCCAGATCGGGAGACGATTGGTGCCACCGGAGAGATTTTTCACCCGACTTGCACCGGTAGACAACAGCTGGACGTTTTAATCCGTACATTTCGTTTTTCATCATTAGCGTGAAAGCCATGTCAACTGAGCTCCCTTGAAATATGATGACTTGCAATACAAGACACCAGACTAGGGCTTTTTTGGCAACACTATTTTCTCTTCTCATTTCTCTCTCTCTCTTTTTTTTCCGGTCTTCTTCTTTTGCTATTAAAACTTTCTCCAAATCTGAACCCCTTTTGGTTTTATATATAACTAAAATTGAAACGAAAAGTTATGGAATGAAATTAGTTTTGTAGCTACTAACAAGATAACCAATTCATGCATACAAGAGACCTAAGTTATCTCCAAAAATGCTGTAATTAGTGATAGCAATTGATTTGTTACACCGCACATTAAAAAGAAAACAGCATGATTGTTATGACTTCTAACAATATTTTCCCTAAATGCGTACATTTTCCTACGCGTGTATGTAGTTGCTCCAAAGCTTGACTTTAGTATTCAAAGAGTCAAAATTAGTTTTCTGTTCTAGACATTAAACGAAACAGTTATTCGGGGAAAATCTAAAAATCCTGACACTGAAAATGACGTTATGTGGATAATAGTCTAGATCCATGCATAGCAGCATAGCCTGTTTCATATCTTGTTTAGTTCACACAAAATTTGAGTCTCTGTAATTAAGAAACTACACAAAGATTGAAAATCGATCCAAAACCATATCCATTTAGATTTTTTGAAGGATGTTTTTAATTCAATTAGGTTTTATTTTTAAAAAATATCGTAAACCTAAAATTAAACCAACTTCGTAACCAATTCCTGACAAAAACCATTTAATTTGAACATCCTCTTGCAATGTTCTGAATTGTGATTTCATGTCGATTTAGTTACAAAGTCGGTTTAATTTTGATTTTGAATCACCTTTTATATTAAATTGAACAAAAGCAGTTTTGAAACTTCGTGTAGTTTTGGATCGATGTTCAAGTTTTGTGATTGGAAAGATTTGTTTTGTGTTGTTTCTTAAAAAGGCTCGAAATTGTGGGTGCTTAAAGCAAGACATGAAACTTACAGTGTGATTATGATCGATCACCCAAATTATTTAAATTGACAAAATTGACCTAGCCAGGTTTTAAAATATCATTTTATTTTAAGAACGTCTACCAAATTTTACGTTTGGCCATGCTTCGATTTTTTTAAACCTTTTTCAAACAAAAAAAAACGTCACTATAATTGAAGAAGTAATATTTAATGAACTACAAGAACAGAGTAATGTAAAATTTGAAAACTATACGTAGTTTGTATTTTTTTTTTTTTTTTCAATATTTAGTATCAGAAACTAATATGTAAAAGTGTAGAAAATGCACACTAAAGAAAAGATAAACAAAAATTCCTTGAACATTTGAATAACTCCATCATAAAGTTACTTTCAGAAACATCTTAACGAAGTCCTTCCTTTGATTACCATCTGTCTCTTACACATAAAATCCCTTATGGGCACTAAATCATTGTGAAACCCCTGAGCGACGTTGGCCTCCCGGAGCCCCACCGCCTTAGCTGCTGCGTCGTGGCCAGGGTTTCCACTTAGCTTCGAGGAATTTCCTCGGTATCAGCCTTGGATACCTCTCCTCAAAATCCCATTCTTTACCATTGAACATTATCCCTTCCGGTGTAACCTCGTGAACGGCACATTCATCTTTATAATTACAAATCTCGGCATCGATCGCGGTCATACTGATATCCACATCCGCTGTACCGAACACTGACCGGAAATGGCAGCGGTGGATCTCCTCTTCCAGTTTTTGGCCGCCTTCCAAGAGTATGTTGAAGGAATGGCCTAATGATGGCTTTTTGGCTCGTCGCCATCCATAGTCAAGGCCGCTGTGTATAGCTTTACAATGATAAACGATCTCTGGACGTTTAATGCCTTCCATTCCATTACGTATCTTCATTTCCGTTGTGACGAAATTTGACCTCATGGCGTAGGAAACCACTGTGACGTTCACCACAAGGAACCACGCTAGGCTTCTTATGAATTTATCAATGTTAAACGTCATCTTTTGTTTCCTTGTCGTGATAAGTTGTCTCGATCTATTCGTTTCCTTTGGGTTTTGGGATTTGATTTGTTCTTGATCATCCTTTAAAAACGTTTTTAAAACGGAAATTTGTTGGAATGGCCATATAATTATTTGTTGTTATTTTCATGTGGACATTTAGCTTTGATATGACAAAAAGCCAGATATAACAAAAGTCCAAAGAAAGTTAAAAATAACAGAATCGGTACTTAATTCGTAAACCTTTTTTAGTGGGAAAAACTGAACTCCCGCCTGATGTTTCAATTTCTTGACATACATCTGCGTTCGTGCCAACTATATTACAATCAATTTACGTTGTCTATATTTAGACTTAAAACTGTCTATTTTTTCGTTAAACATTTCACAACTTTTTAAAATATTTTAGAATCTTGTGATTAGTTGTCAATTATATCCTAATCAGTTATCAATTTAATATATAGTTTTAAATTTCTTTATTTCAAGTGATAATGTATATATATGTGTTTCTATGGACGGTCTCATTTTGTAGAGCGTGGAAATGGCTGCCATGGATAGAGCTTCTTCTCAGGTTTGTAATAAACTCCATCTTTTCTAATTGCGTAGCGACAGACATTACTAGGGTAACACCTAGCAGAGGTGTCAGGGTGAATATTGACAGGAATATTGACAAACCCACGACTCGACCGGAGATGGCAATGTACGAATTTATACTGGATCCGAGCGGTGTGTTCGAACTGAATCACAACGTAACTGTCTCCCGGTTTGCTCTTCCGCCAAACCTTGGGACCGTGAGCGCATACAAAACCAGCGTTTCCTTTCTTGAGACCATACAGTTCGTTAGAGACAAGGATACGTGTGACAGTGCTTGGACGTACTTTATACTCTGATTTGTAATCTTTCTTTAGGGACGCCTTAAAAGAGAAGACAACTGTGGAGAAGTTAGAGATTTGCAGCACGAGTAGGAGAAGGAGATTTGTAACAATAGATTTGGGATTCATCTTCATCATCTTTTAAGCTATGTCTCAATTTTTAAATTGATTTTTCTTTGTCTAATATATATTGCAGCGTTATGGCAAACTTGAAACGGATCTCCTTTCTTTATTATACCTCTTCAGTAACGAGCACTTTTGTGTAAAACAGTTTTTGTTCAATAAGTAACTTTTAACTGAATAAATAATTATATAACAGTTTACTTGTTAATACGTTTTCTTGTGTGTTTGCATGCATGTGGTTGCGATTAAGCGCTCACCGATATCATCTCTGCTTTATAATTAAGGGAGAGAGGTGAGTCGGTTTCAATTTAAACCAAAACAGCCGTGTTTCTAAGGGACTATATTTTGGATTTTGTTTTGCATTTTTTCATGTTACTAATGTTGAAATATAATAAGAAGTTCGTTCACTTATGCAGTTAATAATCTCTTCATCAACTTGGGAAAAAAACACTTATTAAAACGAAAAATATTAAACACCATTTCACTAAGAATTTCTGAATTGTGATTAATGTTTTCTGAACTACATAAGACTATGTTTTTCGTATCATCAAAATAAGACTTTCAAAAGGGAAAACAAAGATAATATAATCATATACACACCCATTTCCCGTAATACATGATTCAGATTTCGGAGGAGTCTCTTAATTTGTGATCCCAGGCAACTTTGGTTGAACGTGGTGACGAGGCCAAGGAGTCCAAGGAAAAAGTTCATTAGTATCTTTCATCAACAGACCTTCACGTCTGATCGCTAAAACGCATCTATAGCCGGGACACCGTCTTCCCAGCGCTGGAGTTATCTCAATATTAAGATTGATATAACCCAAATTCGACCGGAAATGGCACCGGTTGATCACCTTTGCGTTCGGGTTAACCCGGTAAAAGAAGAACTTCTCGAAAAACACGTCTCCCGGAAGAGACCTAGACCAGCGTTGTTTGCCAATGCTGCATTGGAAACCTGCTTTTGGCTTCTTGAGCCCTTTCATTTCATTGATGGCTTCGAAGATCACGTTGGTTCCGTCTTTGAGCTCGAAATCGGAGCTGTAGTATTCGCTGGGATGGATCGATTCGTAATCAGCAAAAGGGTTTATCAAAGGGTTGTCTTCTTCGCCTCTGGTGACTTGTATCACAAGGCATAGACATAGGGCTCCAAGTCCAACAAACAACTTCTTTTCCATTTTCCTGTTTGTGTTAATTATTTGCTTACGTTCCATCTCCTTCTTCTTTTTTTCTTCATATATACGAAAAGTATTTGTACGTTTGTATGCTGTAACACTCTATATTTGTCATATGTTTGTTGACATGATCGATAAATATAGTAACCTTTTAAACCGTAATCGACAATGTTGCTGCTATTTCTGCATAACTATTTTAATGAGAATGCGATGTCGATATGTTCTGTAATTTTGTTTAGAGTAATGAATTATAACCAATAAAATGATAGTATATATTAACAATGCAATATTTGGAAGAATATTAGTGGTCCAAGTTCTAAATCAAGTAAGATACATAAGAGGATCGATCTAACAATTTGAAAAACTTAATCTACCTCAACGTAGACATAAAAAAGGATGATACAAATTGTTTTAAAACTCTTTCTGCATTGTTTTCTGGTACAAATTGGAAAATTTGATCACACATCATATAGCCAATTTCGGGAGGCTTTGTAGTCACAAGTACAAGTACAGGACCAATGAAAAATCTTGGCTCATCCAATCATAGTCCGCTTTCTTCCTCGTTGCCTCACTGCATAAGCCAAAATAATACATTTTAAAAGATTTGAAAAACAGAGCTGGTTTTAAGAGGGGGACATGGAAGAGAGTTTGAACAAACCTTGCGCAAGCTTGTTAAACGTAGCTGACCATTGCTTTGACGACTTCCTATACGATGTTAGTATACGATCCATCTACATTCCAAAACAACATAAGCCATATGAGAAAACAACAACAACGAACAGAGCCAACAACAGTAGATGAAGTTACTTATGTATGCATCACTCCTTACCACATTCCCGCATGAAGAATGCATTGAGAGCAAGGCTCTTTCAAGTACATATAAATCAACAGCTTTGTCTTCAGGCAAAGTCGATGTGAAACTCAAACCGAAATCAATCAGTACCTAAAAGGAACACATATCCAATGGTCTTTAAAACATAAGTAAACTAATCATCAAGTGAACACATATCAGAAAAGACACTTACCAGCTGATTTGTTCCGCTTCTAACTAACATGTTTGATGTGGTCAAGTCACCGTGAGCCAAACCACCATCATGGAGCTTAGCAATAGCTTCTCCAATCTGAGCAGCAACATCATTTAACCGTTCCTCGACGATCCCATTAGCACCAAACTCAAGGAACACGTCTTTAACAGAGACGCCCTCAATATACTCAAGTGTCAAGGAGTGAATTTGAAGATCCACGGCGTAGAGGACCGGAGTGCAAACACCGAGCTTTCTCGCCTTTGTCATACACCTAGCTTCCTAATATTCAAGAACGTAATGCAAATATTTACTACTTTTTCTCTCAAGATTCAAACAAGAAGAAAAAGGAGATGCAGAAGAAAACCAACAGCATTCAAGCGTTTGATAGTGAGCTTAGAATCCAAAATCGGGTGTCTATATTTCTTCGAGAAGCGCTCTTTCACGATGGATCTTCTCCCAGCAAATGTAGACTCAAACACCCTCTGAAATAAAAACTGTAAAGGCTTAATCTTTTTTCTCTAAAACAAAGAACAATGTACACTGATTCACAGAGATACACTTACAGCTTCAGCTCCTTGTTTTATCAGAACGAGGGATTCGTTTTCAACGCTCTCCATCCTAAATCTTCTGAGGAGTCTGCACAAAAGCACCAAAATTCAACACAAAGAAAGATACTTTAGCAATTTTTCTGAAGTTCTAGCATTAAGGCGGCACACTAAAAGTACTAAATTGCAGAATTTTCATCGCTGCTCCGAAAAAAAAAATTCATACTTTTTGGTCTAAAACAATTCAAATCCATCGGATATACATAATTTGTAGCTCAAACAATAGATTTACACAAATAATGTTGTTGGCACTAGTTTGGTCGGAGGATAGGCAAGCAGAAAAACCCAATTTTTTGCGACAATTAACATTAAAAAGAGGATGAAGAGATGGAGGAAGGTTACGGGAAAGAAGGACTAACCAACGAAGATCTAATTCAAGGAGGAATGAATCTGGTTAAAAGGGCTGAATGAAGAAACAGAGCAGATTGCGTCGCCGGCCGCCGGAAAGAAGAAAGAAAATAGTGAAGGAGAACAACCCTTCGATGCTCTCCTTCCTCTTTTCAAACTTATTAATAATTTTTCTTAAGTCCTCTAATCTTTAGTTATCCTCATATTTATCTCCAAGTTCAAAAAAGTACAAAGACATCCAATTTTAGAGAAAATTTTGGAAAGAGAGATAATAATGATGACCTTTGTCTACGTTCGGTTTTACAACTGATGAAATTTGAGCATAATCACACAAGTTTAGTTGAGAAAATGTTTTACAATGAACATGTTACCAAAACCTCGATTCACTTTAGCAAGTTAACTCAATTCTTTTAATATTTTCACTCACATGCATTTGTTTCAAAACCTTCTTAAGTCATGAGGTTCATCTTGATTCTTGAAAATGGTTTTCGGTTATGATCCTTCAAGTCGAATTTATGAAGTTGCTCTCAATCGAATTCTTCACGATGATGTCACTCTGGTTCATGACTACCTACCTCCCTAACTTTTGAATATTCTTATTCATAATTCTTTTACCAAAAACAAATAATAATAATGATGACATAATCTCAATTGTTTTCTAATAATTATTTTTCTTCTTTTTCTAATACCGAATCTTCTGTTTTTTCTTTTACCGGAATTACATTTATATCGATTTTCGAGTTGGTTCTGGAAATAGAGACCGAGCTCATGGATCTAGGACGATATATTCTGTTCTTTGGCATTAATCTTGGGCTGTGATCTTCATCAGCTTCTTCTTCCCCATCAAGAACCCTACATTTATCTCCAAGAATTATCGGACGTACCAGCATCGATTTCTCTGCCTTGAGTTTCTTCTTCCTCACAGATTTTTCCTCCTCTGCGTCACGTTTCTTGGCTATGGACAACGTTCTCGACACTTGGATCGTTAGGCTCGCGCTCAGTTTCTTCTTCGTCGACCTAGATTTTTGTAACACCATGTTGTTACACGAATATGTTTCTTGTAACGCCGCTTTTCTTGCTGGAGGCAACGGAAGCTCAGGGTTCGCTTCTGTGTGATCGTCATCATGAGATGCATTGGAATCTTGATCATCTCTTTCCTTGTTATGCAAGTCATCGCTTATTTGCTCTCTTTCTTTGGTCTCTAGAGGAGATGATGATTGGTTCTCTGTCTGTATTGTTTCATGTGACTGAGTCTTTTTCCTGAAGCCGCAAAGGCCACTGAATAAGGCGATGCAGGCAGCCATCTTGCTCGTACGTACATACGATTATAAGATTCAAGATTTTGACGAAAGTGAAGAAAAAAAGTTTTTATTTCTTTTTCTTTTTGGTTTCTGTTTGTGAAGTCATTTTAGTTTTGTAAGACGAGTCAAGTTGCTGGAATGAAGGGGATTTTGGTTTATCAAGGTATTAAGATTTGTTTCTGTAATTCTTTCTAATTATAGTTTCAAGTAGAAAGAAAAAAAAAAGGGTAACTGACTAACTGTTGTGAGCAGCAGTTTTTTTTGTTAGCTAAGGGTTTTAAGTTTAACCAGTTAATCATATTAATTTTGGGCTTTTTAACGACCCAATGTAAGTGTTTTAATATTGAACAGTTTAGGGCCAATGTATTTACAATTGGTTAGTTTTCAAACCAATAAAAACTCCAGTTTTTTCAGAAAATAAAAACAATTAAAAGAACTCCTAATTAAAACTGATTCTGTTATTTTTATTCAAGAGTTTTGATTATTTTCTTCCTTTCTGAAAATTTTCTGTAATATACTGTTATGAAAAGAAAAAATCAAAAATGATTATTTACCAAAAATGAGGATGACATTTTTGTAAGTATTATGATTTACAGTAGAACCTCTATAAAACAATACTCGATAAAACAATAAACACTATAAGATAATAATTTTCTCCGGTCCCAACTCGGGCCAATGTAAAAAATAGCATAATGCGATAAGATGATAAGACAATAATATTTTTGAAACTCCTATGTAAAAATATAGTCCCAACAATAAGCTAAGATAATAATTATAAAACTAAGGCATATATATCTAAGACAATTTAGTAAAATATGACTCCAATGTAGTTTGTCTTTTCTGAAAGTTGGATTCCCGTTGGAGCTCATCTCGAATTTTTCTTATTGCATCTACAATTTCTGTGGTGTATTCTCAACATGCAGCCAAAAGTTGTGAAGAGTTCTCGAAGCCACAATTGCTTACGTGTAACTACTTGCACATGTCTTCCTCATCATCTTCAACTTCATCTTCACCATTAAGAACAGTAGACATAATTTCTTATAGACTTTGAACTTCTGAGCATGAAATATGTAAATAACAAAGTATAAGGAAAATTTGAATAAAAAATCTGAAAAAATATATTTCTATAAAGTTTCTTGTTTTTGATAGAATATTTTTTATCGATAAAATAATAACTCTATAAGATAATAAAATTTCAAAGTCCCAACATTATTGTTTATAGAGGTTTTATTGTATGTGAGTTTTCAAAATAGTGTGGATTTTGCTCAAGATAAACATATAATTTGTTTACGAAAATATCGTTGTGACTTGTGTATATTTTTCGTTGTCTATTATTTACTATCCCCTTTTTTCCCCTCAAATCTGATTTTCATTTCAAATTATTTGGGTACTGCGTCCAAAATATAGTGCCATCTAACAGAGGTTTCATTTTGTCGCCTTGTTCACTCTGGTTTCTCCTTCCTTTTCCTCAATTTGCTTTTATAACGGCTTCTGAAAAAGTTGGATTTTGCAGATCATTAATGGAGGAAAATCAGAGAAGCAGGTTCAGAAAAATCTGTGTTTTTTGCGGAAGTCACTCTGGTCGCAGAGAAGTATTCAGCGATGCTGCAATCGAACTCGGCAATGAACTGGTTTGCTCTAATTTTAATTCTCCGGTATTTCAAATATCGTTGCTCTGATGATAAAGATTGGCACTTTTCTGACAAAAGGAGCTTAAAAATCATAACTTTTCTGGTGTTTTGAGAGCCAAAAAACCCAACTTTTTAATTCGTCTGAATCATTTCAGTCATGGGTTTGAGTTCTATTTTGGCCCCTTTTATGCTGTGTTGTGACAGATATTACGAAGCGTTGTTGTATTTGGTCTAAAGTGTACAATGTTTAGATACGGTGTTTACTCTGTTCCTAGTTTGTTAATCTTTGATTAAAGCTCTGTAATTTGAATATAATTGTTTCATCTTTAGTGTTTCTGTTGGGTGGTGTTGCTCTGAATGTTATAAATGAATCAACTTTAGATTTGTTTTTGTTTCTCTAATGATTGGTGTGAATTGTAGGTGAAGAGAAAGATAGATTTGGTTTACGGTGGAGGAAGTGTTGGGTTAATGGGTCTGATATCTCGGAGAGTCTCAGAAGGTGGTTGTCATGTGCTTGGGTTAGTTTTAACACTCTCTTCCACTTTCCTTCATTTCACATTTGATGCAAATTGAAACTTCCATCTAAGAGATCTTTTCTGTAAATTTTTAGGATCATTCCAAAAGCTCTCATGCCTATTGAGGTATGTTTACTCTAGAAACCTTTCATTTCCTAAACTATTTCAAAACCTATGATGAGTTTGTGGACTGGATTGGATGGGTTTTAGCAGATATCTGGTGAGACTGTTGGAGATGTAAGAGTTGTTGAAGACATGCATGAGCGCAAGGCTGCAATGGCTCAAGAAGCTGAGGCCTTCATTGCTCTCCCTGGCGAGTTTCTTCTACTTTCAAAACTCTACCAAGTCCAAACAAGTTTTGTTATGTTTTGTTTCTCAGTTTTAGTAAAGATGATGAGCTGTTTGTTTCTTCAGGAGGTTATGGAACTATGGAGGAACTACTGGAGATTATAACATGGGCACAGCTTGGAATCCATAAGAAGACGGTATTTGACACCATTTCCCTTTTTGCTTTAAAACTAAAACCGGTGTGAAGACAGATACTATGTGTGATGCTGAGGATTGTATTATTTCTGCAGGTTGGTGTTTTGAATGTTGATGGTTACTACAACAATTTGCTTGCTTTGTTTGACACTGGAGTTGAAGAAGGTTTTATAAAGCCAGGCGCTCGTAATATCATTGTTTCTGCCCCATCTGCCAAAGAACTTATGGAGAAGATGGAGGTACCTAAAACACTTAAAGATTAGATTTTGTTTTGAATGGTTTCGTTTATAACAGTTTTTGGTCTTCTTGGCAGCTATATACTCCTTCACACAAGCACATTGCTTCTCACCAAAGCTGGAAAACTGAAGATTCTTGACATTGGTGAAAGAAACAGTCTCAACAGGAATTGTGTTTGCAGCAGTAGAAACCTTTTGGTGTATGGCTACGGCCATTATCATTCAGATTTGGATCATGCAGATTTCTTCTTGTTATGTATCAATCATAATGTCATCTGTCATTTACTTTTGGAAAGTTGTTGTGACAGATTCAAAGGTTTTAATAGCGACAGCTTACTTAGCTCACATGGAAAGTATTAGAAACTGTCTCTTCTGAAAGCAACTTTGGCTATGAGGGCCCTCCTTCATCTGTATCTCTTATTTTACTTGCATTGCAAAAGATTTAATCCCCTGTTTTGTCTTCACATTAGTATTTGAAGAAAGTACCAAATAACATGTTCAAGAATGGTGGATGATCTTTGATTCTTGAAATACTTTTACAATGTCCACAAGTTTATATCCTCCACAACTCTACTGGTAGATGTTGAGTGTTGACTATTACCATTCATGTTTAGCATTTTGTTACTCGTAGTTACTATTTGGGCATATTGCGATGAACTTGTGATCCGTCGAGACTCGGTCCATTCTAGGCCCATTTTCTCTACTTCTGTATAGTCTGGGTTTGAGAACTGAAGTTTTAGTCCGGCTCTATGCTTTAAGTAGCCCAATGAAATTACTTAGTTAGTTACACAGTTGGCATATGAATCCCTTTTTCAACTTCTTTTGCAAAAAAAAAAATTCAACTCTTGGTGTATAAATGTATCTGATGGAAATTTAAGTTATTGCATTATGAATTCATTGTTCTTGAATTATTGTAGAATTCAATAATTCCATTTGTGTCGACATTCCAAGTATTACTTCCTTTGGGATAAATTCCAAATACACTAGTGTCAATAGAAAAGACATAAAGGAATAGTAACCTACTATACTAACTTTGATTTTCTTTTCTTTTTGTTTTTTCTTTTTCTAATCAAAATAGATCTAGAGAGACTAAATAAAATGAAAGTCAACTGAAGATAAGAAAATGCATGGGGGAATATATTAGGATCCAAAGCAGTGGATGATGATAGTTCTGGAAACCACAAAACAGTCCCACTTTGGGATTTTGGATCGGACGACGAACAAACCCCATTCCTACACGTGACAGGCTGGGAATTCTCCACAGCCGAAAGTGGAAAGATAATGTGATGGCCATCACAAGATTTTAGAATCTTAAAAGGGGGATGTGTGTTATATTCCTCCAATCCATCAACGTTACATTCTCATTCTCAAAATAAAAACCACATATTTCTTTCAGTTATTATGAATTAATTTATGAGAGATCGTAAGTAACGTTGATTGAATATAATGTAGTGGCATAGGAGATTAGTTTTTAACAGACTGAGAACGAATTAATGAGATGGGCACTAAACAAAATTATTGGATAGGAAAAGGAAGGGAGGTGAAGATGGTAGAGTAGAGACTAGAGAGTTATTTTCATTTTCTTTGGGTTAAGACACCAAGTATATAGTTATATAGACCATATATCCATATGAATTACATGGTTTATCATTTAACTAAAGTCTTTTATAGTAAATTTTCTAAGTACTCTTATGCTAATTGTAAAAAAAGCCAAGGTTTTGTTAGTTTGTAACTCCCTTGCTCATAAGCAGAGGTAAATTTATCCGTCGACATGTTTTTCCACTTTATCAAAATTCAAAAATATTGTGAAAAATATATAAAATGTAAAACGAAACGCATTCCCACCAAACAAAAAAGGATAATGCTTAGAAGGGAAAGTTGTCAAGAAAGCACAAACACATGCGTGATTCCATATTCGGAATTTTGGGTTGGGTTTACAGTTGTAGCCTTTTAAAATGGAAGCAGAATACTCCAGTATCGCTAAAAAATCTTGAAAATGTTGACTGCATTCCGTCGGTTACATAACATTAGGCTGTTAGCAATCAATTGGGGTAATCAATATCAATCGGAAATGGAAATAAATATAGAAATATTAATGTTAAAATAATATTATTATTATCTTTGTTTATCTTCGTTTGAAATATCAAAACGCTCTCTTGTTTGTTCGGATATGCCTCCATTATCTTTGTTTCCAGATTCTCTGTATCAATTATCAAATAATTGGAGAGAAGATATGTTCCCTTGTTTGTTAGGATCTCTCTCTCTCTCTCTCTCTCTCTCTCTCTCTCTTCCCCGTTTTGGCTATAAAAAGCCACACTAGGTCTCTACTTCTTCCCACAGCCAAAGAGAAAAAAAAAAAATATCCCATAAAAGTTTAGAGCAATGTTCCTCTCTAATGGAACATCGATCGGTATATATATTCATAGAATTTAAAGTGGCACGACGATGACAAGGCTAGGGTTTGTGGTTGTTTCATAGATGCATGTCATATTTAGAGGTAGAGATGAAACATATATACTGTATGTAATAACGGTTGGTTTGAGTGATAAGAAATTGATGGTGACAGAAGAGAGTGAGCACACATGGTGGCTTTCTTGCATATCTGAAGGTTCCATGCTTGAAGCTATGTGTGCTTACTCTCTATCTGTCACCCCTTTCTCTCTCTCTCTCTTTTCACATCTCATGCATTTACAGAGTTATTATATCTTGATTTTAACTTTGATGATCGATTGTGTTCCATTCGTTTGGTTTTACAACCATGTCATATCAAAATATCAATTATTATGCCATGATTATGTAGGTTTTGACATTTAAGGACCATACCCCTCTCTTTTTCTCTTTCTCTTTCTCTTTCTCTCTCTCTCTCTCTCTTTGATCTCAATTTTTGCTTACCTTCTTCATCCACAAATAGATTCGGATATTTTCTTTAGCTTTTTTGGTCAAATATAATTTACTTAGTTTTATATATTGTTTTGTTTTTGAAAACCCTAACTTTTGGAATTCTTTTGTTTGATTGTATTAGTTTTTAATCTATTTATGCTTACTCTCTTGTTCCGTTCTTCTGTATTTAAATTTTCAAACCATATATTTGTCATATCCATTGGTTTGTTCTATTATCAACACGATCGAATTAGATCAGCATCATTCCCTATGTTTTTTAATCGAATTAGTTCTGCGACTACATCCTTCCCAAGATACGAGCTAATGAAGAACCTTGTCCCTTTTTCCACCCAAATCTGTTAATTCTAATATCTTTGTTAATATATATATATATATATATATATGTATCATTTTCATCTTCTGGATTTCATAGAAAAATCACACCCAACATACTGTATATATTTGCACAAAAACAAGTTCTCCAAATGGAAGACAAACAAAACTATATATAGAGGCTTGTCACAAAGAAGAAAAACAGCATGTCCAATGCAAAAAGAGTCATTAAACCGAAGCACTTAGAACATGGAACATTTTGTAATTTTCGCATGGAAATGTAAGCTCATCGACACAATCAACCGTACCCCAAACCTCACATCCATTGCATCTTGATTCTAAAGAAATCTTCGCATACCAAATCTTGTTTTTCCGTTGTTCCGTATCAGAAACATCCCACAAAACCAAAAGTTTCCCAGAATCGTCACCGAGTACAAAACGATTGCCAGTTCTTAAACCCCTTGTACTGTCATTGCGCAGTTCTCGCAAACCCTTGATCTTTCTCCATTCTTTACCCTCAGTCTTAGAAACAGACCACATTAATTTTCCGGAGAAAGTGCAACAGTATACTACATGCTTTATCTCATACCAAGCAGATACGGAGTACAATGGTAAACTCAATTGCTCTTTTACAAATTTCCATGTTCCATCTTTCGGCTCGTAGGCATACTCCTTTTCACCTACTACCGCTACGTAAAGCTTTCCTTGGAAAGCATCCAATATGATTAAATTATCATTATATTCGCGTAAAATATTGCGTAACTCTTCATCATCGACGCCAGGACAAGGCAAGGCTGTCCAAGTCTGAGTCTTCAAGTCAAACACCTCAAACCAATTGGCAGAGTTCTCGTCAATATCGCAACCTCCCAAAACATATATTTCCTCATTGACGAAAAGCGCACACGCGTTCTCTCGAGCCACGGACATGCTAGGAGCGTCACGCCATATGTGACTCCGACAATCAAAGATCCGAACAGAGGAAGACGGTTGGTCGTCGGGTCCACCGATTACGTAGATCTCGGAACCAAACGTTTGGGTGGACTGCCACGTTATGCGAGGAGAATGGGAAGAAGCAAACGGTGCCGGAACAACCGAGTTTCCTCTTGAATCCTGCTTAAACCTAATCTCCCCTGTCTGTTTGGTTAGGGTTTGGTTAGGTTTCGACCAAAGACTAAACCAGCTCAGATATGGTTGATTGTCAAACTCTAAGCAGACATAGAAGCATGTCTCTTCCGCTCCGATTTGAGATCTCGTCTTGTAGATTTGCATGGAAGATAGGAGAGCGTGGAAGCTCTTTGAGACGAGAGAAAGCGACGGATAGTTCCACCTTGAGACGCGTGCAAGAATCATTTCAGTTATTTCATCTGGGAGTGAAGAAAACGACGATGGTGATTGAGGAATCACTTTCTCCGTTGGTTCAACTTCTTCGAAGGTCACGATCATGATCGGCCGAAACTGCTGTGGGGAAGAAAGAAAGATGATAGATTTAGGGTAAACTAAATATTAACTTTTGTATACTAAAGCACAAGTCACCAATATAAAGTTGACATGTGTCAAATTAATAAAAATTAAAAAATCATTCGAATATCTTAACTAAAAGGTTTGCTTGGCCAATCAAATTCTGCCATATGGATTGAGCTTCAATATTAATTAAAAAAAAAAAGATAAAAGTTTATTTTCGTGGTTATATTAACTTTAGCACTTTATATAAACGTTGAGTTCTATAAACAAAGTTAATTTAATGGCTCATCTCTTTTAACAAACGAAAGATGAGCCACTTTAACAGTTTGTATTTTCAAACCATATCTTTGTTACAAGTTACAACCATTGATTTGTTTGCTCATCAACACGATCGAATTAAATCAGCGTCAATCCCTAAGTTTTTTAATCGAATAAGTTCTGGGACAACATCCTTCCCAAGATCCGGCCTATCTCTTTTTCTAAGCTCCGCGCATTTCAACGACATAATAGCAAAAGACTGAGCCTCTTGTACAGGCCAATCAGGCACGACCGGATCAAGCATGTCCTTGAAAGTTCCTTTACTGATTGCCCTAGAGACGTGGTGAGCAAGCCCCATGGGAGGCTTTGCGGTTATGATCTGTAGTAGCAATATCCCCAATGAGTATACGTCAGATTTTGTGGTCAACATTCCTGTTTGTTGGTACTCAGGGTCTATGTAACAAAATGTTCCTGCTGCAGATGTCATGTGGTATTGCGTCACATTGTTGGCTACTGACGCAGGGACTAACCGGGCTAAACCGACGTCACTGATCTTGCTCACGTAGTTCCTGTCTAATAGTATATTGGCGGGTTTGAGGTCTCGGTGAACAAGAGGTTCTGGTTTAGCTTGATGAAGGAAAGAGAGTGCAGTAGCAATCTCTGCCGCTATTTCGAAACGTTTCCTCCAAGAAAGCGGCTTAGAGTTCCCTCTGCAAAAGAGTCTGTCCTCTAAACTCCCATTTTCCATAAACTCATAAACCAAGCATCCATATTCTGGACATGCACCAAGAAGAAGGACCATGTGAGGATGTCTTATACAACTTAGAACCTCAACCTGTCAAAACGAGAGTGTACATATGGAATGAGACTCAAAACTTGTAATCTGCAAAAGCGAAATCTTGGATAACAAGAAATGAAAATCCCTACTTCTTGGTCAAATTGCTTTTTGCCTTGAGCAGCATCAGGTCTCAAGACTTTAATGGCAACAGGAGTGTGGTCAAGATGGCCTTCGTAGACAGGTCCATATCCTCCTTCACCAATTTTCCTATGATTTCCAAAGTTGTCCGTGGCTTCTTCGATCTCTTCTATTGTATATCTTCTGTAACGAACATTGTTTTGTGCTAAAGCACTCACTGCGCGGTCTTTGTCCTCTGATTCAGTCCTTGCTTTCATCTCTGCTTGCTTCCTTCTTTGTCCTTCAAGCTCTGCCATTCTTTGAGCTTTCTCAGCTGCTTCTAAGGCCGTTATACACTTTGCCTTCTCCATTTCTGCAACTGCCAATGCTGCTTCTTCGGAAAGCCTGGCTCTCTCGAATTTATGAGATTCTTCCATTTTCCATTTGTTTAGCTCGTTTGCCTATAACCAAAAAAAGAGAACCATTAGTACCTTATGCAACAAGAACTTTCCTCAAATTAAAACTATTTTCTCCGTTTCTTTTTTTTTTCATAGGATGTTTTAGAGTTTGTGAGTATTTGAATTATTTTGTGTGTTTTTTTTGGTTATTATTTAAGTTGTTTTTTAGTCGGAAAATGTTTAAAAATTCGTAATTTTAACCAAACCATTTTTATAAAAAAGGAATTGAGGAAATGGAATACCTTTCTTTTTGCTGTAAGTGCTTCTTTACAAGCTGAGCTGTACATGTCCATAGTTTGCTTGAGTTCAAGCTTTAACCTTCTCATTTCAGCTTCAATATAATTCTGCAAAAAAAGCAACAACCATGCACTTAGACCTTCTAATCGTAATACTTAAACACAGGAACAAAAAAAAAAAACAAAGAGCATTCAAGAAATCATACAGTATTTTGAGGAATTGACTCGTCAGAAGAACTAGTAGCACCATAATAATCTGAATTGCGAGAAGAGAGATCAACGGAAGGCCTCATGCCTAAAGCAATTTCTGATTCATCAGAAAATGAACTTCGCATAGTGGATTTCCTTTGCAACCCAACTTGGCTAAAGCTATTGTTAAACTCTATGGACCCATTGATATTGCTGTTCTGCCTTTGTGGCGTCGTGTTGAAACCTTGATTGTGTGGATACATCTCCATAGGAATTCTCTTTGCACCACGTTGGGCCCTAAAATGTAAATCAAGAAATACACTCAACGTAATTATTATTGTCGTCAAGAGTTAAAAAACGACTCACACTAATAAATAATATATTTCTTCATAGGTCATCACAAAATATACAAGTTTTAATTAGACAACACATTCCTATTCCAATATACTTGAAGAAAGATATTATTTGCTTAGCCATTTTAAAGAACCCATGGGTTAAGTTTTGGTTAACGTACCTAGGTACAAGATCTTGCTCGCTATCGGACAAAGATTGGATAAGAAAGCCAGAGGACGGTACACGAGGCGGGGCAAGCGTATTGGAGATAGGTCTTTGAGCTGGTTTTGAAGACTGGACTTTTCCTTTAGAAGAAATGACATAGACCGAACAAAACTCAGGCGTCGATTTCAGTACGCTAACTTGCACCTGATCATGGGGTTTACTAAACATAAAAGACCTAGCGAAGGTGTTAATCTTTGAGGATGATCCCAACACAAGATTGTTAACCAGGTTGTTGTTCACATAATCCAAGATTGCTCTTGCCACGTCCGAATCTTCTAGAATAACCTCCGTCATCGAAATCTACTAATTAAGATCGATTACGTTAAAACTTAAAACACATTATGGTTGGAACTTAGAAAAATGCTTAAAGATTTATACATACCCCTTTTCGTGCACAATAACCACGGTATGGAATAAAAAGCTGATTCAGATCATCTTTTCCTCCATCTACAATTCACTCTACCAATTATATTATTAAATTTTCAAAAAATCAAATTCAAGACTATAGGAAAATGAGTATAAGGTACCTACGATTTGAGAGACGAACATGGAGGAGAACAATGAATGGATTTTGAATCATATTGATGAGATGGTCCACGGCCCAGAGGACAGCGAAATGACTATGCTTCTCTTTGTCAATGGCAACCACTGTCGAGTTTACCGGAGAATGAATATCGTCTGACGAGTACGATGGAACCATTGTCGATAGATTGCGACGCAAGGCAGAATTATCTTCGGGAAACAAGAGAAGAGAAAGGGTTCTTGATTGTGGTCTAAGGTTCTTCTCTCGTATTCAACGGCTGGTGATAATACCAATAACCAACTATCCTAAAACTTAGCTGAGTGAAAGGACGACAAATCACTGATTGTTTCGCCTTTTCTTTTGGTCAAAAAGAAGAATAAAAAGGTTATTTTTAGATACGCGTATGGGCTAATACTCATCTACTATAGCAAAATTTAATTACATGAGATTTTTTTTTGTAAGAGAAAACATATTCTTAAAGTTAGTAAAATTACATGAGATTCGAGATTGACAAATGACAACTTAAAGTTTGAGAATTTTTATACATTTCTTGTTTGAAGAAGAGATTACCACTTTTTGAAAACACTTTTTTCAAGACATTTGATCGAATAATTGTGTTTTAAGCGTGCTGATATAACATTTTTCTATGGAAATTTTACAAACACTCTCAAAATAACCATTGCAATTGTTAACCCTCGAATTGGAGACTTTTTATTAAATAGCATATATTTTCACAAACACATTCTTATTACATCATTACAACAAATTTCTCATGAGTTTTATCATTTAGAGTAGTCTAAAATTGCATGTTATCATCAGCTCTAGAAAAGTAGAAAGTAATTAGTTAATTACAAACATTCTATTCAGAGAAGCAGAAAAAAAAAAGGTTTTCCTTCAAAAACTGATGGCAACTACGTGCTGTCCCTGGAACATTAATATACAAAAATGAATGCCGTCTTGTTTATGCAAATTGGTCGTCTTGCCGTTTTTTGTGCCACCGCAGAAACAGAAAAACAACACACATTTGTCTCGCTTTCAGCTTCATCTTCTCTCTACTCTTCCTTCCTCCATGGTTACGTCACTGCATCACCAACTACAACACTCTTCTCTTCTCTGGACCCACCGAATCAGATGAAGAAGCCCTACCGGCGAAATCAAGCATTAAATTTACTCACGCTTTTCCCGTGAAAGATTTTCAAAATTTTCTATTTTTAGAATCCCGTGAAGATCTCTGATTCTTTCCTTTCCGCTCTCTTCCAAAATCCTTGGAAACCGGTAAGAATAACCCATACAGATTTATCTGCTTCTGGGTTTAGATTCTTTGCTTCTAGTCGTAGCACAAAGCAAGTAAACAGTTGAAAAAAATCTCTTTTTTCGTTTAAATCTGCAAATGCTCTGTATCTTCTCTTCTTATAAATTTCATTAGAGACTAAACCCGATTCAAGTATTCGTATTTCGTTCCGGGTCAAACGATTCGGCCATATCTGAGACTGTCCTCATGTAAAAATCCTTGCTTTTATGGTTTGTGGAGCAAAAGTTGCTTCCTTTCGATTTACTAACACTGATTCTAAATCTGTATTATTGGCTTTTTCAGCATTGCTCGAGATTTGATTCCGGTTTTTTTAGAGTTTTATGAAGAGTGTAAGCAATGTCCTCTAATGATAGAAAAGATTCATCGGCAGATTCATACAATGGGCAGCTTCTGAGAGACATTAAAGAGGTAAGCAAAGCTCTTTACTTGAACAACGCACCTCAAAAACCTGTGCTTTCGTTATCTCCTGTCCCACCTAAGCCTGTTCCCAGATCTCGTTCCTCGGTTAGTTCCGGTCAGGGAACCAAAGAGAAGAAGAAATCATTGGTACCATGGGATTGGAAGAGACCCTTGAAAGCTATAGCTCATTTCGGGCAGCGTAGGTTTGATGTTTGTTTCCTTCTCCATGTTCATTCCATTGAAGGCCTGCCTTCAAATCTGGATGGTACTAAATTAGTTGTTCAGTGGAAGAGGAAAGATGAAGTGATGTCTACTCAGGCTTCCAAAGTTTTGCAAGGAACTGCTGAGTTTGAAGAGACCTTGACGCATAGATGTTTGGTGTACGGTAGCAAACATGGGCCTCATCGTTCTGCAAAATATGAAGTGAAGCTTTTCTTGGTCTATGTATCTCCTGTTGATACTCCTTGGGTTATTCTAGGGAAGCATTGGGTTGATTTAACTAGGATCTTGCCGTTGTCTCTAGAGGAGCTTGAAGTTGCAAGAAGCACAAGAAAGTGGAATACGAGCTTTAAGCTATCTGGACTGGCTGATTCTGCAGTGTTGAATCTTAGTTTTGATTACTCGGTTGTTACAAGTTCGGTATGTGATTCAACTAGTGGAAATGTGATGCTGAAGAGGGTTGGTAGTGTTCCAAGTATGGAGCGTAGATCTTCACCGGTTGATGATGGAAAGGTCTCTCATCAACTCTCGCCGAGTCTGAGTCTGGATCTTTCTCAGTCGATAGACTTTCTCTATGAAAAGCTTAGCGATCAAAACCCACAAAGATCAACAGGAAATGATGAGACTGATAAGCAAGCAGACGACAGTGAAGTTTCTTTCACTGGAAAAGGAGTAGAGATGTGTCAGCAAGAAAGTTCCAGGGTGGAAGAAAGCACTGATCCAAACACAGAGTCCTCTGGAATTGAAATTATTGATATTCATGAGATACTTAAAGATGAAGAAGAATCCTTTTTCGAGGAAACCCATTTTCCTGACCAGTTATCAGTGGCCAGCCATTCAGTTCCCGGAGGACCTAAGTCAGCTTTCAGGAGCCAGGTAAATTCTGAGTCACTGGAGATTAAATCTTCATCGGTCATGGATGATTCTACTGAGAAAGAAAATTTTGTGGAAGTTAAATGTAGTTACAAAGCGGCAAAAGTATCAACGAAGTCACTAAGCTTGGATGACATTACTGAATCTGTAGCTAATGATTTTCTAAACATGCTTGAACTTGAGGAATGTTCTTATGTTTATACATCAGATAGTGAACCTACATCTCCTCGTGGATATCTGCTTCGAGAGTTTGAGAAGGAGGTTTTGGCTTCTGGAAACTTTCTCTTAGATTTAGATAGACAAGCAGAGTATGTGTCTGATATTGATGAAGAATCGAATGATTTCTCGTTCTCTTCAAGTTCTTTGGGTGTTGGGAAAAGCAAGCGTGAGGGAAAATCTCAGTTGTTAATAAACAGAAGGAAGGCCAAGGTACTTGAAGACTTGGAAACTGACACTTTAATGCGAGAGTGCAGTTTTAACGACTCTCTATGTGGTTGCTCTGATGGGTTTGGAAGTCCAATAGAGCTTCCGGCTGAAGAGGGATTAGATTTTCCGCCACTTGGAGATAATATTGGTTCGTTAGAGTGTAAGGATGATGCATCACATCTGATCATGCAAGTTTCAATTCCGGTGGTACTAGTACCAGAACTAGGTTCTGATATCCTTGAAATACTGCAAAGTTTGGCAGCTTCTGGAATTGAAGGGCTTTGCTTTGAAGTTAATGCGTTAATGCCTTTGGAAGATGTTATGGGGAAGACAGTACATGAAGTTGTGCAGGACGCAAGATTTGGCAGGTTCACATGCTTTCCATCATGTTGATACATTATCCATTACATTTCTCGTTTCCAAGTTTATATAGTTGTCATGTTTGATTTTGTTTGTTTCTTGACTTGCAGAATTGTACATGATTGTTCTGACAAGAGTAAAGATGCCATGGTTCAGAAATCATCAGGACAGCTGGATTCGTTTCCTTTAAAAGAAGAGTCTGGGGACTTCGGATCCAATATATGTCTTGAAGCTCTCGCTTCCTTAGCTATTGATGGGATAGAACATCTCTCGGTTGAAGGATTAAAGATTCAATGCAGCATGTCAGACCAAGATCCACCATCAGGCGTTGCACCAAAACCCATGGATCAGTCTGATGCTTTAGAGTTGATTAGGCTTTCCTTAACGTTGGATGAGTGGTTAAGGCTTGACAACGGAGATCAAACCACCAAGCAGATGAAAAATAAAATTTCAGTGCACCATGACTGTCAAGATCAAACTTCTAGTGGAAAGGGTCATACTTGTAGGAACAAGTTGACAATTGCTCTTCAAATGTTGCTAAGAGATCCATTCCGAGATAATGAACCTGTTGGTGCATCTATGCTCGCTCTGATCCAAGTTGAAAGGTGTCTGGTTTCCTCAAATTTACCTGAGTGTAGTTTGGCTCAAGAAGGAAGAAATAAGGAAGATGATACACATTTGTGGAGAATCAGTAACATTGGTCTTGCGGGTTTGGAAACTGAGCTTGGTGTAGACCATCTGTGGTGTACAAAGACCCAGCAAGAGTCTGGATCCCGATGGTTACTCGCCAGTGGTGCTGGTAAAACCATCAAGTGTCAAGCTTCGGAGTCAAAGGAGATCACTGTATCAAACACACAAGCAACCAGAAAGAGCTTGGACACATTGTGGAGTATAACGACTGATAGGCACAATCAAGAAGGTGATTTGAGTAGCTCTGCTGTCTCTGTTCCATTTACAAGAAATCCAGACGTGATATTTTCAAATGACATAACAAAATGATTGTGATAGTTGCATTTTCATCGGCATATATATTGTTTTTTGTTTCCGCACTCTGCTTAAGAACCAGTCATGTTGATGTGAAAGCAGTCTCGATCATGATGGAGAATTCTTCGCCATCTAAAAACTGAGGACTGAGGTTCTCTGGATTATATTTCCACCAATTCTCAGTAGTAATAAAATAAGAGAAGTGTTACAGATTCATAAATCTCTCAAAAAATTTGAACATTGTCAACTAGTTTACATTGAATACAAGGAACTGGAAGCAGCATAAGTACAACAACCATAGAAAATGAGTCTCAAGAACAGATTCAGACTACACAAAACAGAAAGGTTCATAAATTCTTAAGAATCTTAGTTCATGTTTGAGTAGTGAGTGTGGGAGCCCTCGTAAGTTGTTATCACAAAGCTCGGATCATCTCTATCTCTTTCAACTCTTTTCTTCACAGGACAGCCATCAACTGAACATTTGTAGTAGTTTCTGCATATTACATTGAAATCATCACAATCAACCAGGGGCACTCTTGGTGTATTTGGGAACTTACTGATGTTTTCTGTATGAAAAGGTTGATTTTGAAAGATGTAACTAAGAAAGAATTGAGAAAATGTTGTTCCTTACCTTGGATTTGGGCTGTTCTTCACCATCTTCTTCCCATACTTTCTCCACTTGAAACCGTCGTCAAGCACTTCCACCTCAGACCTCGTCTTGAATGCAACTCTCTCTCTAACTTTCTTCTTTTCTTTCTTAACTTGGTTATCTTGCATAAGAAAAATAGGTACATGTTATTATGATTCACCTAAGAAGTCAGTTCCAAGTCCTATTGTCTAAAATCAGCACCAAAGAAGTGTATATTTGACATATCTTTGGATCACATATGAATCAAGATTCCATTTCTCATTCTAGATGATCCGATCTTATATGGTTTCCACAGAAAAAAAAAAAAAAAAAAAAAAAAAAAAGAGAAACTTACCGGTAGAAGCAGGGGCTATAGAAGCGGATACAGAAGCGTTGGTACTTGGAGATTCAAGATGAGTGAAACTGCTAGAGGAACCTGAGAAGAAGACAGCAGCAGAAGCATCACTGGTCTGGTAACCATAAGAATGAGTCATCCCGGAAACGGCAGACACAAGATCATCGTCCATCCATTCATCTGACAAGTAAAGCTCCGGAAGCTCGAACCCTGAGTGAGTATCATCGCTGGAACTCCTTGCTAAGTTTGTCTCTCCATTACTCATACTCAATCTTCTCTACGCGTATAAGAACGAGTGAATGTCTATATGTTTTCAAGAAAGCTTCCCTTTTCAGAAGTTTGAAGACTATCTTCGAAAGGAAGCTTCAAGGCAAGTGTTGAAATAATTTTATAAATATGTCTTCACTAGGAAACTTACATAGGAAGACGGATGCTTAAAAACATTTTTGGTCTTCTACATTTTACAAAGACTTGTGGTTGACTTGTGTCTTGGTCCACGCCTACTCTCTTTTTTTCTTCTCCTAAGTCTTTTCATAAGTCTCATCATCGTGCAAGGACTTAAGGCTTAAGTTACGCTACAACAAATTACCATCTTTGAGAGAAAAAAAACACATTTTTCATGCATTTTCTGAAATAGTTATGTTTCAAAGTAAGAAATGGTTTCAACTTTCAAGCAATAAAAGACATCGTTTGACTGATGTTTAAATTATAAAAGATAAGGACTTTCTCGATGGAATATGCAGTGAGTTTATTTTTCAACTTCTGGATTCATAAATATCTTTTTATAGGTATGAACTGAAAGCACTTTGAATTTTCCAGTCAATCGGACTTCTTATGTAAGTTCTCCGTTCTCCCTACTGTATTACTTATGCACTAACATAATCAAGATTGCAATATTTAACTATTCGGATTAAGATTTGTCCATCGGAAATATATCAAGATCTGATTTATGGACCTAGTGTGTTTGCAAGGATAAAACGACTTAGGGTCATAACTAATAAATCAACATCACAGCTATAGCCTATAAGTAGATCATTGACCTTAAGAAAAGCCATAGACGTGGATCATTGACCTAAAGAAAAGCCATAGATAACATTTCCTATTTTTTCATCTAATTCTTTCTTTTGTGTGGATTTGAGAGCTCAACAACTTCTACAATAGAACACGCTCACTCGGGGAAAAACGACTACGTGATAAAGCCAAATTTTATTTAGTTGTTGACTCTTGTAGGGGTGGATCATGGATGAAAACATTCACAGAAGATAACCATACGAACAAATTTTAACAAATCAAACTATGTTTGAAGAGAGTTTATTCCATCTAATTGTTGAAATCATTGAAACAATTTGGCCCTCGGAATGATTTGCTTGGTAACAACAAAAATATTTATGTAACACATGTGCAGCTCCATTCGTTGTAGTAATTTGATATTGAAAGATGTGGGAAAGTTATCTCATGTGGAGAAATCAAATCATGCATTCATCAAAATATAAATGTGTTTGTGGAAAATCATAACCATTGAACTATTCAAGGCACACAACGAATGAAACAGAGACATATTTCTTGACAAAATGACTCATCGGTTTACATTTTGCACAAGTGTGATTTTTGGGCCGGTTTAGCAGACCGGAAATTGAAAAGACGGTGCATTTTAGAGGGCGGTGGGCCGGCGGCGAAGAAGGGCATAAGAAAGGGTTTAGGACATTTTGTGAGAGGGGACCTGAGAAAATTAAGGGTATTGTAATGGCGCGTCGCAAATCAAACGCGCCGCCGAGTGTCACGCGGCCGCCGCCGGGTCAGCAGAAGCTCTCCAGCGCCGAGAGATCAGGTTTGTACGCCAGAAGAGAGGCGGCCAATGTTCTCCGGACGGTTCTCCGAGGTGACGCCAAGCGTCGAGCCGTTGCCTCCATTAAGTCACTCGTCCTGAGCCCATCCGTCCGCAACAAACGCGGCACTTACGCTCTTGTTTGCGAGACCCTCAAGCGTATGTTCTTCTTCTTCTTCTTCAATACTTTAATGCTTCACTCAAACATTCTAAAAAATCTGATTTTGAGCTTGTTTTTGTATGTATTGAAGATCTTAATGTGATAAAGGAGGTTCTGGAAATCGCTAATATACTGAATAGCAAGTGGAAGGTATAGTATTCATCATCGTAATTGCTTAAAAATTGCTCCTTTCACTTATAGTGTGAAAGGTATAGTATTCATCATCGTAATTGCTTAAAAATTGCTCCTTTCACTTGCCCTTTAATGCTTAGCTTTCATCTTTCTGTAGAGGCAAGAGGCTCTGGTCTACATTATTTGCTACGATATCCTTTTTGGCAAGGTACTAATAGCTCAACTCAAATGGTTTTTTCTCTACAATTGTAGTTATGTTTTGGCTTTTCTGAAGAGAAGTTGTAATTGCAGAAGGAGACTGCAGCAGTTGCTGATGCTGAGAAGTTTCTCCTGCGCCATAAAGATGCTCTGCTGTCAGGTGTGGCCACGCTTCTAGTGAAGAAGAAAGTCGAAAGCGTAGACGATTTGTTGGATCGTTCTCAGCTTCCTGGTATTGGATACCCTCCAAGCATATAAGCATGTTTACTGTTTTGGCTTTTTGAGCTCTTTGTCTTTATCTTGATTTCGAAATTGGATTGTAGATTTGATACCACGTTATGCTCGTGTGAATACACTCAAGATTGATGTAGATTCCGCAGTGAAGGAGCTGGAGAAACTGTACAAGGTACATTTCAAGTTGTTTACTTCTCAAAGGATGAATTTTTAATGTGCTCTTTATTTCTAGATTTCATTTTCTTGCAATTTTTTTTCCCACTATGAAAACAGGTGCAGAAGGATGAGACAGTTCCTGACTTGTTGGTGATGCCCCCTCGCAGCGATTTGCATGCTCATCCATTGGTCATGAATGGGCGTATATTTTTGCAGGTAAAATGGTGAATGATCTTTGTGGGTTCTGCTTAACATATTTAGTTTTGCTAATAGTTATTCCTTCGAATGATAGGGGAAAGCAAGTTCAATGGTAGCAGCGGCACTACAGCCAGAAGCAGGATGGGATGTAAGCCACAGTTCTCGCTTTCATTTATCCAAAAAAATTCATTTGGAGAAACATTAATAGTTGCTTTTGGTGCTTGTCATTGTGATTGTGGAATACACTTAACGGTTCTTGTCTGCCTAGTTACCGTTCTTGATTTTTCGTCTTTGTGAAGGTTCTTGATGCCTGTTCAGCTCCAGGAAACAAAACTGTTCATCTTGCTGCTCTTATGAAAGGACAAGGAAAAGTCATAGCATGTGAGCTAAATGAAGAACGACTAAAGCGTTTGGAACAGACTGTAAAGCTGTCTGGTGCTACCAGTATCCTTCTATTACCTTTAGCTTCTGTTTGATAGTTGTTTCCCAAGTGAAACATGGAATTGGTGAATAAATTTGGTTGGATAAATGCATCTCATGCCATGTCTGTCCATGATTGCTTTTCCTTAACCCAAGCTGTAGATATTAAAGTCGTTCATGGTGACTTTTTGAGCCTAAATCCGCAAGATCCTTCTTATGCAAAGGTAAGCATTACTTAAATCTGTAGCATGGCTGTCTAATTTTCTTGTAATTCCATGAAAAGTTAACCACCAATGTTATTAGGATCATTTACGGTTTTTAGATCTTCCTGAGACAGCTGCAATTAGGATATATATATCATCCAAGTTCAATTTCTTCATTTCCTTTTGTTTTGATACTCTACCCGAAAATCCACTCTCTGAAATGAACAAGAGTAACCATCTGATACAATTTGTCTAGAGTCTTGTAGCAAAAGCAGATGTTCTCATTTGAGCCGTTGTTCCGCATGTTTCCGTTTGGCTGACTATTGCAGGTTCGGGCTATATTGTTGGATCCTTCTTGCTCTGGCTCTGGAACCGTTACAAATCGTTTGGACCATCTCCTTCCTTCTCATTCAGCAGGTACGTAATTGATTCTTCTCTCTCTCTCTGTGTTATGTTACGAAGTGACTGAACCCTTAAGACACCTTTTCATGTAGATAACACAAAGTATGACGCTATGAGACTCCACAAGCTCGCTGTTTTCCAGAAGAAGGCTCTTGCCCATGCACTCTCCTGTAAGTTTACATTCTTATCTACACACACTAAGGGAAGCTTACTGAATATGTAAAGATGAATGAATGAGACCTAAAAGATTGTATGATTAATTAATGGTCGACCTATGCCAATGTAGTTCCACAGGTTGAGAGAGTAGTATACAGCACATGCTCCATCCACCAGATAGAAAACGAAGACGTGGTCTCATCTGCTTTACCTCTGGCTTCATCTCTCGGCTTCGAGCTCGCTACTCCTTTTCCTCAATGGCAACGTCGTGGTCTCCCTGTAGTTGAAGGATGTAAGTATCTCCCTTTACCATCTGGCTCCAACCTGATTGACTCTATTTCTAACAAGTTGATTCATGTTGGCTTTGGCTTGCCAGCTGAGCATTTACTCAGGATGGATCCGGTCGAGGACAAAGAAGGGTTCTTCATCGCGTTGTTCACCAAGACAAACAAAGTCGATAGCCCGGACTCGTCTGAACTTCCCGAGAGAGAGTGTAGAAGAAAACGCAATCAAAGCAGCGACCAAGCTCATCCCTTGCTTTGGCCCAAAGTGTATAGAGCTTGGAGATGGAGCTTGCAAGGGCGCAAAAGGAAACTCGTATGAAAGACCATCTCAGAAGACCAGCTTTCTGTTCTTACGTAGTAGTTGTCAGAATTTTGTTTCTGCCTTTTATCTTCATGTGTTACATTGAAATTTTGTTACCAAGGCATGAAAAGAACATCGGAATAGTTAAAAGACCTCGTACTATTTATTCGTATTGCAATGCACACAGTATTGTATTCAGTTTTTGCATCAAACCCAAAATACGTTACAGAGGAAGAGATTTAGACTAAACTCTACTTAAGTATAATCTAAAGTCGCTGAACTTTCATTTGCAATCTAGAAGATTAAACGTGAACCATATAAACAAAACATATCAGTGAATTTTATTTTTTTATCCGTCAGTAAAATACTCTATTGAACTTTTGTCTCTAATTTGTAGATGTGTATATCTATAATTAAATGTGTATTGAACTTTTGTAGACACATCTATTGAACTTTTGTCTCTAATTTCTAGATTTGTAGATGTCTCTAATCCACAGGAAGTGGGAAAAATAAAATGTGTGACCCATAGAATGGTGATGAAACAAGTGGGCGATCCGACAGAAGCCACCTCCTCTTAGACAGGGCTGAGGTAACCTTAAAAGCCGCGAGTTTCTCGAACCTTAACCAACCTCGGTTCTCCACGTGTCCAATCAAACTCCTTCCCATGCCTCTTCCTCTCACACGCCCTTTTGAGTCCGTTAAAGGCCGCACCTTTTTGTTATCCAACACGACCCATCGTTTTGGCTCTCTCTATTATTATTTTCAATATATTCTCTATCGAGTTCATAGATTTTGAAGCTTTTAAATCCACAGAGATTTTCTTCTTCTGCTGGTTTATATCTCATAGCAACTAGTGAATGAAGAAAGTAGTCAATGTTTTAGGGTAATTCACGAGAACCCATCTCTCTTTAAAAGCCCTCTTTCTCCATCATCTCTTTCTTAGCTCTCAATGATCTTTACTTACTATATTAAGGTGAACCTCTTTTGAGCATTTTTGATAAATAGTTCTGTGAGAAGTTAAATTTTCTTGATTTGTTTTTTCCTAAGGAAAGATTAGCTGAAAAATGAGTTTAGCCACTTTGATGAGAGAGGAGAAGAGAGTAACAACATCATCTTCTCAGGTACATAAGCCTAAAGATACAGATTGGCAAATGCTTGATAAATCAAGGTTTTTCTTCCTCGGCGCAGCTCTCTTCTCCGGTGTCTCCACCGCTCTTTACCCTATCGTAGTCCTCAAAACAAGGCAACAAGTCTCGCCGACCCGTGTCTCCTGCGCCAACATTTCTCTGGCGATCGCTAGACACGAGGGTCTAAGAGGCTTTTACAAGGGGTTTGGAACATCTTTGCTTGGAACCATCCCGGCTCGTGCTCTCTACATGACGGCTCTAGAGATCACCAAGAGTAGTGTAGGTCAAGCAACAGTTAGGTTAGGATTTTCGGATACTACAGCTACGGCTGTTGCCAATGGCGCAGCCGGTTTGACCTCGGCCATGGCTGCTCAGGTTGTCTGGACGCCGATTGATGTCGTGAGCCAACGGCTTATGGTCCAAGGCGATCTCTCCTTGAATAAGCATCTTCCTGGAGTGATAAACTCTTGCAGATACTCTAATGGGATCGATGCTTTTAGAAAGATTCTTTACACAGACGGACCAAGAGGCTTCTACAGAGGATTTGGCATTTCAATCTTGACCTACGCACCTTCAAACGCTGTCTGGTGGGCGTCCTATTCTCTGGCTCAAAGATCGATTTGGTCTAGATTCAAGCGTCCAAATGGCCAGGAAGATTCTTGTGGCTCGGTGGTGGTTCAAGCGATGAGTGCAGCCACAGCAAGCGGTTGCTCGGCTTTAATAACTATGCCTATAGACACAATCAAGACGCGGTTGCAAGTCTTAGACGCAGAAGAGAACGGGAGGAGACGAGCAATGACAATGATGCAGGCAGTGAAGAGCTTGATGAGAGAAGGAGGAGGAGTTGGAGCTTGTTACAGAGGGTTAGGACCAAGGTGGGTCTCAATGTCGATGTCTGCAACGACAATGATCACAACCTACGAGTTCTTAAAGCGCTTGGCCACAAAGAAGCAGAAATGATATATGATAAAACCATTCATACATTTCTTTGTGTTTAAAGACTTGAAATGAAGAAACAGAATTGGGAAATTTAACCGGAAACTTATGATTGAGTTTAAAAAGGTTTTCCTCTAAATAAACAAACATAAAAAGACAGCAAAAGGATCAAACCCTAAACACAGAGTTGTAACCAATGGTAAACTAAAAATGTCTTCCTAAGGAGACGAGAAGGAAGAGGCTAACTTGCGCCTAAGATTTACCACCAAATCACATGCAATCAGATCTAACCAAACAGTTAAGCTGTTCATCATATGCAACGCACATACACAGAGACTGAGTTTAGGACCGAGCCCTCTTGTTGCTGCAAGATGGGCACTTATACTGCTTGATGTGCTCAGCCCTGGCTGGTGTGATCTTCACACACTTGCCATGGAACCAGTTCTCACACAGGTCGCAGCAGATCCAGAACTCATCGGCGGCGTAGCTCTCACCACATGCCCCACACTGTGTCTCACCTTGCTCATCATCTTCATCCTCTTCAGCTCCTTCCTCTTCCTCTTCCTCTTTCGGCTCCGGCTTTGTGAACTTGGGCGGGCGCGTCTCTGATCCCCGCTGTAATGGAAAAACCAGAAATAAGAACACACGACTTTATGCCAAGACAAAACAGTAAATGAGACACAGCTTACTCAGAAAACATTAACAGCTCTATAAACAAACCATTTGGAACTACAGCAGAAGAAAAGAAAATGTCTTTACCTTGGAGTTTGATTTGGACTTGTTGCTGCTGTTGTTGGAAACAGAGGACTTATCCTTGGCTTGTTTCTTTGCAGTGCCAGCAACAACCTCGAAAATTGTTGGGAGGTCATTCACCATGTTGAAAAGCCTTTTCCTGCAACAAAATAGGTGGAACAACATCAATCACAAAGAACTGCATAAACCCTTTTAACCTAGGTCATAGGGTTTGACAAGAGCAAGTGGTATGAAGCAAGAATTAAAAAATGGAGTTTTGTGGTGTGACAAGGACAAACGTACCTATCAGCTTTGTCAAAACCAAACCTGGCCCCAAAAAAGAAGGCAACAGCAAGAAGCCATGCATCACTGTGCACGGCAACAAGGGACAGCCAATCCTTTTCCTGCATCCCATCTCTGGCAAAGTTGATGCCCAAGACAGGCTCTGGTAGCTCCGGGGGAACCTCCTCAGCTGGTAAATTCACTTCCCAGGTCTCATTCGGGTGCCCGTAAAGGCACAGGTTCTCCTTGTCTGCATTCACACAAGCAAAAAACCAAGTTGTCATTTTTCAAAACATACATGATGTCACAAAACACCAAAGGTCTCTCAATGGAAAGAGCACCCCAAAAAAAATATAAAAAAAAAACACTAAGCCAAACGGCATAAAGCAAAGAGACAATGATTATTTGACTAATTAACATCTGAAACAAAGGGATTTATCAATACAGTTTGGCAAGGAAAAACAAGGCCACCGGAAATTTATTACAGAGACCCTCAATGGTAAGGAACAGAATCAAAACATTCATTGTTGACTTTGAATAGATCAATTTAAAATGGCATTCAATGACCAAAACTAAGAACACACACAGAACAAACCCCAAATCTGTTCTCCCTCCCCTGTATTTCTATCAGTCAAACATCTCACATTCACGTGTCTTATCACAAGTCAAGTCAAGTTAATCCCCAAATCGTTGTTTCACAGAATCAAATCAAACCAAAATGAACAATTTTAATTTTTTTTTTTTTAAATCATTTCAACCAAGTCAAACAAAAATCAACACTTTACTCCGCTATCGCGCCCCTTTCACTTCGCTAAACGCAAAATTCAGAGAAATCTGACAGATTCAAAAACAGAGAAGACAAACCATGAACCCTAATGCTTCACTCAACAATCAGCTCAAAAGAAGGCACAAAGAGGAAAATTAAAAAAAAAAAAGACTGTGACTTTCGTCGGCGGAAATCAAACCCACAAATCTCAGAAGAAACACTCACCGGGATCGCAAAGTCGGTAAAACTCCTGAACATCTGCGAGAAAGGGGAAAATCTAAGAATTGAGTTTTTCCGGTGAATAAAAATGGAGGAAAAAACAAGGGAAATGGTGAAAGCAATTTACCAGTGGTTAAAGCCTTAATCATGCCAGCCCTACGACCTTTGAAATCCCTAAACACCTCCTCCACGGTGCGAGGGTTGTAAGCGCCACTTCCGTCCATTTTTTCTTACAGAACAGCTCTCGTCACCGAGACTCAGACACAGAGAGAAGAGAACTAGAGAAGTGTATTTAACCTGCCCTGAAAAATTGTGTGCGAGAGAAATGTGAAAAAGGGCGGACCCAAAACTATTAAGCGGATTTAATAAGATGAGCAAGAGTCCGCAAATGAGGAGAGAGAGACCGGGAAGGGATCTGATGAGGAAGCGACCACGGTAAGCGTAACCCTAAGAACCTCTTAGATCTTGACGCGTGTATATTTTAAATGGTTTAAATTGTTACCTGACCGCCGGCGATGACACCGGCAACTCCTGGTTATGTTGTGTGAGTAGATGGCGTTTTGATAGTGAGTAGTTAGATGTTTTTTTTGTGTGCTTTGAGATGTTTTATGGGATTAAGTAGATTCTCTGTTTTTCCGAGGCAAATTTATTTTTAAAATATTGTATCATAACGATATTTTTCGGTTAGTTTTTTGGATTTTTTCGCTCCTTAATTTTCTAGGATTTTTCAAACAGAGTAGTAAAGACGATGTTTGTTATTAATGAGAAATCTAACGAACTTTTTCTTGTCGAGATCCTATCTTTTGTCGTGCCGAATTCTTTAAAAAAGTTTGATATCATATCAATACATACAACTTTTTTTGGATTTTTCCGCTCCTGAATTTTCTTGTTTTTTTTTCAAACAGAATAGTAAAAACGATGTTTTATTAATGAGAAATCTAATGAACTTTCTCTTGTCGAGATCCTCTCTTTTGTCGTGCCGAATTCTTTTAAAAAGTTCTGTTCATATCAATATGTACGATCCTTTTTGGATTTTTCAGCTCTTGAATTGTCTATTTTTTTTTTCTCAAACAGAATAGTAAAGACGATGTTTTTTATTAATGAGAAATCTAACGAACTTTTTCTTGTCGAGATCCTCTCTTTTGCCGAATTCTGTTAAAAAGTTTGATATCATATCAATACGTACAATCAGTTAGTTAATTTTTTCATTCTTTATTTTTTTTAACAGAGAAATATTAAGAGAAATAATTACTAATTTTGCTTAGACTTTTTTAAAAATCAAAATATGTTGTGCTTTCACGCCCAGATTTTTATTATGTGGTATCAAAAAATATGTTCAACTACATTTTAGTTTTATTTTATTTTTGATCTTTTTTTTACTCAATTTGGAGTACTATGTATTTCATTCAAGAAGCTTTTACAAAAATCATTTTTTTATGCGCCAAATCATATGTTTTTCCAACAGAATAGTAAATAATTAAATATTCTGTTTTTTTCTTCTACAATACTATGGTTTTGATGAGTGAATTTTTTTTTGAACTTTTTAGCCAACATCTTCGGTTCTTTTGCACTAATTATTTTGAAAACATTTTAACAAAATTATATGTTCCTTTGTACCAAAATTGTGTTCTAAATGTCAAAGTCTATGTTTCGAAATCAAAATAGCAATTAACTAGCTTTTTCCCCTAAAAAAGTAGTATGCTTCTTGTTTTACTTGATTAAAACTGGAACCTTTTAACAAAATCCAATATTTTTTTTGAGTCAAAATCTATTTGAGCAATCTGCTTGATATCTCTAAGTTCATCATTTCATTTTCTCTTTAATCTCTTTTAAAATGATGGTTTCGATTTGAAAGGTTATGCAACTCTCTCTTTCTCTCTAAGGTTTCTGCATCAATAGCTAAAACATTTTAAACTTTAAATCTAACTTTTTGTTGAATTCAAAGGGTTACTTCCATCTGTGAAATCTTTTAATTTATTTTATTGTTATTTTCCTATATAAAATACAGAAAATTTTGCTCCCGTATTAACGACAAAAAAAATCTGGAGTCTGTGTCATATAACCGATAAGATTTTGACACATGTTAACTGTTAACCTTTCAGTTACGAAAAAAACTCTAAATTAATCTTATTGTTAAAAAAAATATTTACTTCTTTTTTTCTTTGTTATTTTCCTAAATAAAGCATTGACCAAATTTCTCCTAAAAGCTTTCACAAAAAAAAAAACAAGTTTAGATTCTTTTGTAACTCCAAATTTAACAGTTAACATGTGTCAAAATATACATATGTTTCAGATTCTGTCATTAATATGGGAAGAAAGATAAGGCCCCACTATTAGTCATCATCTATAACGCTCGTTTGACTTTGCTAATGACCACTTAAAAATATAAAAACCCCCCCTAAATGATTTTTGTTGTGAAAACTTTTAGGAAAAATTATTTTAAAAAGTTTTTTAGACGTATGTATTAAATAGTTTTAGATTCCCTCCCACAAACCCAAAATGATTTTCAACCGACGACTTATCTTTCGTGTCCAAGAATCAAGTTTACATTAGTTATTTAAACTTGCTCCCAAAAGTCAAGTTTAAGAGCTGTTAAAAAAGAGTCTGACAATTAGAAACTATAGTAGAGATAAGGGACAATCATTGACGATTGGTTTTTGAATTGAAAACATTTAAAACTTAACATGGTTAGAGAGCCAAATTTGTTCTCCAAATGTAATCTTTATGAGTGCGTATTATCCGGAAGAGAGAATCGTAATTACAAGATTTTGTTGTGTGTTTCCAAATAAGCAAGAGAATGAGAATCTCATATATAGTCATATGTCATGGTGTTATAGATTATTAAATTCTCATTGAATCAAGAGGGAAAAAAACATCTGAATTAAGGTCGGTTTTCTTAGATTAAAACTTTAAAAAGTTAAGATAAGAGATCAAAGATAATAATAAAGAGAAAGCTACATCTGTAAATTCCTCATTACAGCTAATGGTGTTAGCTAGTTGGCTCGATGGATGACATTGCTCGTCTCTCATGAAGCGAAGACTCGTTGAAGAGTGGAGGAAACATGAGCTTGAGAATTGACGGGTACATGAGACACCACAGGCTTCAACAATGCCTTCACTTCCTTAGGCAAATCGACTAAATCGAGCTGTTTCCTCACCTCGTTTGCTAATTCAATCACATACTCTTCCTCGTGCTCTGTTTTCACAACACTCATCAAACAACATAATCAAAATCATTCCAAAAGTTTGCTAAATTATTTTCTTTAAGTCATTAGGAAGCTCTCTCTCTCTCTTACCAATGTCGTGCATTGCCTTCTCCAGCTTGAAAAGATACTCCCGATTGTTCCCACAAGGTCCAGAGGCTGTTGCGATTTGCCTCGACATTTCTTCCAATGGGGCAGGGCCCAAGTAGTATTTGTTTGACACTTTGTCTGGTGTTGACGTAAATCTACACAAAAAGATATCAAACTAATTTAACATTGACTCTTCCAAATTATTCTCATCGAGAGACGAAATACAAAAAAAAGGAGACTTTTTATTCCAAACTTACACTATAACTCCGGTCAAGATTGGCTCAGAGGTGTCATTTTCCTGCATCCATTGAATTAAAAACTAAATATAAAGAAAAAGTTTATAAATTTGGGAAAAGTCAATAACTATAACAACAAGTTTCTTACAGTGTAAAACTCAACAAGGGTTTTTGAGTCGTATTCACACTCTCTTCGTTCCAAGTACTGCAAGAAAAAAACATGAGCAAGTCAATAATCAGATCTAACAAAAGAAACAACAAGAGAATCAATAAAGGAATCATTTTGATACCTCCATAGCTAGTTTCTCCTTCTCGGGTCCTCCACGAACACAATAAGCAGCACCCCACTGTCCATATATCAACGGTTTCAACATCAGAATTTCAAATTACTGTTTTTCTCTGTTTCAATACGAAAAGAAGAAATGTAGTTTCTTACGCAAATAGATCCGGTGGATTGCTCCAACGTGCAAGTTCTAGCAGGATGTTCAGGCGTACCTCTGTGATCGATGCAAGCTGCAGAAAAAATCGGACAACTTTTAGCAACATTGTAAAAATGAATACTTTTTTTAGCAACATTGGAATTGATTCCTTTGTGGAAATTCCATACGAAAGAGAGTTTTGTAAACATACCGAGATCGAAGACGCGTTTGTAGTCTTTGATGTAGCCAATGAGCTTTTCGTCAAAATCGAAACCTGGGTTCCAGATCAGAGATCCATATCCAAAAACCCACAAAACCATCTTGATTTTCTTTTTGGCCGAGAAAAGAAACGAACAAAAAGAAAACCTTTTTATGGTTTGTGTGTTGTAACAAAGAAATTTAGAAATCAAATGATGAGATTTTCCGGAAGAGAGAATCGTGTATTAATACAGAGCAAGAGTAGAGAGAGAGAAGATTTTTGTTAAGGCAAGAGAATCTTGGGATGGTTTGAGTTGTGATGAACATAGACGGATTTTTGGGGTTTATTCGTTTTACCGTACATCTCGGGCATTTAAAGCCGATCGACCAAACTTTCTAACTACTACCGTTTTCTTTTTTATCTACCGATACATTGAACCTAGACACCTTTTTTTAACCTTCCCTTTATTCTGAGCTAATACAAACAGAATTTAGGCCCACGTTTTTTATTCCACTCTTTTTATGTGCGTATCTTTTTGTATTTTCTGCTCATGATTTTTTGGGTGAAAAAGTTAAATTTTGTCGTCTTAAATATTAAATGGTAGATTTTGTAAGATGGAATGTTTATTTGCCAAACGAAGGAGATGGATGCAAGTATTGGTTGCGTTGTGATGAGAGATCATCAATCATCATCTTGGGGAAGTGATTCGTTGGGGGGCCAAATCGGTGGCTTAACTTTAGATGTGTCGCATCTTGTACCTAAAAGTTGAATAAATCTCTAGTTGCAACTTGCAAGGATTTAGCTACGGGTATTATGCAGTGGTGAATCTAGGAAAAAAATTATTAGAAGCATAATCTTTTAAATATAAATTTTATCAAAAGTATTATATGTTTGTTCATTATGAATATACAATATCATCATATATTATTTTAATGAAGTTTTTATCAATGCTAGTTATGTATATATGTTAGGGAGGAAAAAGAGAATAAACCAAAAATCCATATCTACCGACAAAAGAGACAAAAAAAAATTAGCTTATGTGAACATGATGTTACTCGAATATATAGCCAAATTAGCCATAAGTTACCAAATTCGAAGCTATATTGAATCTCAGATTGTAGTGATATTGAAAAGCCTCTTGTTATGCGAAATCAGTAATAGAAAGAGTTACTTTGAAAAGAAAAAATATTGGATGGTGGGCAAACATCTGATATAATTCATTCAAGTGTGTGATTAGGATATGTTTCTTTTTGTGCAAGTGTTGGTGTAAGAGAGAGTTTTTCTTTTTTTGTTCTCTTAATGCAAACGTAAGATCCAATTTAGTGTCCCGGGAAGGAGAAAATAAAAAGACATTTGAAAACCTAATTTGGAGAGTCGAAGAGGGCTATTTTGGAGTGAGGGCCGGAGTATATTTCTTTGATCGGAGGTATGGAACCTAAAATTTTGACCAAGGTCGAAGGAGGAGCAGAACATATACGCGTGAACACGTAGGATTTGTAGTTGGAGTAACATGAACAATTCATTTAGAGTTTTATTTTTTGGGTGAAACTATTTCGGCAAAGATTGTAGTTATAAATCATCCAATGAATCCCAATGCCAAGACATATAGCCCTCTTTAGTAATACCAAGTCCACGGTTCGAGCATAACTTTTTGGGCTGTTGAGAAATGATCTTTGCAGCCAGAATAAATAAAAATATATTTTGGGCTTTGAATTGTAAACAGATAAATAAAGCTTGTTTGGGTTCAGTTTTGTTACTGTATGAAAAAAAATTGGTTGTCAAGTTCTATAAAGCCATATAAAAATCAACCAAGATTACTCACTATTAGCACGTTGAGCCTGCGAGTTTCTTGGTTTTGGACCACACGTTTTGGTTATGGTGCAGATCGTTGTAGTAATTATCACTGCCCCAGCTTACATAAGACTTAAAGGAGTATTGTTTAACTCCAAATGATTTATTAGAGGGTGAATTGGCCAACTAGCCATATTGGGCATAATATTAAAGAAACTATCCATAACAAAAGGAAAATTGGAGAGTGTGTTGCACGCGCCCAAAAAAGACAGTTTTGCCATTCTTCTTTACTCGCCAATTTTTAAGGGAAGCTGATATCAAATATATACCAGCGAGCCGCAGATCTGAATCGCCACCGAGTCCAAACAAGAGCCGAAGCGCCGCCGCCGCTGCCGGAAAGAGAGCCACCGTAAAATGACGCAAAGAGAATCACTAGAATCGTCTGTGGTTCTCTTCATCTCTAACCTTCCTCCAAGAACCCTAAAACCCAATTTTCAAAATAATCCAGAAAATAGAAAAATTGGAGAAATTCACAGAGAAATCCAATTTCATTAGAGCTAGAGAAAATCAATACAACAACTAACATAATTAAACAATAAATCCAAATAACTAAACAATAACCCCTAAATACAAATCTGCAAACCCAAACTTTACATTCTCAAACCCTAAACACTACATTTTTAATCCTGCAAATCACATAGAGATCAAATTAGAATAAAGCTAGGGAGAATAGCTACAAAAACTGAAATAAAGAACTGAGAAAAATCGAAGCCAAGGATGAAATTCAATCAAAGGGGAGGAAGAAAGAGGAAGAGAGAGGTTGTGGATCGTGAGAGAGAGAAGAAAAAAAAAACGGTGAAGTGAAAAAAAAAAAGGGAAAATTGGAATTAAAGGATGTTTTAACTATATGTTTGGTGATCTATACCTTTTTTTTTGTATTTTGGGGGATTAGTCTTTACATGAGCTTAAAATACAAATATACCCCAACTAATTAAAAACTATAAATTTTTATTTAAATATACATTTAATAAACAAAATATATAAAATTTAGGGTTTATTGTATGTGAAAAAGTTTTTACGTTCTTTTTTTTGTTGATCTTTTTGTTGAGGTGTTAATCAAATAAGCTCAGAGCACCCTTTGCCCTAACTCAAGGTATTTTATTCTACTATTTTGAAGATTTTGCATTCATATTCAAACTTGTTTCATGAAACTGTTATTTTTCCCTTAATGATCTCGTGTGCTGACAGTAAGCTTCCAAAGTCACCTCATCAACACTGCTTTACTTTGTTTGCTCTCTTCTTCTTCTTCACTTATTTACCTCTGTTTTTCTCTGGTCTCTGCTTCTACCTGATCATTTACCTCTTCTCTTTAACGCCATGATCTAGATCTCCCGTGTCATATAATGTTCAATGCTTTAGCTTTTACACGCAAACCGATCGGTTTAGGGGTCAGACCGATCGGTGTAAAGACCGCAGAGAAAAAGTTTTATTAGAACGATCGATTCTTCGAGTAAATCGATCGTTTTTGATACGAGAACGAAAATCATAACCGACCCTGAGACAAAATTGTACGAACCGATCGGTTTCGCAAACAAAGCGATCGGTCTACGTTTTTCAAACGAATAGAGAAAAAATAACAGAAAGTGAGTTCAAATAACAGAAAGTGAGTTCAAACCACCAAAAATAGCAGGGAATAGAAGAGAAGTGCCAATGCACTAGTCTTGATACAAAAGAATAGCAATGACTTCAAATCAACAAAAAGAAAACCAAGTACTAAGATAACCAAACTCGAACTATGCCACATAAACAACATGTAGTTATATGGGTATATCACATGTAGCTCTGTTATGACCTTCATGACCACAACGGCTGCACTTGTGCCTGCGCTTCTGTCTTTTAGATCCTTGAGATCCTTGTGATGATCTAATCTTGTCTTCAAGTGAATCAAATCTTCTCTTCTTTCTTCTGCTAGATCTCCGCTTTGTCTTGGGTGGAAACACTTTTGCATCTTCAACATCTTTTGGGATACGCCATTCATCTTCAGGAACATATATAGGAAACAGTTGCTTACCAGCTGTGAAAAGGGAAGAGAATTTGAGCAGAAAAAAAGAGATGTTCAGTTCAAAAGAAACGTGATGAGAAGGAGGGAATGAGAAAAGAAGGAGATGACGATGGAGGAAATGGGAAAAGAATGGAGATATTTTGACAGATTTTTTGGAGATTTCGTTTCCTAATATTGATTTTCTTTTATTTTTAGAATCTAGTGACATAGAAGGTGCATTCTAGAGTTTTTAGAACATGTGTAATCTCTAGAATTTGCATTCTTAAAATCAAAGAAGACGCATTCTAAAAGTTTTAGAATATGTACAGACTTTAGAACACGGATTCTGAAAATTTTAGAAGGGAGAATACGCATTCTAAAAAGTTTAGAATATGTACAAATTTTAGAACATGCATTCTAAAACTTTTAGAATATGTTCAAACTTTAGAATTCATATTCTAAAACTTTTAGAACGTAGAATGCGCATTCTAAAATATTTAGAATATGTACAAATTTTAGAATATGCATTCTAGAGTATTTAGAATATGTTGAAACATTAGAATTCATTTTCTAAAAAAATTTAGAACGTAGAATGCGGATTCTAAAAAATTTAGAACGATAAGTAAATATTTTTTTTTTCAATTTTTGTTGTTACACTTAAAATTATAAAAATGTTACTATGGTGTTTTCAGTTTTTTATATATTTTTTCACATTTCACTGAATTTTTAAAAAATGATTTGATTATTATAATAATTTAGATAAGGCTAATTTAGTCAAAAAATGAACAAAATACTAAAAGGTGTAGATTACCAAACATAGATATGAAACATCCTTTAAATCCAATTTTCCCAAAAAAAAATTGTTTCATTTTGTTTCAGGGATAATTTCGTCATATTATATTTTATATATAAAATATCATAGCCTATCAATTGTTATAGATATATTCTTAATTGATTGTTTTTTTATGGTTATTCATTGATAAAACTTTATTAGATCCCCTTTACAAGTACAATATGCTTTTTTGTTGTTTTTGTCATCTTTATATTTTGGGTGAATTCGGTTGATAATCATACGAAAATTTGAGTTATTTTAGATAAATAACTGATGCATCTTTTACTTGCAAATTAGATATGAATTTCAGTGACTTGCTTTTAACTCCCATATTATTTTACAGTAAAACATGGTGCTATTTTTACTAACAACCATAATTAGCTTTGACCATATAGCCATTTCCCATTAGTGTATACATACAAAATGTACTCTTTAATTTCTCTGCAACAGTGTAAGTATTAAATATTGTCGTTGAGAGAAGCGAGAGAGAGAGGACAGCGATGCTACGAAAGATCTTACTAAACACATGTCACTGTTTATCATTAACTTTCTATTCCCATGCAACGCAAAGACAAATCTCCAACCTACCCGTTATTATTTACTACTCATTGTCGTTGAGAGGAGTAGTTCCTGTTTCGATTCAACTAATCATTGATCACAATATCACATATACATGGTAGCTCGACATTAACTCATCACTACATCAATTTTCTTTCACACAAAGAGTCAAACTAATAATAAACATTTTACAGAAAAAAATCATATTAGTTAATTCGAATGTATCCTGTATATATCCCTGTTTCATGAGATGATTAAATTTTATGTTTTTAGTAGCTAATTAATTTTTATATATTTTTAATGTTAAGTTTATATAATAGTCGTTTTCAAATTGTCAAACATACAAAATCACCCAAAATCATACTTAAATTTAACACGATAATGCCGTCTTCATTACTCAATATAAACTATTCAAATTTTAATGCAAACGGAGTATAACAAAGAAGACTCGAGATGTTGAAGAGAGGTCCCCATAAATAATAATAATTGAATTTCACTGTGCTTGTATTTTATATAAGCATCAAGATGGTCAAGAAAACAAACAATTATGAAGAGCCCTCATCATTAAATGAAGGCATTATTGGCTATGATTAAAACATAGAAGTAAATATTTTAGTTTGTTTTAATAAAAAAAACATTACTACTCTCTCCGTTTCGAATTACTTGTCGTTTTAGCCTTATTTTTATTTTTTAAAATAGTTGTCGTTCTCATTTTCTAATGCAAATTTTAGTATTAAATATATATTTTAGCCTTGATCTAATGAAGAATACTAATAGTCAATTTGCTTTCAAAGGTATAATAGAACTTTGAATCTATTTTATTAATCTGCGTGAAATCTCCTAGAATGACAAATAAAAGGAAACGGAGGGAGTACTAGTTTGTAGTGTAGAGTTTTGCTAAGAAAAAAAGAAGAAAAAAAAAGTGTAGAGGAGTTTTGACTTTGACCACATTGGAATCAATCTTTATTACGTACCCAATGGTTTTCAATGCAAAGTAGCACATGCATCCATCCAGTTAGAACCAAACATATGCATATGTGATTAATGTTCTTGAGCTTCTACTCCACGTATATGTGAAATTGTTTTTTTTTTGACACGTATATGGAAAATTGTACGCCCATCATAATATATTTTCAAACAACAATAACAAATTCTATGCAAACATGTGTATTTTCTTGTAATTAAAATTGATGAGTTTATGGTACATGTATACCTATATGCTAAGATAGCACTATGTTTTCTTTTATATATACATCCATTATAGTTTTTTTAACCGAAATCGAGATCCATATAAGATTCTTTCAGCAAATAAACGTGGAGATAGAACTATAAAATGGTAAGTTTGTCTACCGATTATACCATTTTTTTCCTGCTCTTTTCACATGTTAACTTATTTTACATTTACATTGATCATTCTACCATTACTTAGAACTTGTTTATTTGCCACCATTTGTAACGGTAAGTATATGCTTAGTAATTTTCCTCATTTGTAAATTTGAATTTTCTAATTGTAAACTAAAGATAGAAAATTCAGAGGTGCACCTTTGTAAACATGAAGTTTCTAATTATAAACCAAAGAAGGAAAATTCGTACATGTTTTTATCGATTTATAGATATTTCATGTTTTCAATCAATCAATTCGAAACAAAAGTGCTATTTTCTTAAAAATATGTGAAAAGTACATTATGTGCACCCACTAAGCAACATTACTTTCAGTTACTTTTTAGGATTTCGCAGGTTACATCATCCCTAACCCGTTCCTATAACAATGACTATTTTTTATTTTCTTTGAGAATACAGATGTCATCAAAACATTTGTACCAAATCGTAACATTATATAGTTGAGAGATTTCTTTGAAAAAATCAAAAATATTTAAAGAGCCATTGTCCCACATACAGAAGAATCACAAAATAATATAGTTAGACATAGATATTTTCAGTTGCGAATATTAAAATGGAGAAGGTACATTCAATAATCATCAACGACGAACACCGACAACAAACCATAGACAGACAAGGTACGAAGAAGTGAACCCGTTTCCAGAATAGTACTGTTGAGGGTACTCAATAATCCATTCCCTCAATTATTTAAAAAAATATAAAACCCCACCGTCGTTTTCTTGTTTCCCTCAATTATTTCACAACGTCTATATACTCTAAATTACTTATCTATTCATCATATCAAACAAATACCAAGATCCAAACCAAGAAACGATGTTTGTTGTTATACAAAAACAATAATAAACAAGTATGAAATTTTGTTTTGATCGCTGAGAATAGCTTAAATAATTGTAATTCCATTGGTTTTGTTATGTTGATCCACTAAACTCGGAATATAAAAAAAGAACAACATTAAAATCTGAGAAGGAATTGAAACCAAGATGGATCTTGAAAAATGATACACCTACTACAATGTCTTATTCCGAGTTAAGAGTTAAGTTAATCAAAACAGAGTTCTAGTTATATAACATCCGTATTGAAAAAAAAAAAAACGAATAACATCGTTAATTAGATCGGATGTTTGGATCACACTGGCAACAATTCTAAGACAAAGCTCAAATTTATAAATTGACTAAAAAAAAAAAAAAACATGAAACATGATATGGATGGATCCAAAGATATATAGCTAGATCTCGAGACTACTAACCAAACTCTTCTGCAACATTGAGTTCTTGCAATGAGCAATCGCTCCTTGAATAGCACTTTGCAACTCTTCCATTGAAGAAGACATACTGTTGTTACTGCTGCTGCTGCAGCTACCTCCTCCTTGACCACTCGGGAAACCGCCACGTGTCAGTACGCCGGAGTGATTCGGAGATGACCTCATAGACGACGGACAGCTCGCCGCGCATCGTCCTCGTTTTGTGTATTTCATTAGGTTTCCGGAGAAAGAGATCGATAGACCTCCCCCGGAGACAACTGTTGGAATGGCGGTGGTAGTTGAGGAGGAGGAGGCGGCGGTTCCACGGATGTTTCCGGAGTCTTTGAGAGATGATGACTCTGTTTTCAAAGCGGTGACGGTGGAGCTCTGTTTCTGAGATAACTTGTCGTATAAAGGTTTGACTTTTTTCATGTATTTGCGAATGACCTCTTTCGCTGTTGAGCTCATTCTCTTCACCGACGACGGAGCTGCGTTTGCTGCGGCGACGGCGGTTTTTGGATCTTTCTTGAAAACAGAGGAGAATCTAGAGAGTGAGAAACCGCCGGAAGATTTGTAACTTAGATTCTTCTTCGGAGGTTTAAAGAAGAAGTCTTCTTCGTCGGTCACGGAGCTAGGACGGGAAGAGTCACAGCAATCGAGCGGCGGAGGATGGAGGAGAGGGAAAGAAGCGGTGGAATCAGTGGAGGAGGAAGATTCGGTGGAGTCACGTGCGGCGGAGGTTGCGGCGGAGGAGGATGAAGAAGAAGAGTAGTCGGAGGAAGAAGAGCAGAGTGTGCGGACGAGAGAGAGACGAGGAGAGAGCTGAAGAGGGAGAAGCTGGCCTTTGTAGAAGAGCTCATCGGCGGGACAAAGCGAAGAAGAGGCTTTTCGCGGCGAGATTGAGATGTTAAACTCGAATTCCGATGAAGATGACGACGGAGATGAGTGAGATTGCGGTGGCGAGTGACGTTGACGTGGTTGATGTCTCATCGCGTTCTTATCTTTTTCTCTCTCTTTTGTATGATTCTCTCTGCTTTGTCTTAAATTTTGGCTTCTGTGTAAATAATAGAATGAAAATGCAATGTTTTTTATTTATTATTATAAAGTTTTATTTTATTTTTTATTATCGTTATTTAAGAGGATACTGCAGTGCAGTTGATATCATGAGAAAAGCCCACGATAATCGCCAGATTGAAGCTGTAGTCACATGCAATGCAATTAAATAGTGTTATATGGACCGTAGCATTAGAAAGTTGTTTAATGACGTTGATTAATTATAATTAATAACCAGTTTGTACTTTGTAGGAGTGAGAAGTGAGCAAAGCTAGTTGTGACCTGTGACCTGTGGTCCGATCTCTGTTTATCCCGGAATTTATGGTATCTTTACTTTTTTTTTTTTACAAATTTTTTTCTTCTAAATACAATATGTTGTGACCACTGCGGACTTTGTTGTGAAACACAATTCAAACCACTTGTAACTAAAATAATTAGCACCTAATGACATTGTAAACACTATCAATAAAAAAATATTTGGGTACAATGTGCACTTTGATGCGAGACGGAGCAAGATTGCATAGAACTATAGAAGCATAGAACAGTAGTAACTAACTATACCTTTTTACGACAGCGATGTTAGTTTGATTTTACTTTGGATAGGTAAAGTAAATGGTGATACTTTTTTGTTGGTCAATAGTAAATGGTGATACTTAACATCTATATAAAATATGAGAACGTCTTGTTTATACTGTATACTTTGGACATTACAAGAGAAAGTTTAAGAACAGTGATTCTATCACGTGACGCTAACGCCATGGGTGGCGATTTCTCGTCCCATATATGTTCTTTGATATTGCTAATAAATTCTCTATCAGTTTCGCATTAGTATTATATTCTCAACTAATTCATAATTACGCCGTTTATTATGTTGGTTGAATCGTTTTCTCATTCGTAAAGCAACTACTTTTTTTTTTTTTTTTTTTTAACTCTGGTATCCGGGCAGCCACATTCCCGACTATCCCCATAAATGGGGTCCAGCACCCCAACAAAAGAAATGTTAAATCCGTTGTAGCCGGGACTCGAACCCAGGTGGCGGGTATCTCAACTGAGGGTCCTTTACCACCGGGCCACAAGCGCCGGTTTAAAGCAACTACTTGATTATATATATCACATTCATGGACCTCGTGGCGGTGCTGGAGCCATTCACCCACCGCTAATTATTTTACCTGGTCGATTAACAAGCTTCACTGTAATTAGTTTGAAATATTAGTCATGGTGTGGTGTTGCAAACGTTTTGTCTACGTATCGCAATCTAATTAGTATTTCGAAAAAATCATTTCCAACAACATTTGTTAATTTTCCCTTGGTCCACTTGGCACATTGGGTTTTTGGGCTCCCTTTGATTATGGTACTTTAGCTTCACAAGCCATTTACCAATTCAATCAACGATCCAATATCATTGTCATGTCGCATTGACATATCTGATCCCACTATTGCTGGCTCTAGTATAATATGAGTTTCAATTCCTTTCGGATGTGCAAGTGCATTGCTCGCCTCTATGTCATTTCTATAGTGGCCAAAGGAGAGAACGAATCCAAATGAAATTGGAAAAGTCTACGCCAAATGCAACTTTTTGGCCTAATGTCTTCTTATACATGATAGTGTGCTTTTGTTTTTGCCTAATGTTCTATAAATGGCTCTAACACCAAATTTTTGGCCTAATGTTTACTTTTTAACCATTAGAAATTTTAAAACATACACTTTAAGTGGGTTTAGAGCATGTCCAGCAGTAAGACGGACGTATGAGTATCATAACATTATTATATTACTTTAATTTAAATTTATAATTAAATATTAAATATTAAATTGTGTTATCCATACAAACAATAACACCTGTACTCTAAGTCTCACGAACGTCTCTTATAGCTGATATGTCTCACCTTTTTTTACACTCTCTTTCTTCCTTTTTCACATTTTTTATTTATTTTTATTTATAAGAGATTGGTGCAGATCACCGCTGGACATGCTCTTAGAGACTTTGAGTTTGCGAAGGCGTAAGTTTGGTGCTACTTGTTAGGGCCATATAATGCAGGCGAATGAGCTAATGTCTCCAACATTTAAGGTAAGAACAAGTTTATTTCTTGTAAGGACTTTGCGTGCGGATCAACATAACTTGGCAAAGGTTACGTTGATGTCTACTAAAGTATGGTTACGAGTTGGTATCAACATCTTAGAAAGTAGCTTTTGAGGTCAAGTTTTTATTCATATATTTCATAGGATTAGTATGGTCTAGTGTCTATGTTAAGCTCTAGGACCATTATGGAAAGGGATCTTAGATTAAAAAGGTGTGGATGAATATTATAGATAAAAAGACCACAAACAAATGGATACTTTGAAGAAGCAATAGCAAATGTACAAGCAGCTTGCTGCGTTTGATTCCACTTCCGATAAAGTTTTGTGATTTTGTATTTGTGGAATCACTAAAAGCATGAAGGCGAAGGAGGCACTTTAATCCTAAGGTCACAAAGTCCATTCCAAATTGTATTCTTTCTTTTTTGAACTTTTTTTTTGCATTTTTATTGAAGAATAGTAGAGGTGCTATGTTAATGTTAGATCATGTAATATTTTGCATTGTTCGAATGATTAGGCAAAATAGTTTATCCCCACATAAATCATGTGACATGATTCCTTTTTTTTTCTCTTTCTTTTGAAATATTATTTACCCCCAAACATTAGCTTAATTCTAAAACTACCTTCAAACAATTCACAACCGTTGTTAATCTCCTTTTTGAGGTTAGGTACATTTTCAAGATACATTCTCTTTCCTTTTTCCTTTTCACTTGTCATGTATTTGTATTGTTAAGGCCAATTAAGAATAGGTTTTGAGCCTGCTATCAAAAAGAAAAATCAGCATTTCAGTCATAGTTGGGAATGAGAATGGGAATGTTTATGAACTTTTGATGATAGAAAAGAAAAGAAAACCTTGAGTTACTTAATCAAATGGTAATGATTCTAACGATTCTATCACTCATGTAGATTCTGTTAGGACGTATGAATTTAGAAAATCTTTTTATTTATTTGACTGTTGTTGTAGAACGATTATTTTTCTCTATACCATGTTATTTATCTATGTGAACATCTAAAATATTTAAAACTGTAGATTACTTTTGTCATCTAAAAGAGTGGATTTATTATTGTTTTGAGTATCATCTTTATTTACTTTTTTAATTAAGCCACAAAAAGTAAAATAAAAAATAAATAGATAACTTTATAAATTAGACCACAAAATAAAATGCTATCAATATCATTCCATCAAGGAAAGTTAAATACTCATATGAACGAACAGAAATTAATCTTGTATTTATTTTTGACAACGAACAGAATTTAATCAGAAACTAGAAAACTGGCTAAAGCCCCAAAGCAAATGAATCTAAGATAGTGCCAGTTTAAAAACCCATCATCTCTGTGATCGAAATCTCTAATCCAGGAGCTTTCGATCCATCATGTTATCGAATCATCTCCAGAACGGGATCGAATCCGCTAACCTGCTCTGGTCTCGTGTCCCTGAATCCGATGATGCTTCCGCCGACGGCGCCGGCCTACTCAACTCTCCCCGTGACGGCGGAGGTGTTGATAGTCTCGACTACGAGGTCATCGAGAATTACGCTTACAGAGAAGAACAGGTTACTACTGCTCCTCTTATCTCTTTGTATATCTCTCTCTCTCTCTCTCTTCCTCCTTTTGTTTCCGCTCTGATGATCTCGACTTCTCTCGGCAGGCGCATCGTGGTAAGCTTTATGTATGTTACTACGTTGCCGTCAAATGGTTCTTCTCTTTACTCATCGGGATCGGTACTTCTACTTCTTCTCCACCTTTTTTTTGTTTTCCTTATTGGTAGATATCTCCCGAATCAGATCGGTTGATTTTGTTTCTTCGTTGGTTCTTCGTAGGAACTGGATTGGCTGCTGTTTTCATCAATCTCTCAGTTGAGAATTTCGCCGGATGGAAATTTGCTCTCACTTTTGCCATCATTCAGAAATCTTATTTTGCGGGTTTTGTAGTTTACCTTGTCATCAATCTAGTCTTAGTCTTTTCTTCTGCTTACATCATTACCCAATTCGCTCCTGCTGCCGCTGGCTCTGGCATTCCTGAGATTAAGGGTTATCTCAATGGTAACTTCAATTTTCTTACTATGTTTTAGCTGAGAGTTTTTGTAGTCCACAGTGTTTTGACTATAATATTTATGTATTGAATTGTGCAGGAATTGATATTCCTGGTACCTTGCTCTTTAGAACCCTCATCGGAAAGGTGCTTTTGTGTTTGTGGAATGTTATGTTATCTTGGAAGTTTCTTCTTCATTTATATTTTGAAAGACACTTTTTTTATAGTTTGCTCTCTCATAGATATTTGGAAGCATTGGTTCTGTTGGAGGTGGCTTAGCGTTGGGGAAAGAAGGTCCCCTTGTGCATACAGGTGCCTGCATTGCATCGTTGCTTGGTCAGGTGAGCATCTGAGTCCCCTGTTATTTAGGCATAGAGATGATAGCCGAATGTTGATTTTCTTAGTAGTACTCTCTCCTACATCATTTCTCAGGAAACTAATGTTTTACTTTGCTTCTGTTGTTTCAGGGTGGATCCACGAAATATCATTTTAATTCAAGATGGCCGCAACTTTTTAAGAGTGATAGAGATCGTCGTGATCTTGTAAGTTCCTAGATGGTTTTTGTGAACAATGCTCTCTGATTTGTGTTAGGTTAGTTCCAAATCTCTCAAGAGAGCTTATTCTTTCACTTTTCGATTCCTTGAAAGGTCACTTGTGGATGTGCAGCTGGAGTTGCTGCTGCTTTTAGAGCTCCAGTTGGCGGAGTTTTATTTGCACTAGAGGAAGTCACATCATGGTAGATTCCTTTCCTCATCTTATGTTTAAACCATTTGAGGAACTTTTGCTGTCTATTCTGCTAGTTCCTTAGCAACTAGTGTCACTTGACAACAATG